CCATCTCAATACAGGTATACATATATGATCTAATATATATATATATATACTAATGAATTAATTATTCTAAGAACAAGTTAAATTCATCATGTAACATTTTTAAATAGGTATCCATTCAGAACTGTTATGTGTAATCGGTAGAATAGACTTTACTAGGTAACTCATTTCATCTCATTAGTCTATCTGTCTGTCTGTCTATCCATCCATCTGTCTGTCTGTCTATCCATCCATCTGTCTGTCTGTCTATCTATTTATCTATTTGTCTGATAATTCTATTAATTATTTAATAGTCTGATGGAAAGTTGTACTTATAAGGATTGTTTTAAGCCATTGCTTAGTACTAGCCTATCCATAATAATAATAATAATCATAATCATAATATAATTAAATATGTACTATTGAACACTGTAAAACGATAATTTAATAGTTGAATTCATGAGTCAATTAAAGCTAGACTAACATTGAAAATCTGGAAACACTGAATGGCCAAATTGTTCTAGTATGAGATTCCTCAGTAGTTCATATCCAAGATCTCACCTCGTGAGATTAGAACTTAAGATCTATTGGTCTGGCACACGAGCACTTAACCACTAGACCACTGAATTGGCATCCAACGGTGTTAAAGTTTAAACATACAAGTTAGATTAGAGATTTAATTGAATAGTTGGATAATATTAGAGAAATATGTAGTAATCCATGATAATAATGTAAATAAATTTGTTTTGTTTTGTTGATTTTTTGAGCCTGGATTATCTTAATGAAGAAGTCTAGACAGATTTACTGGATGAAATGTTGGAATTCACTTGGTATTGTTGTTTACTTGGATCTTCCTATTGAGGTTTAGGATTATAATTGATCAGTCTCTTATTGATATATGTGTATACTGTGTGTATTGTTTCGATATTGTCTTAATTCACAAGCATTATAAAGAAAGATGGTTAGTGGCTAATATTGAAATCCAGGACGCAGGTTTCGTCCTATTTGCGAGTCGTCAGTTGGATGTACCTGGATCTCGGAGTTGATATTCACTCTTGAAATCGAACCCAGTACTGTTCACTTCAAATGCCATAGCTTTATCTACTTAGCTACTGATTCCTGATAGCAACTTGCTTGTGCAATGGGTGAATTTTAAATTCACTTGATATTGTTTGCTTGTATCTTCCTATTGTTGCTTAGCACTGTAATTGGTCAGTTTCTTATCAGTATATATACATCTTGTGCGTATCGCTTCGATATTGTTTTAGTTCACAAGCATTCTGAGCAAAGATGCATAGTGTCTAGCAGTGGAATACAAGATGTGCGTTTCATCCGAAATAGGACGCGCTTCTTGGATTCTACTGCTAGCCACTATCCATAATTTTCGTATAATATAAACTATATTGTTTGTTTGTTTGTTTATAAACTTTGTCATTTTGTTAATTTCTTAACTTTCAAGTATAAAACTTATATGTAAAGTGATGAAGATTTGTAGCTAAAGTGGATGATCTTGATGGAGTTTTGTTCTCTAAACTGACACTTCCTATAGATATATATTTGTACGAGAAATTTATTTTTATAATTTTTGGGCCTTATACTCCTTTTAATCGATAATGCAATGATACCGGTAATTAGTGAAACAGTGATTTGTCGACTGGACAAATAGCGCGTAAACCTGTACGAGCAGTCTAGAGTGTTTATCAGTCCTTCTTCCCGTCTAACCCAGACTCTTAGAGGCAACAACACTAATCTCAGCCTACACCATATGAATCATATATTTCAAACATATTGAGTTTATATATCAACCAAACAGACTACATCACACCATAAAATATGAAACAACATTTGTACAAGATATAGACAAATGTGACTGTGAATGTGGGAGACTGTAATTGACAGACTGGGCATAACTCAAGAATGGTAAATCATATCATCATATTCTATGAGTCAAATGGAAGTTCATAATGAGAGGAATATGAATATGCAGATAGTTTAGTTCCATAACAATTACACAATAAGAATATATGTATCGTATTTAGTTCATAAATCGATCCCAACAGTTACCACTCTACATTATCCTCATTGGGATATATCATTTATAAAGGATGAATTAACTTGACATATAAAGATGATTAAACCTTGTTGTATTTGTTTAATTGAAATATTTAATTTATTAAACTAAATATAGAATGACCCATTTGAACTTACTCATAATAAAGTTTGATGTCAAGTTATCTAATTATTATCAACATAATGTATCTATTGTATGAACTCTATTGTAATTATCTCTTGAGAAGGACATTATATTATAAATCAATCATTATGACAGTTTTATTTAAAATTTCAGTGATCTTTAATTTTGTTAGAAATATGAAGGCGGTTATTATTTCCCGGTTGCCCACACCGTGGAAAAGTTCTTCTACAGGTATCTGAAAAGCAAATTGAGTTGGGGGTGGTCTTAGTGACCTTAGAGTATGCCTGCTGTGTCAAAGGGACAACTGCTTGAGGTCAATTAAACACAACATTTCTGTGAGTAATTTCCGGGTTAGTTCCGTACTTGTTCACACATTACCACCACAGACGGATATCCGTGAGATAAGGTGACGTGTGCATTTTCAGAGTTGACGTTTTCTAATGCTACCCTTCCTTTGAGGGAGGGCAGCATTGTTGTTATGCTAGTTGTATGAAGGAAACGTCCTACTTCCATCATACCTTGGATGTTGGGTTTTTCTGCATTCAATCTTACCGCTCTTCAACCGACCTGTCTGGCACGGTAGAATCTTAAGGAACGACTGTTTCAACTGGTATAGCTCGATTGGTTCATTAAAGTAGGCAAACCCGACCACTAGCGGTTGCGACATAACACAGTGCATCATATTTCACTAGTGAGAGGGAATTTCCGTAGTTCTAGTATTAAACTGTAGCATTTGTATACTGAAGATAATAGAAGATGGTCGGGCAATATCATGCATTGGTTGAAGTTAGACATTAACACCGTCGAATGTTAGCTTAGTGGTCTAGAGGTTAACTGTTTGTGCGCAATACTGAATATTCTGTGTCCGAGTATTGGATGTGGAATCGTGAGTGTGCACATACTAGAAAGAAACAGCTATCCACTCCCCTCAAGTTTTCAATGATTGTTCAACATTGATCAACTCATGATTTCAATGAAATTTTCTAAAGTTTAAATACTAAGGGGGAATTGGTTTAGTCAATGAAATTTAGAGCGAGATATCAACTCCGCTATCATTTTAAATGATGATCGTATTTCATGACACAATAACTGAAATATAACATTATATGCCATAGAGTTTCAGCTCACTATTTAAGTACTGCTTTAGTCACTAAATTATCCATATTCGATTTGTTTTTTCACGGAATGAATCTACAGTACAAATCACACGATGCATTTTTATTATGGGATTGTAGAGATTATTGAATTTCATTCAAACCATAAATCGATCAATGTAGGACAATCATTGAAAACTCCAAATAGACAGGATAGCTATTTCTTTCTAGTATGAGTTTACTCAGTAGTGCGCAATCACATACTCACACGCGATACTCGGACCCAAAATATTCGGTATTGAGCATGAACAGTTAACCAGTATCCATCGGTGTTATTATCTAACTTCAACCAATCCACAATATTTTCCGACTATCTTCTATTGTCTTCGATGGGTAACTGCTTGACACAGTTATTCTCAAGATTTCCGTTGAATAATATAGTCGAAAAAGTATATTGTACAAATGACTTAAACTAAATGAAATAGCTTTCTATTTCCTCTTGATTTATGAAGCTTTTCTAGATTATCACAAAACATTTTAATACAAAACATGTAGTTCGAGACCCTTATTTTATAGCTGTATACATACAAATACTACCTTAATTATATCATTCTTTTTATTACTGGAACAATAAGTTGATAAGTAAGTTATTGCAGTGGATCTATTTATCCCTTGCATATTTGCCAAATCTTGTTACTTGACTGGAATACCGTAATATTATAACATTATAGTTTGTGCTGATGATGTTGTTCAGAAGAACGATGAAAGCTCCACGACCAAACCATCCATCAACATTATAACATTGAATTTTCCTTTTCCATAAATTTGACATTATAGCCTCCTTTTAAAGAAGATACTAAGTTCAAAAGCTGTATCTTATGACTTAGAACGATCTCATGGTCTTAATGAACTACTTAACTTATATTATCATCACTTTAATAAATTCAGTTGTCTTCTATAAATGAAACGTATTGTAAAAACCCTCAACGTACTATAGCATTAAAGAGTAACAATGTGCACCAGTTTAATATGACTTGCGTAGAAAAGATATGACATCTAACATTCCAAAACATTCCTGACGTTGTAGTTGAGGTCTCCTGTCAACAGTGAATAACAAAGACAACTCTCTGCTTATAAGATTGACAACTATTGTTCATTTACTTACTTACGCCTGTTAATCTCAGTGGAGCAAAGGCCGCCGAACAGCATTCTCCAACCCACTCTGTAACCGGCCTTACTTTCTAGTTCTATCCAACTGTTGTTCGTTCTTTTCATATCTGTCTCCATTTCTCGGCGTAAAATGTTCTTGGTTATTCCGCTTCTCCTATGACCTTGAGGATTGCAAGTGAGGGCTTGTCTTGTGACACAGTTCGGTGCTTTCCTCAATGTATGTTGAATGCCACTTCTTTCTGATTTCTTCCTCCACTGAGATCTGGTTTGTTCTCACCCACAGTAGGTTGTTGCTGATAGTGTCTGACAACTGTTAATAAACACTTGTATCTTCTGGATGATGGCTTTCGTACTTCTCCAAGTTTTCGCCCCATACACATTAGAGCTGTCATGACATTTGTATTGAAAATTCTGACCTTGGTGTTGGTCAAAACTTTGCTTAATAATACTGTACTCTAAACTGTTATTTATCTTTATGTATTTTGGTTGAGCATTATCCTTCGAATTACTATCATTACTATTACGTAATCGTTCTTTTTCTTGTTTGTCTGTTTTTTCTTCGACAGTTTACAGTTTTGTATTGGCAAATGCACGTATTGTTGATTATCCAATTGTTTATTGTAATGAAGGTTTCTCTCGATTAACTGGTTATAGTCGTGTAGAAATTATGCAAAAAAGTGGAAGTTGTGCATTTTTCTATGGTGAACAAACAACAAAAGATATGCGTGAACGTTTATTAAAAGCATTAGATACTCAAACACCGGATCAAATTGAAATGTTATTTTATAAAAAAAATCGTAAGTATTTATTATACTATTGAAATGATATGGATCCATACTACTGATATATATAGCAGGATTGCCACTTGCTTCTATTCTGAGCCATATCTGATAACGTTTCTAGCCATTGTGTTACACCATCTCTAGGATTCCAACCAGAGAGTCGTGAAAGATCGACAGAAGTTAGTCCTGTACAACATTCTTTCATACCGCGACACCATGTCATACATTGACCACTTCTCCACTTTTTCCCAACCAGTCTCAACGTCGGCAAATAATGCACGACGTGGAATCCCCTGGGACGGCATTCGTAGAACATGTCCTACACACCGAAGTCAATGTGTCAAAATAGTGCCCTAAAACACGATGCTGAACCTGTGCATTACTAACATGGTGTTGTCATTGGATGTCAACAGTCCTTCGGAGACAACAATGGTTAAACGCATAGATTCGTCTAACATCCTCAACTAGCAGAGGCCCAGTTTCACAAGCATAAAGCTCTCACCGGCGCTTTGTAGATCTGACTATATATATATATATAGTGTGTGTGTTTTGATAATTCTTTGATTTTTGTGTTAATATTAGTTCAGTTGGAGGTTAAGTACTCTCTATTGTATTGTTTCCTAGGTGTCAACATTTGTGTACAATAAACGGTATTTTTCCATTTTATGAATGAATGCTATATATTATGTGCATGATTTTCAATGAAGATTATATCTCAAATTCTTAATACCACTCTTGATCTTTTTATCCAGATCTACAGCAACGTGTTCACAGAAGATATATATATATAAACAGCTTTAGATAATTGAAATAAAGTTCCCATCGAAATTTACACCTTTATAGGGAATACTAACACCTAAAATGAACAAGAAGATCTTCATAAACGTTAGATATTACACTTTTATTGAACATCAAATGTGAATGGTATTCCTCACCTACTCTCCACGATATCTGATGACATTGAGTTTAATTCTTGGATAAAGACTGTCTGACATTTCTATACTACAACGAATCATCTATGTAGTGTTATACATCTATCAATGACCTACTGACTAAAATCAGTTTGAGATTTAAAAAACTGTGATTTTACACATATAGAGTATTGTTTCATTGACAACGAATGGGTTATTTAATGAACTAAGTGCTAATTAAAAGTAGTAAGGTGAAGGTATTACGTAATTAAAATGTATGATTGTTCCAATACATAAATATGAAGCCAATGAAGAATACATAAAGGTAGCCTGTACAATAGGAGGTATAAACAACTCTTCGTAGCATTTGCTCTTACTCTATTCGATTAATCATGTAGAAGATTTCTAAAGATTAATCCTACAAAGGTAGTTCAAAATTAGAAGTAACAAAGTGATCCAGAACATTATTGTTCTAGTTGTTTTATAGTCTTAACTTGATATCCTGAACACAGTTATACTAATCTAGAAAAACAGTTTAAACGGTTTATGTAATCTGTTTCACTAAATTAAGTAAAATAACATATTCGGATAGCAGTGGCTCAAGGTATGGTCTTGTTATAACTTGTGGCTTTACGCCCTATTAATATATAACGAAATGATACGGGCAATTAGAGAACGGGACCAATGACTCATAAACCTGTACGAGCAGTCTAGAGTATTTATCGGTCTTTGCTTTCCGCCTAGCACAGCCTCTTAGAGGCAACAACACTAATCTCAACCTACACCATATGAATCATGTATTTCAAACATATTGAGTTTATATATCAACCAAACAGACTACATCACACCATAAAATATGAAACAACATTTGTACAAGATCTAGCCAAATATGGCTGTGAATGTGGGAAACTGTAATTGACAGACTAAGCACAACTCAAGAATGATAAATCATATCATCATATTCTATGAGTCAAATGGAAGTTCATAATGAGAGGAATATGAATATGCAGATAGTTTAGTTCCATAACAATTACACAATAAGAATATATGTATCGTATTTAGTTCATAAATCGATCCCAACAGTTACCACCATTTACTATTCTCGCCTGGATGTAACCGAGTTTTTCCCTCAAGCTAGAAAAGAATATTCAGAGTATAGTTAAAAAAGAATTTTCTCCTTACCATAGTCTTCATAAAAGTACACTCCGTAAATACGGTGTTCACGAAAAGTCTTTTCTAATGCTACATGGAGTCTTGAAGACTACATTCTTGATTATAAATTTCTATCTAAATACCTGAGAGTACGTCTGTTAATGATGAGTGACACAGTTAGGTGCTTTTCTCAATGTATGTCCTTTCACTTCCAGCACTTCTTCCTAATTTCTTTTTCCGCTGGAATCTGCTTTGTTCCACCCACAGTAGGTTGTTGCTGATAGTGTCTGATCAACGGATCCGAATTTATTTATATAGACAACTGTCAATAAACACCTGTATCTTCTGGATGATTGCTTTGGTAGTTCTCCAAGTTTCGGCCCCATACACATTAGAACTGTCTTGACATTAGTATTGAAAGTTCTGACTTTGGTATTGGTTGACAGACAGTTGTTTTGAGTTCCAGATGTTCTCCAATTGTAAATATGCTGCTCTTGCTTTGCATCAGATCCACCATGTTCATCAATGATCTTGCCTATTGTCGGTATGAAATTCACAATAATTATATTTTCATGAAAATACTCTTCTGAATTAAACAAATTTCCCTTATTTCTATATTTTAGGTTTACCATTTTGGTTACTTGTATGTGTTGCACCAGTTCGTAATGAATGTGAAGAAGTAGTACTATTTCTATTGGCCTTCAGAGATATCACAGCGTTGAAAACACCATTTGATGATGAAGATACTGTTAAAGGTAAAATGTCATGATTACTGTTTGTTTGTTTGTTTGCTTTTTTTTAGAAAAATAAACTCATATTTAAAAGGTAAAGCTGGAGTCACCAATTATTTACTTTTATGTACTGAAATGTGTAATAGATGTAACTGTATACATGACTCTTCTTTTACTTTAAAAAACCTTCTTATGGAGTTCAATTTCCCCTCTTTCACATTAACGGAGCTGAAACTTGGAGGACGACTACAACAATCATCAAGAAGGTACAAGTATTTATAAATAGTTGTCTACCAAAGATTCTCAACATCCATTAGCTAGATACCATCAGCAACACCTTACTGTGAGAGAGAACAAACCAGCTTCCAGTTGAAGAGGAAACTAGGCAAAGCCGATGGAAGTGGATAAGACATACATTATGGAAATAATCAAACTACATCACTAGGCAATCTCTAACTTGGAATCGTGAATGGAAACGGAAGAGAGGAAGCCCAACGAACACATTACATCGGGAAAAAGAAGTAGATATGAAAAGGATGAACAACAACTGGAAAGAACTGGAAAGATCATCTCAAGAGTTCAACTTACTTACTTACGCCTGTCAGCCCTAATGGAGCATAGGCTGCCAACCAGAATTCTCCAACCCACTCTGTCCTGGGCCTTCTTTTCTAGTTCCATCCAATTTGTGTTCATTTTTCTCATGTCTGTCTCCATTTCTCGACATAATGCGTTCTTTGATCCTCCTCTTTTCCTTTGACTCTGAGGATTGTAAGTGAGGGCTTGCCTTGTGACTCAATTCGGTACTTTCCTCAATGTGTGTCCTACTCACTTCCAGCGCTTCTTCCTGATTTCTTCCTCCTCTGAAATTTTGCTTCCAGTTAGAGAAACGATTTGTTCAAACTGAAGAAAGATGACTGAATACTTATTTCACAGTATTTAGGCGCCCATTTAATATGAGACATTAACGAGGAAGAATGTATTAGTAAAATCTCAGCCTAGATTGTCAGATGAAACGTTTGATTTACTTCAACTTCATTTGTTAAACTTAAGATTTAGGAGAATATGTAGAACATATGTGAAAGATAAAGTCATTCATCATAGCCTATGATCACTTCATGAATTTCAAATAGGATGATTACATCTTACAACATAACTCATAGCATAGATTGATTTACTTCCTTTAAGATGTGGAAACATGCTTGTAATATATATTTTGATCTATCAAAAGTTTGTCTTTTTTTCAGAAAAGTACCCTATCCTTAACCTCAATGTGATTCATTAGGTAAATTCGCAATATACCTAAGCAATCCTATTTCCCTTAAAATAATGAATTACTGTACCTTGTCAGTACATTCCCTCTACACATTTCATCTAAATTAATAAGCATTTGTAATGCATTGTCTTAAGTCACAAGCATTATGATCAAAGATGGATAGTCAGTCAGAAAGAATAATAAAAATTGAAGAGGGAAGTTGATTATGAATACAGTGGTCTTGAGTGCTGTTAGAGGTATGAGAGCGGTTATTTGTTCCCGGTTGCTCACACCGTGGAAAGGTTCTTCTACAGGTATCTGAAAAGCAAATTGAGTTAGGAGTGGTCTTAGTGACCTTAGAGCATCACAATTGATTGATCACTGAATGGTGATCAACGTCATTCTTGTCTAGTCCTTATTAGTGCAGATCGAATGCTATCGATCATGTTGCAATGTGGCCACCAGTGTAAGTGACTCGACACTGCGGGCACTACTATCTACCATCTAAGACCTTAGAGCATGCCTGCAGTGTCAAAGGGACAACTGCTTGAAGTCATTCAGACACGACATTCCTGTGAGTAATTTTCGTGCTAGTTTCATACTTGTTCAGACACTACCACCACAGATGGATATCCGTGGGATAAGGTGATGTGTGCATTTTCAGAGTTGACGTTTTCTAATCCTACCCTTCCTTTGTGGAAAGACAGCATTGCTGTTATGCTAGTTGTGTGAAGGAAACACCCTACTCCCATCACACCTCGGATGATGGGTTTTTCTGCATTCAATCTTACCGCTCTTCAACCGACTTATCTGGCACGGTAGGATCTTAAGGAACGATTGTTCCAACTAGTATAGCTAGATTGTTTCACTATGATATGAAAAACCAACCACCATGTCAAGGTATCAACAACGGTCGTGAATAAACGATGGAAAGTGACTAACAGCGAAACCCAGTACGCGTGTTTCGTCTTATTTGCGACTCGTCAGCTGGATTTACTGACATGTGCCGATGTTAAATTATTATTCTGATTTTTGTTAATCCTCATCAAATTACGCACTGAGTTCAACTATGGCGATTTCATATTATTTAACACTCATTATTACAGTATGATTATGTTCAGATCTAATTTTCTTTGTGAGGTTTTTATCACCTAATATCATAATAAGAAATATCACCATATCAAACCAGGTAGTAATTAAATTTAATTAGTGATAGACTAATATTATCTACCATTTAATATAATCATTATTTCATGCATTCAAGTAGAAAATCAAACGAATACAATTGTATAGAAACTAACTAGTTACTCAATTGACTGATCACAGGGTGGTGACTATTGTCATGTGTGTCAGGTCTTCCTGAATGCAGATCGAATCCTATCAATCAAGTTGCAATGTGGCCAACAATCTAGGTGACTCGACATTGAGTGCATTATGTTGAGATAAGATGATGGTTGGAGGTAGTCGACAGGAAACCTTAGACCTAGGTTTCGTACTACTTGGCACTCGTCAGCAAGATTTAACCGTAATCTTAAGGGAATTGATGCTTCTTGACGGATTCCATCCCATGTCACCCAGCTTTACAGCCAGAGAAGTTACCACTGGGCTATCCGTGCCGCGAATGACCTTCTGTGAGACTGAGGTGTATTCGCAATTGATTGATCACTTGGTGGCCCGAGTAGCTCAGTGGTAACGTCTCTGATTGTGAAGATGGGTAAAACGGGATCGAATCTGTCAGGGAACATCAGCTCCCTCAAGATCACAGGTACACCTTGCTGATGAGTGCCAAATAACACGATACTTAAATCCAGGGTTTCCTGCTGACTACCTTCAACTAGCTACCATTTGATCACTATTCAAACATAAAGTCTTCATGAGTATTAACTAAACTTACTGTTGCATATTGGCTAATCACTGGTTAGTAACAAAAATATCATGCTTATCCTAGCAGTGAATGAGTTCTATCAGTCAGCTTTTAGTGTTGTCAACGGTTTAAGTGACGCAAGATAGCGTGTTCATATTAGTTCTGCAGCTATTTGGAAGACTCTTCCGGTCTCTCACATTGTACGAGCATTCCATGTATCTAAATTAATGGTTGCTCTGGTTGTCAGAAGGGGCACGTCCGAAGGAACTCGGCTTTCATCATGGAGCATCATAACTCTTCTAAATGAAGACCTTCTAACTCCCAGGGCACAATTTAAATGATTTGAATTATTTTTTCTGGTTATGGTTTTTTAGCGAGTTATTTTTTTGCGTGATGTGGTCACTAACCCCGTGCTCAACCCTCCTCCTTTATCCGAGCTTGTAACCAGCATTAGTCCTAAAGGGGCTGATAGGGTCCACTTGTGATGAACATAAGTCCCATAAATCGATAACAAGAAGTGATGGTCATAGATTATTTTTAAAAAAACTGTATTAGGAAATCTCGACATCTGAGGGAAAGTATAGAATACAATGCACAGAAAGGAATCAGTTGGAAGATTTGAACCTCACAGATGACCTAGATCTCTTATCCCATACACACGAACAAATACAAATGAAGACAAATAATGTAGCAGCAGCCTCTGTATCAGTAGGCTTCAACATACATAAAGGAAAAAGCAACATCCTCAAATACAACATGGTGAACATTGATTCAATCACACTTGATCGAGAAACACAGGAATAGATGGAATCTTTCACACACATGTGTAGCAGTACCATCAATGAACGATGAGATGTAAAGGTAAGGAGTGGCAAATTAAGAACAACATTCCTACAATTGAACAACATATGGAACTCAAAAAAACAGTCTGTCAACCAATATCGAAATCACAATCTTCAATATGAACGTCAAGACAGTTCTATTGTATAGAGCTGAACTTCGAGAACTACTACATTCATCATCAAATAGATACAAGTATTTATAAACAGTTGTCTACGTAGGATACTCAATGTCGATTGTTGGCCGGATATCATCAGCAATAGCTTACTGTGTGAGAGAACAAACTAAATTGCGAATGAGGAGAAAATTAGGAAAAGTCATTGAAAGTGGATAGGATACATATTACGGAAATCATGAAACTGCATTACTAGGTAATCGGTAACTCGGGATCCTGAAGGGAAACAAAAAAAGAGGGAGACCAAAGTGTACACTGTCGAGAATTGGAAGCAGATATGAAAAGGATGAATAGTAACTGGAAAGAACTAGAAAGAATCGTCCAGGACAGAATTAAATGAAGAATGATAATGAGTGTCCTATACTGCTCCATGATGTTAGGTAACAGGCATAAGTTAGTATTAAGAAATGTAAACTTCATGAATTTCTCATAAATGGTAACACACATTTACACACACACACCTCTAAGTGTAAACTTAGGTATATTCTCTTAACGGGTTTTATACTAGAACATTATAGCCAGCCAGCCATCCAGTGCTCCTTAATTTCTTTAATAAATATCTCACCTCAATTCATTCCTATTCAAATGAAACAATCTCATAGCAACATTGAGGAATAAATGGTGTGAAAAATAGAAAAAAAAACAATTTTTTTCTCCCAACAAAAAAATTGTTTCATTAAAAAAACATTCAATTAATAAAAGTAACTAGAAATTTCATTTAAATATCAACCCGGACCGCCCCCACCCGTCGCTGCCTCTTCTTTTAGTTTTGCTGAAATAAAAACAAACCATAATGATCCAGTATAAACTTGATGAAAATGAATTTTAAAAGGTAAATCAACTGAGAATTGTCAAGGAAAATGGGTGTGTGTGTATATATGTATATAAACAAAATACAAGTTTTGTTATGACCTTTATGAAAAAAGAAATTCCAGGAGGAGAAGAAGAAGAAGACGAGGGGAAAAAAGGGACGAAATAATTGTAAATAATTAATAACTTGATATACAAATATCAGTATAACTGATAATTAATACATCTGGTTGAATGACAGCTCATGTATATTGAGAAAGCTCGTTTGGCTTTTGCCAACTTACGTCACCTATAACGAAGGTGAAATATCCGTCTGTCAATTAAGAAACGAGTATACTGTGCATTAGTTCATTCTGTTTTACTTTACGGATGCGAAGTGTGGTCATTAAGAGTTGAAGTTACTCGTAAGTTACTAGTATTTGATCAAATATGTCTTGGAAATATTGCTCGCATCTAATGGGATCACCGCGTAAGTAATAGTGAGGTTAGGTGCATGGTATTAGGGAACGATGGTAAATCAGTTGATGAGGTTGTAAATGTTTGGGCCATGTGTCATATATACGTGAACTCCGATTACCATGACGCGCAATGCTAACTGGTGTTGAGGATGGTTGTAAGAAAGTTAGAAGCGGCCAAACCAAAACGTGGCATCAGTGCTTGAAGTCACTAACTTGTAGTCTGAACCATGTTAATAGATGCAGACTACCTGGTTGGTGTCCGCTTGACTATCGTAATCAATGGTTGGAGACTCTTAGTGACATGGTTCAGAATCGATCATAGTGGTGTAGGTGTATACGTTCTTTGTCTTCCCTTAAACTATGAGATTAATATTGCTTTATATCTTTCTTTCTACGAACTAATTCTTTCTTCCTTTATTATATCCTTATACACTATCTTTCTTTTATATATTACTATCATTGAATTAAGTACTTATATGAATTCGGTGTTCATCTTGTTGTGCTAATGGAGTGTGGCAACTTGAACCGATGCATATATGTATGTGGTCCTACTTTGTAGCTGATTGACTGACATATAAATGACAAATTAATAATTAAACTGATTTACTTAAGTTGGCTATTTAATTGCACCCTAAATATGCCTTTTTGTAAAGTCTAAAAATTAAGTACACTGTTATTTGTAAATTAGTTCGTGTGAATTGTTCGATAGTAATTCCAACACAAGAATGAAACATCTATTCATCCAGCATTTAACAGTTTCTTGCTTGATATTAGTCTAAATAGAAAATTCTCCAAAACAACCATTAAAACTGATGTAGGTAGTTGATCTTTAAAATCATATCCTGTTCTGAGCGATAGTTAACCTATATTGAATAAATAATCTTTAATCAGAGAGGGATTGTGTGGATACATTATAGTGATTTAATAGTTGAATTCATAAGTCCCATGAAGCTATACCACCATGGAAATTCTGATGAAAGTACTTGACGACCATTTCGTTCTAGTATAGGACTCTTCAGCAATGCGCATCCACGATCCCGTTCGGCTAGATTCAAACCCATGAACTATCGGCCTCGCACGAAAGCTTAACCTATAGACCACTAAACCGGAGATATTCAAACAAACGAATGAATAAAAACAAGCTGTTAGCTTAAAAGTCACCGTGAATAAGTGAGACTGATCCGTTATTATAAAGCCTAGTTTATTACTTCCTAGCAACTGTTATCCAAGACTGTATGCGAATCAGTCAACTAATTTTGTGTCTCAGCTTTAGCAAAGTCATTTCAAATACCCGTCAACTTTTAATCCGCTCGTCTGTTTTTCAATGAATTAATGGGATCACTATTCGGTCTAGCAGTCAAGTGATCGATAAATTGTGATTAACAATTCAGTCACATCCCCAATAAAAAGTTCCAGACATCCATCTGAAACTTACATACTATCATTAGTGAATACTTGAAAATTTTGGTGATAAGGCTTAGTGGAGTCTAATTTAGTATGTATATAGTATTATTCATGAATTGAATCTGTTAAGATACCATTGAGAAACAAGGATGATTAGTGTACAGTGTATAACATTCTAATTTAATACAACTTTTCAGTTCCCCCTAAACTTTAACCAGTCAGTTAGCAACAACTTAGAACTGTGTACGTGAGTGGACAACCTTGACGAGCACTACTTGAGGTAATCGTTTCTGATGATACTTCATAATAATTTCTCACTCGGCCAATCGGTTCGCTTAGAAAGCCAACATAAAGTTAATGTATTTATTTGGTTCTCCTTAACCTTTAATTTTACCATAAATGAGATTAATCCATTACGAGTACAAATCTAACAGTTCTACTCAGCAGTACGCATACACGATCCCGTAAACATGGCTCGAACCCAACATATTCGCCTTTGCGCTAGAACTCTCAAATTCTAGATCCCTGGTCTGGCATCTACCGGTGTTAATGTTTAACTTCAACCAATTGACGAATTTGCGCCACCGTCCACCATTGTCTTCAGTGAATTATTATCTCACAGCAAACACGGTTGAACTCCACTGGAAACAGCCTCTCACCAGAACTTCAGGAAACACAATGGTGTACGGTGGCGCAATACTGTGGATTGATTGCAATTATACATTAACACCGTTGGATGCAGACTCAGTGGTCTAAAGGTTAAGCGTTCGTGCGCGAGACCGATAGGTACTGAATTCGTATCCCGCGGGCGAGATCTTGGATGCTCACTGCTATGGAGTCTCAAACTAGGACGATTTTGCCATGCAGTGCTTCCAGGTTTTCCATGATGGTCCAGCTTTGATGGGCTCATGAATTCAACTAGTAAATTAAGAGAATGAATACACCGCTTCTCAGCGCATTTGTACATCTGTACAGCTCCAATGAATGATATAATCGATAACATTTTCCTTTGTAGAAATAACTTTTAATCATTCATAATTTTCAATCACTTTCAAATAAGTATTTTATTTTCAAAATCTTTTTTTCCTTATTTCACTTAGGTTTAAGTAAATTTGCTCGATTAGCACGTTCAGTTACACGAAATCGTTCAGTTCTGCAACAATTATCTGCATCACAAACATCAGCACAAAATTCTGCATTAACTGTATATCGTAGTAATCGACTAACAGTGTGCAGTGGTGGCGGTGGTGGTGGTGCTGATAGTACTAGTGGTGCAATTAATGATGATACAGAAGTATCAAATCAAATGGAACAATATAATTCACCAAGTTTATCAAATTTTCAAAATTTAAACACGAGTTCAAGTTCACGATTTCATGATTCATCAAAATCCGATCCAGAAAAAGCGGTAATGGTAAGTGATCAATAAAGAATAATAACAATTATAAGCCTTATTCAATATTCGATCATTGGTACAATATAGAATTCTCAACACTAAGTATTTCAATAAGTTTCCCATTTCTTATTTCTTGATCTATCCTGATGATAACATATTGAATGATCGCAAGTTGGATATTAGCATTTCAGAAGTCGACATCTGAACAATGTACTTTTTTCCGCAGCAACCACGATGTCTCTGATAAGGCACTTTTGTAACGTGTACAGTGAAGAGGTTGCAAACTTTTCATAAACGTACTTGGGTAGGTTGTGCATTTAATTGACATAACGACTGTTACCACACGTCGTGGAGGAGCATAGGCCGCCTATCATCACTCTCCATCCAACCTTGTCCTGGGCAATCTATTCCACCTCTATCCAGTTGTTATTCATTCTTTTCATATCTGCTTCTATTTCCTTACCAGTTGTTTCCAGTAGCTATTGATTCTCTTCATGTCTACTTCCGATTTTCGACGCATTGCGTTGTTCGAACATTCACTTTTTCGTTTCCCTTCACGATTCCAGATAGTAAGTGCTTACCTCATGATTTAGTTTGATGATCTCTGTAATGTATGTTCTGTCTACATCCAACGTCTTCCTAATTTCCATTTCAACTAGATATTGTTTTTTCTGTCACTTAGTGAGCTGTTGCTGATAATATCCGGCCAACAATGGACATTCAGTATCGTACGTAGACAGCTGTTTATAAATACTTGTATCTATTTGATGATGGATGTAGTAGTTCCCAAAGTTTCAGCTCCGTACAGTAGAAGTGACTGTGTTGACGTTCATATTGAATATTGTGACTTTGATATTGGTTAACAGGCTGTTGTTTTGAGTTCTATGTATTGTTCAACCATAGGAATGCTTTTCTTACTTTATCAATCATCACTCTTATTTCTGTATCAGATCCTCCTTGTTCATCGATGATGCTGCTGACCAGGTACCTGAAAGATTTCACGTCTTCTAGAGTTTCTCCATCAATTGTGATTAAGTTGATGTTCTCCATGCAGTATTTCAGGATCTTTCTTTCACTCTTGTATATGCTGAGGCCCAGTGATACAGAGACTGCTATCACGCTAGTTTTCTTCCTATGCATTTTTTTCGTGTGTATGGGACAGGAGATCTAGGCCATCTGTGAAGCCCAAATCGTCTAGTTGCATTCAACCTGTCCATCGTATTCCGCGCTTGCCATCAGATGTGAAGGTCTTCACAATCCAGCCAATCACTATAAGAGGTAAAATGAGGGAGAATAAGTAACCTTGTCCGACTCTGTTCCTCAATCGGAATGCATATATCAGCTGTCATCCATGCACAGCTTTGCAGTGTTTTTCGTCGTATGAGTTCTGTATGATGTTGACGATTTTCACAGCTACTCACACCATAGTGTTGAAGACGTTTCCATAATGTTCTTCTATCTATACCGTCAATTTTTTTCTTATAGCCAAGAAAGTTGATCTATAGTGACGAGTTCCATTCAACTGATTGTTCACCAGTGATTAGTAGTGTCGTATTTTGGTCTGTGCATGATTGATCCCTTCAGAATCCGATCTGTTGATCTCAAAGCTGAACATCTACTGAATGTTTCAACCGGTTCAGCAACACTCTATTGAACGTGTAAATAAAATACTGACTAGGAAAATTGAATTAACAAGTAAAATTAACCTTCACAAAATCTCCCAACTAAAGTATAATCGTATACACATCAGCGAATAACTTTCAGATTGGCATTCCCATAATATGATAGTGGATTTCAGCCATAATAAGAGTGAGACAATCATCACAGATGTCTCTGGGTGATTGCTGTACTATACTTTAAAAAAGTAGGAATATGAAATATGAACTGGTGAATTTTAACTAAATAGTTTAATTGTTAATCATTCCCTTAAAAACTTGAAGGTTACAGGTTTGATCGCAGGAAGGATCTTGAATGCACACGATGTGCAGTCAAATGGTTTAAGGCATCTGTTTTCTGCTCCATTGTTTTGATTTTTCAAAGTTTTAATCAGAATTTATGAGTTGAAGTGTTTGGAATTGAGACGGTTATTAACTAATAACAATCAATGATGGAGTGTATTGCAAACTAGCTGAAGTAGGGAAATCTTAATTATTGGATTCTAATACATTAAGTTTAACATATCACACCCTTAAAGAAATGTATGTACCATAGTTTCCATCTGGTTAGATGTTTGAGGATATTTAGTAGGAAACCCTCCAACTATTTTTCGTTTTAGTTGATATCCATCATCAAGACGTATCTTGAATCTTGTGAGAACTGTTGCTCTCTGTACGATTTGAACCAATGTCGCCCAGCTTTTAAGTCTGAGATGTTACCATATATCTCCTGTAGGATTGCGATATTTACAACTTTATTGATGATGTCTCAAAATGTAAAGCCAGATGAATCGGGTTAAAGTCTCATAGGCACCAGAAGTAACATCAATATTCAACCCACACTTTCAGAACTTTTGTCAACCGGCAAAAAATAGGGCTTCTTGCTGATCACATCTCAATATTGTGCAAGCGATATTGAGTCACTTATACTAATGACCATAATGCAACTTGGTAGATATAAACCGTGTAGCAGTAAGGACAACTAGACAAATATTACGTTGTGATTACTTAGTTATCAATGAGTTGTCATTATCTCATTCTACCAAATCCCACTTCGTTTTCTAAAACAGTCCTCTAGCTAATGTACGAATGTGATGAAAATTTAATTCATACAACAGTGGTATTCAGGACGCGCGTTTCTTTCTATTTGAGATTCGTCAGCCGAATGTACCTGTATCTTAGAGTTGGTGTTCATTCTGGGACTTGAACCCAATACTATTCGCTTCATCAGCTACTGAGTCCTGATAGCTACTTCGTTGTGCAATGTGGTGAAGGTTAAATTCACTTAGTATTGTTTACTTGATTCTACTAATTGATGTTTGGGACTGCGATTGATCAGTCTGTTATTGGCATATATGCATACTGTGCGTATTGCCTTGAACCTTGATTCGATTATTCTTTTCAGCAACCCATTTTTTCCTCTATACACAGTAAAATAACTTTAAAATACATATAATACCAGAAATATAATTTAGAAATTTTGTTTGAAAAACAATAGTTGAATTCATGGATAGATTAAAGATAGACCACTACGGAAAACCTGAAAGTACTGGACGGCCATTCCGTCTTAGTATGGAACTCCTCTATGATACTTATCCACAATCCCACTCGCAAGATTCGAAACCAGGACCTTCCGTCTCACGTGCGAGCATGTAATCTCTAGATCGCTGTTAAGAAGTCCCATACTAGGACAAAACGGCCTTTCAGTACTTTCAGGTTTTCCATAATAGTTTAGCTTTAATCGACTCATGAATTCAACTATTAAATTACTACAATCTTCACAAAATCCCGTTTTCGATAAAGTTATGATTGTTATACAATTCAGGAAAACATGTTATTTTACAAATGAACATACTTTAATATGTGTCAATAATACTTAACTAAGCATAATATAATTACATTATGATGCAATGTTAATAGATATAATGTCATTTAAGGAACTTCCGGGTAAATATAACTTTGAATGAACACTTACTCTTGTCGTCATGGTAACGTCATTAGGGTTTTTATTTATTTAACTACCATTTCTCTTTACATCACATGCAGATACTCACTACTCTCTTAACACTTTCATGTTTACACACTAAATATAATAAACAAGAGGAAACATTTATGATTATATTTTACCAGGTTAATTGTGTCCTTCAATAGTTTTTTCATCAAAATGGCGGATTGGGGACGGGGAGAACTTGAACTTTTCCAGTGAATTGAACATTGAATTGTTGTATTGTAATTAGAAAAAAAAAGGAAAAATGTTCAGCTAACTGGTTTGACTATAAAAATATAGTGATTAGTGGTGGTGGTGGTGATAATGGTCGTGGTGGAGATTTTTAGCTCAGATGAATGATTTTAATGGAATTTTGTTCTCTAAGTTGGATGCTTTAGTCATGGAGCTTTCATCGTTTCATCATTAATACAAACTTCAGGTAGAAGTGTAATGTTTGAAGCTCTCTCTATATATATGGTTCACAGCTTGTCATGACAGGTTCAAGGTCAATAAGAACCAATCAACATCGAAGTTTACAGGACAAACTGTGAGCCGTATGTGAAGGAATTCGAACACTTCACTTCTACCTGAAGTTTGTATCGATGATATTGTCGTTCGGCACAACCATACCATCTAGCTGAAAGAACAAAACTCCATCAAAATAATGATTAGTACATTCAATACTGTTCTTTATTGAGATAAATTATGAACATAATTTTTGAACAACATTGTCCTTAAGTGTATCAGAATATAGTTATTATGTATATATTTCATTAATGATAATAAAGACTTCAGTTTGATTTTGCAACTCAAATACGTTTGTTTATTTATATCTTTAAAAAAAATGTTCGTACTAATCAGTCACATATAATTCAATGAGGTAAACTTCCATTCATTCATTAACTGGGACATTTTTGTCTTAAAATGTGATATTTTGTGGTGTGGGGTGTTATTAACATGTTAACTAGCGACCAACTATAATGTATTTAAAAGATGGTGGTTGGAGGTGGTCAACAGGAAAACCTGGACTTAAGTTTCGTGTTACGTGGTGGTAGGGATCCAATCTATAAGGGAGTATCCGTTCCCTCACAATTACAGGTATACCTTGCTGACGAGTGCAAAGTAGCACGAAACCTAGGTCTAAAGTTTCCTGTTGACTACCTCCAACCATCATCTTATCTCAACATAATGCACTCAATGTCGACTCACCTAGATTGTTGGCCACATTGCAACTTGATTGATAGGATTTGATCTGCACTCAGAAAGTGCTGACATACTTGACATTGATCACCACTTAGTGATTAATTATTTGTAAGTGTACCTTAAATTCTGTTACACAGCCAAACCTAATTCATATAACTTATTGAATAGTGGGTAGTAGTGGAATCTGTTCCATGTATTTGATTATTTTGTTTGTGACATATTAACTATTGAAAAGCAAGAAGTAATGGATAGTTTATTAGCGGCCCCTTATCTGACTCCAGTTAGATCGTACATGTCGTCAATCCTTGTATAGAAACTATCGACTTAACTTGCGTTGTGGAGTAATCAAATTAAATACGTCAAATACAAGAATGAATTCGGAATACATATATTTCGTTCACTTATTGATTTGGACAGACAATCACAGGAACGTGGCGAAGAGAAGAGAGAAGAGAGAAATGATGCACGGTGGAGAAGGTGTGTGAGCCAACTCGATTTAATCAAACGTTAATTAACATTTATAGTTACAGACTTGTGGTGAATGGGATAAGAATCGCACACTTATACGTTTACATAATAACAGTCAAGGCTGATAAGCGAACAATTAACAAGGACATAACGTGACTCAAGAAGATTAGATAAATTGGCCTGTTCAGAAGCTAGAATAAGCTATATGGACTTAACATAGTAACTAACACTACAATTTATTCACATTAGGACGTTACTCATCAACAGCGCTCAGTAATAACCGCACAAATGAGTAAACACGGAATTTTTCAATTTCACTTTGAACGGTTAATCTTTAAACAACAAATCTAATTTTTATCAGATTACATACTTAACTTCAATCACTCCTTTTAGTGATATTACACAATTACCTCACTATCAGTCTATGTAATAATCTGCAACAATTTGGAAGACTCACTTGGTTTCCCATATTGTACGCGTATTCCATGTATCTAAATTAATGGTTGATCTGATTGTCAGAAGGGGTATCAATGTCGTGACTTTCGAAAGAAGTCGGCTTTCACCATGAGGCATCATAGCTCTTCTAAATAAAGATCTTTTTAAACTCACAGGGCACAATTTATATGATTTGAATTATTTTTTTCTGGTTACGGTTTTTTAGCAAGTTATTTTTCTACGGAATGCGGTCACTCACCCCATGCCCAACCTCTTTCCTTTATCTAGACTTGTGACCGACAGTAGCCTTAGAAGGTGGGTTCCCGGTGGATTTATGTATTATTCTACTATCTTCTCCATAAATGATTCATTTTAAATTATGCAATAATTTTACAAAACTTAATCTCCCCTTTCTCTTTTCTTCTTCTTCTTCTTCTTCAATATTGTGTTGCCCTCCTCCTCCTTCCCCCTCTCACAATAATAGTCAACTTCATCATGGTTGGATTTAGTTCCACAATATAAACAAGAAGCACCAAAAACTCCACCACATATTATATTACATTATGTGGCATTTAAAACAACATGGGATTGGTTAATATTATTTTTAACTGGTTATACAGCAGTAATGGTACCATTTAATGCAGCATTTAAAAGTAAAACAATGGATGATGTTAGTTTATTAGTTGTCGACAGTATTGTTGATGTAATATTTTTTATAGATATTGTATTAAATTTTCATACAACATTTGTTGGACCAAATGGTGAAGTTATATCAGATGCTACTATTATACGGATTAATTATTTAAAAGGATGGTTTATTGTAGATGTATTATCATGTTTACCATATGATGTATTTAATGCATTTCAACCGGAAGCAACACAAGTAAGTTGATTGAAATCAATGTATATATATATATATATATCAATATGTGTGTATCTTTATTGATTGATCGATATGTGCCCTATGAGTCACTTGATTTGTGTGTAGGATGTGATACCAATTGGGAACCTAAACCGAAGCTGGTAGTTTTCTTAGAGGGTAACATTGCGAACCTTTGACCTAAAGTTCTCATCCACAAAGCAGTGTAGCAACGTAAGGAGATGAAGTCCTATGATAGCCGGTCACCAACGATTGGTTTATATGCGATATTTTCCCTAAGGATCCTGAAGCCCATGTGTATCACTGGTTCGGAATCAGGGTATTCCAACTCCACGAAGTGAACTCACCCTATCCATCAAGCCGGTTAAGTCGTCGGACATTCACTTTTTGTCCTCTCAATTTTTTAAACAACAGTAATTCTATGAGAAGGTAGTGAGTAGGACTTCCCTGATAGTGGTTGTATGCACGTGGCTATGCGAAAGCGATTGGGGAGATAGTTCTGACTCTCCCTGTCCTTACTACAATCATAAATTGTTTAACACATTTAAGATTAATATAAAGAAAATACCTTTGTTATGTAATAATTATATCAGTTGTAATATTATAAGTATTATAGTAATAATCACTGTATTGAATTGATTCATTCTATTAACTTTCTTCTTGTTACTATAATGCATTAAATACAATATGAAAACTATTACACCGTTTGTAAAATATGTTCTTGTTTCTTCATTATAAAGGATATCGGTTGTTATAAGGAAATTTTATCGTTTAATAATAGTGATTATCTAATGCATAAACTCTCTCTTAACCACCCACCCACCTACTCATCCATACACACATACATGATGTTTGGTCTAACACAGCAACAAGATATGCTTCATAGTTGAAAAGAAACTTAGTCTTAGAAAATAGTAACTAAGGTATTTATAAAATAGACAGAGATGAAGGAAGTAATAATGATTATCTATAACATTAAGAAGAATCACGTATAATCTGAAGATACATCTTTAGGACTCCACTTCATTAAGCAAGATTATTGTGATCCTACTGATCGATTCTAGATTGGAAAACATCACAGTATAAAATGGTCACCATTTTTTTCTTACATTTTCTGATTTAGAGTCAAATCTCCACAAACCCCTTCTGATAGTAATCATCTGCTCACTAGTGACTGACTTAGAGAGATACTCCTGGAGTTCTAGTGGGAAGCCGTTACCAGTGGAGTTCAACCAGGTCTATTGTGAGATATCAGCTCACTGAAGACAATGGACATTAGCACCGTTGGACGCCGGCTCAGTGGTGTAATGGTTAAGTGCTCGCGCGCGAAGCCAGTAGGTCCTGCGTCAGAATCCCGCGGGGTGCGGGGTCGTGGATGCGCACTGCTGAGGAGTCCCATACTGGGACGGGACGGCCGTCCAGTGCTCCCAGGTTTTCCATGGTGGTCTAGCTTCAACTGACTCATGATTTCAATCTGTGAAAATTTCTAAAATCTCCACAAACCCCTTCTGAAAATAACTTTATCTCAGAAAAACTGAAGTGTGTAAGCTTAAAGCTAGATTGTTTGAATAAATGCATTATCCATTCAAATGTTAGTAACTATATTAGATTTCACTACTATGTCAAAGATTCTCTAAATTAACATATTTTACCTTAGCTTTTATTAAACCTAGATAGGTCTTTGCTACCACATTATCACTAGCATGCAGTAAGCTATTCAAATACACACACATATATATCGCAACCGTTTCTATCCGACCAGTAACATGAGTGTGTATTTGTGAAGCATATTAAAAAGTACACCTCATATTTAACTTTAGTTAGGTCTAATAACATAAATCACTATGATTTTCATATGTACCTAAATTAATGGTTGATCTGGTTGTCAGAAGGGACATCAATGTCGTGATTTCCGAAAAAAAAACTTGGTTCTCACCAATGAGGCGTCATAACTCTTCTTAATAAAGATCATCTTGTAGTGTGGTGTAGAGTCGCGGTTGAATATGATCACCACTACATGAATGTTGCGTACCAAATATCAGAAGGCGATTAAACGTTGTAGCGAGATATATTTGTGGACGATCTCGTAGTATCCAAAAAAATACCAAGTGTGGTTAGTGAGCGTAATCGAATTCGTGCAAGGTCACAATCAACGGAAGAATGAATGTGTTTTGGTACAGTTAAACAAACGAGCACAGTAAAAGATTCATTGATACAATTGGTTATAATAATAATTGTCTCCATTACACTAATCGGGTTCTCTTGATAAAAGTAGGTCAATACAATCTAACTCTCAATGCACAATTTAAATGATTTGAATTATTTTTTTTCTGGTTATCGTTTTTTAGCGAGTTATTTTTCTACGGAATGGGGTCACTAACTCCATACACAACCCTCTCCATTTTCCGAGCTTGGAACCGGCAGTAGCCTCAGAGAGTGGCTTCCTGATAGAGTTATGAATTCATTTTCATCATGTTTTCCTTTCACAAAAACGATTTTTTTTCCTTTATTTCTTTATTTCATTGAAATATACAGAGTACAATTAGTTCCTTATTTGGTGCATTAAAAGTTGTACGTTTATTACGTATTGGTCGTGTTACACGTAAATTAGATCAATATTTGGAATACATGGCAGCTAGTTTATTATTAATGATATCTGGTTTTGTTTTATTGGCTCATTGGTTAGCATGTGTATGGTATAGTGTTGGTCAAACTGATTTAAAAAATGGTATTTATTATGGTTGGATACCAAGATTATTAAATGATATTGATCAAGGTAAAACTACTCCAACTAATTGGACTAGTGGTGTAAGTTATTTATTTATTATTAATCATGAATTGTTTATTTAATACATTGAAACATTGGACGACTGTTTCGTCCTACTATGGGACACCTCCCTAACAGTGCGCATTCATGATCTCGCCTCGTGAGATTTGAACCTAAAACTTATCAGTCTCGTGGATGCGCACTGTTAAGGAGTCCCACAATAGGATGAAATGGCCGTCCAGTCCTTTCAGGTTTTTCATGGTGGTCTAAGTTCAATTGAATCATGATCTCAACTATTAAAATTAATATAATCTCCACGAAAACCCCTTCTGAACATATGAATAGTTTAAATGTCGGCGAAACAACAAAGTATACCACAATCTTATATTCTCTAAACAACCATTGGATAACAGTTGGTTTACTTCTTCTACACAAATGAGACGTTAATTTACCATTTACGAATATCTACACTAGATTCTCACCTCCTCCCAATGTCTATTCTACAGGACTTCAATACAACTCAGATCAAGAACAGATGATTAGCATGACTATAATGTAAATATATTTCCACACTAAAAACCGACAACAATCCAATAACAATCAATGATTATCATTCTCGTTCACATATGAATCTCTTTCATAAAACATTTTACCAACGAGTACCTTGAACTGAACAAGTTTCACGTTGAATATAAAACTACCAATCTGTTGAATGTTCCATATTCCCTACTTTTATTAGCTAATGAATCGTTATTTCAGTTTGAATTGAGTTAATCTCAATTGACATTAGTTTATAATACACAGTATTCTTCAGTGATATAAACGTTTCATATCCACTAACTAAAAGGGGGAAGTTCAACTTCAGAAGAGGGGATGTATTCCATAACCAGCCAAAAGCACGAACAACAACAACAACAACAAGCAAAACTCAACCATAGTGGAGAAGATTTGTAGCTCAGGTAGAAGTTTGTGCTGATGATGTCGTTCAGAAGAACGATGAAAGCTCCACGACCAAATTCAACCATTTATATACAGTATAAAAATGTCTTTAAGAAATATTACAAAATAAATATATTAAAAAAGACAACGAACCAATCATATTTAAAGTTCTCTTAAGCGGGAAATGTAACATAAAAGTGAAAATGGGTGCTTTGGGCGCCAAAACAAGAAATTTAAATTTTCAAGATAAAATTACAAAAATAAGGTATTTACCAAGTGAGTTCTGGAGTTCTAACAAATTGACAAACATAGATGCTTGAATGAAAATCTCATTGAATTGAATAGAAACATAAGAATTCTGAGTATAACTGAAGTGTTTCTTTAAAAAGTATAGAGAAATTTACTTAGAAAATTACTGTAAAAGAAAACAATAAATGAATAACTTTTAACAGCCTTATGAATTCCGAGGGAGTGGTTCACACCCGAAGACTTCAACCTAAAGGTCTGATCCACAAGATAATGGAACAACGTAAGGAGATCAAATCCCATGTGTAGCCGGTCACTAATAATTGATTTATACGCCATTTGTTCCTTCAGGATCCTAGAGCTCATGTACACCAATGGTTTGGAATCAGGGTTTCCCAAATCCCCTACATGGATCCTCCATATCCACCAAACCGATTAAAGTGTTAAAAATTCAGTTTTTGTTCTCTCAATTTCGTAAACAATAGTAATTCCACGAGAAGTTCATGAGTAGAACTTCCTTCGCATTAGCTTTATAAGCATAGCTATATGAAAACATTTTGAGAAGGAGAAAGGAACCATCCTACCGTCAGTCATATCAGAGCATTTAGTAAATTATCTAATCATAGTCACTATCTTACAAATTCTTTAAAATACATTTAACTCCAGTTTCTTTGCTTGTTATCAAACAACGATGATAATTAACAGATATATACATTATCTTTCCCCCCCCCTAAAGACAAAACTCTATTTGATCTAATCAGGTACATACACACACACACACACACCCCTATTGCTAAAATTTGTTTATTCATAAATTATTAATTATATTGTTTTAACCTTAAACAACAAGAGAACAAAATTGAACTCCTTTTTCGGCATATCTCGTGATTAATAATGCTCAATGTTCTAGATGTCTTATATGAATAGATGGGAATTATCTAAATTGAATTAGATATTAACTTGTATTACTTTATATTGGCTTATATTGACCTTAATTCTAATAAATATTAATAAAATATGTCAACTACAATTTGTACCAAGAATATACCATAGAATTGAAGGTCTCTTATTCATCAATTAATCATGTCTAAATAAGACAAATGCCTTCTTCTTCTTCTTCTTCTTCTTCTTCTTCTTCTTGGTCTTCTTCTCCTTGTTCTTATTCTTCATTGTTTGAATAAGTTTTGTAGTTTACATCAAGTAATCGGTTTGATTAGAGAATTACAAAACAAAACAAATAAACAACAAGCTATTTTATCTTATTATAAAACGATTTAGAAGTGGATATATATATATATAGATAGAGACAGAGAGAGATACGATCATATGTGTAGCATTAAACTTGGAAAATATTGTGATAAATCTTAGGAAATGCGGCGAGACTCTAATTTATGGACGACCTTTGAACGACTCTTAATTGGCCTTTAGGAATATTAGCCAATCAGCAAACAGTCAGTATAGAGTAAAAATATATTATACAGAACCGAGGAAATAAAGTGGATACACTTCTTATACATGGTTCAAAAACTTGTCAACGTTAGTAAGAGGTTCAGAGGTTCTAAAATCGTAATGACTACAGTAGTGGGAATCATCCATACGCCTACAGAATAGTTGACCTTTGTAGCCATGATAAAGTCTCAAAAACTCTTTCAGCCTCGAACACATAGTTCAATATTGTTTATCTGCACTCTGGTTGTTAATTGCACAAAATGTTACTTGTGGAAAACAACACGATGCACATAATCAAGCCTATGTAGCAGTCTGTACGCTCTCCAAACATCTGAATATATTGTAGTACCTGGATGCAGCCAGTGTTACGGGTGCTTTTATTATCCAGTTCACAGTAATTGTCATAATTTGCTTTAGTTAGGAATTATATATGGGGTTTTCATCACGAACTGACACCAGAAATTTATGTAGCCAAATGGATGAATAGCTTTCGCGTTAAAATCCGAGATGTATTATCTTGTACCTGATTGGTTCGTCCACAAATTATACTCTCGCCATTTGATTTGTTATAGCTGCTCAATTATCACATTTTGTACAAAATTCCCTGTGAACCGATCGTACGTTATCATTAAGCACTAAAGTTGGCGCCGTAACCTTGAAATCTCTAAGACGCTTCCGACTGGTTCGTCCATAAATTAGAGTCTCGCCGGAAAAGCATTTAAGTTATTGATTGAGAACATAAACCGATTGATGTTAGATCACTATTGAAAACCTGGAAGTCTCGAAGTTCTAGTAAGAAGCTATGATCAATGGAACTAAACCGTGTCACGTAAAGACAGGTATCTATCTTAATACGATGGAAGATGATAGCGCAATTTCATGGATTAGTTGAGGTTATACATTAAAATTATTGGATGCCGACTCAGTGGTCTAGAGGTTAAGCGTCCGTGCGCGAGACTGAAAGCCTTGTGTTTGAATCCTGTGAATAGGATCGTGGATGAGCACTGCTGACGAGTCCCACAATAGGATGAAACGGGCATCCAGTGTTTCTAGGTTTTCAATAGTGATCTAGCACCAATCGGTTCATGATCTCAATTAATAACTTAATAATCTTCACAACCTTTACGTAATCAATCAGAATGATTAATTCAATGAAGAGTTTCTGTTTTCGGCGAATACACTTTTAAAACTGTACAGCTTTGAAAATGATCTTTACGAAATGTTAAATTCCAATAACAGGATGAGTGAACGAATAGAATCGATAACATTTTATGCATGACGTTTAATAAAAAAAAGTTCAGATTGGATAAATATGGTTTCTTTGAAGAATTTTCCAGTAGTATTTAGGATATTTGTATATGTTAACTCGATCCTGAAGAAAGATAACCTTCACATTCACTTCTACACGTTTGATAGAATAACACGGAAACTGATTAAGTTCCTTAACTGTGTAACTTTGAAAATGAATTCACCGAAAAGGGAACTCTTCGAAATGATGGAGAAGATTTCTAGCTCAGGTGGATGATTTTGATAGAGTTTTATTCTTTGAGGTGTTCTATTCTTGATTGAAATTATGAACTGATTGATGTTAGACTACCGTTGGAAACCTGGAAGCACTGGATGAACGTTTCATCCTATTGTGGGTCTCCTTAGTAGTGGGCGTCCACGATCCCGCTTGTGTGATTCTATTGTTTGAACACGATTAAGCCATCCAGCTCCGAGAGCAAAACTCCATCAAAGAGAACTCTTCACTGAACTAATCTTTCTTATTTAATGTCTTAATGGGTATGTAGTGTCAGTTATTATGGCAAGCCCATATACCTTATTCTAACTTCCGGACATCCTATTTTATTCATTTTACTTGGGCCATATTTTGACCTTGTCAATTATTCGCTTGTCAGTCTTGACTGTTTTTTATATGAGCGTATATGAGTGTACACTTCATGTTCCATGATTCATTCTATGTCTGTAGCTTATTTTGTCTGACTATAAATATGGAATAACACTTGACTAAAATGGAGTTGGCTTCCCAGCCATCTTCCATACGTGTCAAAATTGCTTTGTTATGGCTCTCGCTCGCTTAGCATGCGAACAGGCCACCAAAGGTATATACTGTTTATTTAATTAATCAACATGGATAAACTATCTATCCTTATAAGATATCTTATTATTATTGTGATTATTTAGAATCCACCACTTCCACGTACAATGACTTATGTAACATCATTATACTTTACATTATCATTAATTACAAGTATTGGTTTTGGTAATGTATCAGCGACAACATTTGGTGAAAAATTAGTTGCAGCGGTTTTTATGCTTATTGGAGGTAAGTTTTAAATTTACAAAATGATGAAAAATCTATAGTCTATTTAGTAGTTAAATTGATGATTCAATGTAACCTAGACTATCATTGAAAACCTGGAAGCACTAGACGGACGTCTCGTCCTATTATGGGACTCCTCAGGAGTTTACATCCATGACCCCATGCAGTCTTGCATGCGAAAGCTTAACCTCTAGACCATTAGGTCGATATTCAACAGTGTTAATGTCTAACTTCAACCAATTCACAAAACTGTGCCACCATCCACCATTGTCTTCAATGAGTTACTATCTCATAACAGACAAGGTTGAACTTGCAGTGTCGGTTATTATGACGAGCCCATATGCGTTACTCTAGCTTATTCATTCTAATTGAGTCATATTTTGACCTTATTAATTGTTCGCTTATCAGTCTTTACTGTCTTTATATGACCGCGTATGTGTATGCCCTTATTATCCCATTCATCACATATCTGTAACTTATTTTTATTTGACTATAAATATTGATTAACGCCGTGTCAAATGGGAGTTGGCTTACCCGCCATCTCGACTGCGCATCGTTTCGCTTCTCTCCATTCCATTCGCTTGTTACTTGACTTATTTAATTTCATAATTGACTAACGCGATTTAAGTCGTATATATCAGTAATATCTATTTCGTGATATCCTAACAGGTGGAGATTTGCATTTCTAAAACTTTATGTCTTAATATCAATCACTTATTGGGTTAGTAATATCTCCCGACAAGAATAATAAATGGCGGTAACTGTTGAGATGGATTTATGGACTAATACAATACGCATATTTTTATTGTATCATTGTTATGGAACTAAACTATTTGCATATTCATGTTCCTCTTATTATGAGCATCCATTTGACTCATATAATATGATGATATGATTTACCATTCTTGAGTTGTGCCCAGTCTGTCAATTACAGTCTCCTACATTCACAGTCACTTTTGGCTTGATTTTGTACAAATGTCATTTGATGTGGTTTGGTTAGCTGGTATATAAACCCAGTATATTTGAAATACATGATTCATATCGCAAAGGCTGAGATTGGTGTTGTGGCCTCTAACAACCAAGGCTAGGCAGGACCCAAGGACTGATAAGGACTTCGTACGTGTTTTCATAAGGCATTGGTCCAATTGATAAATCACTATTTCACTAATCAACAATATTATTACATCATATATTGACTGGGTCACAAAACCCACAAATTCTAACAATTCAGTAATCATTTCTTGTTTATAGCGAGACTCCAATTTGTGGACGACCTTTGAACGGACCTTCAGTGACCTTGAGAAATATTAGCCATTCAGCAAACAGTCAGTATAGAGTAAAATTATACTATACAAAACCAAGGAAATAAAGTGGATACACTTCTTATAAGTGTAATTCGTCCACCAATTATACTCTCGCCGTTTGATTTGTTATAGCCGGTTAATTATCACGTTTTGTACAAAATTCCCTGTGAACCGATCGTACCTTAACATTAAGCATTAAAGTTGGCGCCGTAACCTTGAAATCTCTAAAACGCTTTTGATTGGTTCGTCCATATATTAGAGTCTGGCCCTTGTTTATTACTCGTCATCAAATTCTATTTAACAATTATGTCAATGTTGTGATATTTTTCATTGATCAACTTACAGAGAAACTCTGAATTCTTATTTACTTCATTCTACCTGACTTTTCTTTTTCTTTTTTTTTTGTTTCTTTGTTAATAAACAAGCATTTGGTTATGCTACCATATTTGGTAATGTGACAACAATATTTCAAGGAATGTATGCAACACGTTCTAGATATCATGATATGATGGCATCTGTGAAAGATTTCATTAAAACACATAGTGTACCAAAAGATTTAGCTGAACGTGTTATTGATTATGTTACATCAACATGGGCTATTACTAAAGGAATTGATACAGCTAAAGTAAGAATATTATTTACATTTTGTCTTGTAATTAATCTCTGAGTTCTTTATTTACAACTAGTTAGATTAAAAATATGAGAACTAGGAACTATTAGTTAAGTAGAGGTGGATAGTGGCTAGTAGTGGAATCTAGGACGGGCATTTCGTCAGCCAATTGAGATACGCGCGAAACCGAAGTTTCAAAACAACGATTTGTCTACAATAGCGGTTCTTTATTGAATAATACACTAAATTTAGTTACAAACCTCAACTTTTGAGGTGTCTGGGACGTTTAAACGCGTCCTTCAAGTATGAACGTAGAAACGCTTTCTGTAACAGTAACATAAAGAATAATTATAACATACGATAGTACAAAAGACAGCCGATAGCTGTGTCTATATTTGATAACAATTTATGAACAACCGAAACCCGAACCAAGAGCAAAACAATAAGGAAACTGTTGAGTTTAAACGAATGCACGAAACTGTGTATAACCGCTGCAGTGATTAAGGTACAGTAATTAAAATGACAAATACAATGATAAGCACAATAAACGTAATAAATATATGTGAACATTTTAGAATATTACACCACAACTTGCGTTACGACATTGGGTTTAAAAAGTTTTGGGAACACAACTGCTTACTGAATATAAATAAGTAGTACAAAACAATATACAAAAGAAAGGAAAGGGAGTTAGTGGAACAATGTAAGACAAACTTAACTGTACGTGTTAGTCAAACTTCCTCTATGAAGATAACTACATAGAACTTAGTCGAGATTTTACATCTTTGTGTGTTATAGTTTCTCAGTAATCACATGTGCATGCACAGCACTAGAGGAAAGGAATGATCTTATTTCAACTAGATATCGGCTAAGTTTCAATGTTAATATTCACTATGTCAATTTACCTACCATCTATTCGTCTAAATTGTTATACATTATCCATCAAACTCGGTGTAGCAGCAGCCTCAGTAGCATTAGGTCTCAACATACACAAGGGGAAAAGCAAGATTCTCCGATACAACACAACATGAAACAATCGAATCACACTTGACGAAGAAGATTTGGAAGATGTAGAAACCTCCACATCATTAGGCAGCATCATTGATGAACAGGGTGGATCTGATACAGATGTGAAGGCGCAGATCGGTAAAGCAAGAGCAGCATATTTACAACTGAGGAACATCTGGAACTCAAAACAACTGTCAACCAACACCAAGGTCAGGATTTTCAATACAAATGTCAAGACAGTTCTACTGTATGGGGCAGAAACCTGGAGAACTACGAAATCCATCATCCAGAAAATACAGGTGTTTATTAACAATTGTCTACGCAAAATACTTCAGATCCATTGGCCGGACACTATTAGCAACAACGTACTGTGGGAGAGAACAAACCAGATCCCAGCAGAGGAAGAAATCGGGAAGAAGCGCTGGAAGTGGATAGGACACACATTGAGGAGAGCACCCAACTGCGTCACAAGGCAAGTCCTCACTTACAATCCTCAAGGTAAAAGGAAAAAAGGACGATCAAAGAACACATTACGTCGGGAAATGGAGACAGCCATGGGAAGAATGAACAACAATTGGATAGAACTGGAAAGGAAGGCCCAGGACAGAGTGTGTTGGAGAATGCTGGTGGGCAGTCTATGCTCCATTGGGAGTAACAGGTGTAAGTAAGTAAGTAAGTAATTCATCAAACTACTGATTATCTACTACACTAAAGAAATGTATGTTGTTTTTGCCTTTTGTTTTTTCTTCCATTAGGTATTAAACTATTGTCCAAAAGATATGAAAGCTGATTTATGTATACATTTAAATCGTATGGTATTTAATGAACATCCAGCATTTCGTTTAGCTAGTGATGGTTGTCTAAGAGCATTAGCTGTAAATTTTAATACAATACATACAGCACCAGGAGATTTAATATTTCATCAAGGTGAAAGTATAGATCAATTATGTTTTGTTGTTTCTGGTTCATTAGAAGTTATTCAAGATGATGAAATAGTTGCATTTTTAGGTAAGTTGTGTAAATTAGGATAATAATAATAATAATAGATTTCAATAGTTGAAATCATGAGTCAATTGAAGCCAGACCATCATTTGAAAACCCGAAAACGCTGGACGGCCGTTTCGTCCTACTGTGGGACTCCACCTTAGCAGTGTGCACCCACGATCCCGCCTCGCGTGATTCGAACAGAGGACCTATCGATCTCGCGCATGAGCGCTTAACCTCTGGACCATTGAACTGGCATCCATTGGTGTCAATGTCTAACTTCAACTAATCCACGAAATTAAGCGACACATCTATCATCCTCAACAGTGCGCATCCACGATGCATACTGGGTTCGGATCACGCGAGGCGGGATTGTGAATGCGCACTGCTGAGATGTCCCGTACTAGAACGAAACGTCCATCTAGTATTTTCAGGTTTTCCATGATGCTCTAGCTTCAAATGACTCATGATCTCAACTATTGAAATTAATATAATATCTACAAAGACTTGTATGCTTGAAATGAAACGAGAGACGTTTCTTAATATACCGATAGTATATTTTCCTATCATTCGCTTCTTGTTTAAAACACGACAGTATACAGAATATCATGCCAGCCTATGAGAAAAGGAATCTGGGTTCACTTAAACTAATAGGTTTGAAGAAAAAGCAACAGAATAGAACATTTGCAGTTCTTTCACATTTCCATCTACCATAATACAAATGTGATGAATTGAGATTTTTATTTGACAGCATTCAGTCTATTCACACTATAGATTAAACTTATGACTAAAATATTATTACTAAATAGGTGATGAACAAAATTTATAAATCTATGTCGAAAACAGGTAGCATCTAAACATCATCATCTATTCCATCTAAATGGTTATTGTTGATATCATGGTACTAAACAGAATAAAGTGGAGCAATATAAATGTATCAGGAGTGATAGGTTCCTCTCTATCTCATAAACCATCCCTCATCAACATAAGAATTAGTAATCAAGTTATACATACTTACGTGTTAGAAAATGTGTCTAAACGGTTTGAAATTCTCTTGGATTTCATGTATTAAATAAATAGATGTAGTATGTAGTTACATTCTATTATAACCAAACAAAAGATTGAGGCACATCCATCTTTCGGTTTCTTAAACCTTTAGGCATTAGGAATCGAGGCCTACATTTTCTTCTATTCAAATATAACTCGTTCCACCTTTAACTTACTCAGATAATCCTTCATTCCTTCCCACTGACAAAAATGGTGTCGAAATCTTTTGACGTTATACCGTATATGTTTAGCAAAGTAAATAAATCAAGCATGTCATACATGTAAACCAGCATGAATTCTGTATTACTCAGACAGACTTAATCTTCTTATTACGTTCCCTACAAATGTAATAGCCGTGAGTTGTTTGATGTATTTTTAGAATCGGAAATATTTTAGCAAATAACGTTGAGCTACTTGTAAGTAGTTAAACTTCAAAAAGAGAAAAACTGTGCAATTCATTTTAATATCCAATATTATTCTTGTAAATAGAGTAAACGATTGGTGATATAACCTTATTATCATTTCAGTTTTTCTCCAACTATACTTCCGGTAACGTGTACTTATGATCTTCACTTTTTGGTGAGACTATAATTTAGGGACGAACCAATCAGATATAAGATAACAGATATATTGGATTTTGACGCGAACTTCATTCATCCATCTGGCCAAGTTTTGGCATTTTAGCTAATGTTAGTTCGTGATGAAAAACAGTAAATCTAATTCTTACCCTAATAGCAACTGTGAATTATAATCCATATCCTTCAAACTGCCTTATAACCCTCATTTAGCTTTAGTAAGTAGGTAGACACTCTCAAAGTCAGTTAAGCGTCGCTCAACGGTCGTCCATAAAATATTGTCTCATCTAAATTTTCACTATTAACTTACTTGATTATCATCTTCTAGATATTGTTTAGTATGAAAAAATTTGTTCAGCTACCACTGATGTTATCTCTCTCATTCTCAGCGTATCTGAAATTCAACAGTGATAATTTCTCATGAACTATGTTTCAAATTGTCTTTAACTTCAATCATTCGTGAATAATCGCTGATAATTAGGATGTAATGTTTATTAAAGAGATAAGTTGGAAACCATCATTCACAACAAAGTAATAAAGAATTCCGAGTGATCTAAAGATCCTAGATTTCATTAGTTAGAGGGTCTTAGATGATTATTGATGAAGAATCATATATAAGGAGATACCAGCTATCTAGCACTCCTTGGCTTGTTAAGTATTCAGTAGTTAAAGTCAACTCCTTAGGTTTGAACAATCTTTATCAACATCTCATACTAAGAATCCTTCAAGTGTAAACTTCTGGATATTCTTGTATTTCTATTAGAATTAATTTAAACTATTTTATAAATAATACTTATGTTATTAACTTGTCAATTGAATGCTACATGTTATATCTGGTCGTCGCTGATTGTTATGTCAGAAACGCCTATCACTTATAGTCGAAACGAAGAACCGCAGCAATTCCTACGACGCAAAAGTAAGAACATAAAAGTTGGTGTAAGTGAACACGACGACGATGATGACCTTAAATTAACAAGACATATCAACGTACTTTTCTCTGGTTAGCGTATTTTTTTAGCGAGTTAGTTTCCTACAGGATCGAGTCACTAATCCCATACCCAACCTTCCTACTTTATTCGAGCTTGTGACCGACAGTAGCCCCAGGGGAACTCCAGACGGAGTTATTTTATAAATGATTCATTGTTTCAATATAGTTAATGTTATTATTTATTCATCATATGATTGGTATAGTTATATGAATAATGATTATCTTCTCATTGTTATTCTTTGTTCAACTAATCATTTGAATAATAAGGACGTGGTGATGTATTCGGTGAACCATTTTGGAAAGATCCAAATAGTATGAGTCATTCAGCAGCAACAGTTCGTGCTTTAACTTATTGTGATTTACATTGTATTAAAAAAGATTGTCTATTACAAGTATTAAAATTTTATTCTGCATTTGCAAATAGTTTCGCTCGAAATTTAGTATTAACATACGATTTAAAAACACGTGTAAGTAATGAATAACTATCATTGTATTATGTTATTTTTTTTGTTTATTTATAAGCATGGGTACAACGAAGCACCAAATAAATACTATCTGGGTGCTCAAACCGGAGTAGGTGGCTTTCTTACGGGGTGGGGGAACATCCTGAGCCTTCGATGTAAAGGTCTGATCTATAAGGCAGTGGAACAACGTTAGGAGATACAGTCATATGGTAGCCGGTGACCAAAGATTTGTTCCTTTAGGATACTGGAGCTCATGTACACCATTGGTTTGAAATCAGGGTATTCCAACTCCTCTAGGTGAACGCTCTGTGTCCACCAACCCGGGTAAAGCGCCGGACATTCAATTTTTGTCCTCTCGATTTTGTAAACAACAGTAATACCACGAGAAGGTAGTAAATAGGACTTCCCTGTCAGTGGCTGTATACTCGTGGCTATATGAGAGCATTTAGAGAGAGAGAGAGCTGATTCTTCTCACATTCGATTGTACCAGGACATATACTGAACCCTTTGGATGATCTTAAATAATCTAACATTTCTATTTCAAGAATTTTCTATGGATAATGAAAGCAATTTAGGTTTACATTTTGTTACACACTATTATCCTGTTTAATAGTTTAAAACATTTGTCGGTAAACCTGAGGTTTACACTGGTTAGCCATTTGCCATTATGGTGTATGGTCATTATTTTGAAAAGGAATGACTTACTCCTCACTATATGTAGTACTAGAGATATAAGCTCAAATTAGTCATTCATTTGTAATCCATATACAATTGTTTAGTTCTTGATACAAATAGAATACTGTCAGTTATTTTTGCAATATGATCACTAAGTTGTTCAACATCAAGTTATTTGGCAAAGGATCCTGAATGACTTAGATTTCGTGTTAGCTGCCAGTTATCAGTAAGAACTATCAACTTCAACGCTTACATATAATTCGGACCTGAGTCAACCAGTTCCACAATTTGAGACATTACTATTAAACTATTTAGGTAGCGACTCAAATACATGATAACTCGGATATTTATACTACTTTATCATTCATTAACTAGTATCGTCATGTTTGTCTAGTTCCTTAAGAAACCCTGCACCTAGATTTTTTGCTACTTGGCACTCGTCAGCAAGGTTTGCCTGTATTATTCCTGAGGAGACCGATGCTCCCTGACGGATTCGATCCCGTGTCACATAGCTCCGCATTCAGAAAGGTTACCACTGAGCTATCCGGACCGATTTCTAATTCCTTGGTATTTATTATTTCATTAAATTGACCAATTTACTAAATCATAAGTTTATTTCATGCTCTTGCTCTCTATTTTTATTTGTTTCTTTTAGCTTATCTTTCGTAAATTAGCAGATGTTCGACGAGAATATGAATTAGCTGAACATCGTAAAACTGATAATGCATTATCTAGTTTACGTGCTGATCATCCAGTTCGTCGAATGATACATAAATTTCGTCGTATAGGTACACATAATCAATCAACTAATGATTCACCAATAGGTAGTAATAGTGGTCCAGGTTTACAAGATAATGATATGATACGGATTACACGTAAATCTATTACATTAGGTGATTATGATGATTATAGTAAAGATTTTGAATTTAATGAAGATCATGAAGATCGACTACGAATTCAAGGCAAATTAGATAGTCCAAGTACATCTACTATGAATAGTACTAACAATAATAATAATAGTAATCCTGTCAGTGTATTAGACGAAATCGCATCACGATGGGGTAAACGTATAGAACTAAAAAACAATAACAATAAAGTATCTATTTCAGATTCAATTCCTTCTCATAAGGAGTCCCCTAGTAACACAATTGCTAATAATAATAATAATAATAATATTAATGATAATCAATATTCACGTTCAGTTCTACAATCGAAATGGGGTAATTTATTAAAAACATCCATAATACCTGAAGAACAACTACAACAACAACAATCTAAATCAATAATTTCGAATCCAAATAAAATCAATAATAATAATAATGATAATCATCATATTCAATCGATTATTAATAATCAATCGAAATTAATGAATGATCATTTTGAAAATTTACAATTAATCAATAAATCAATATTAGATTATTTAATGAATATACAAAATGAATTTAAACAAGAAATGAATCATTTAATAAAACGTATCAATGATATTGATAATCGAATTGGTCAAATTGTTTATAATATAGAATATAAACAATATGATAATAATGATAATGAATTAAAACAATCTTGGAAAGATCATCATCCTTACCACGAACACCACCATCCACATCATCCTCATCAACAAGAAGAAGAAGAAGAACAACAACAATGTCGAGAACATCATCATCACCACCACCAACTTTATCCTCATCAACAAGGAGAAGTACAACAATGTCGAGAACATCACCACCACCAACTTTATCCTCATCAACAAGAAGAAGAACGACAACAACAAGTACATCATCAAAAACATGGTAAATATAATAATAATAATAATAATATAAGTAAATTGATTAAAACCGTATTTACATCATCACCATTAACATCATCTGATTTATCTACCTCATTGAAATCAAATCGTACTTCCAGTTTAACTATATCAAATAAAATACATCCATTAGCTAATTCAATTGATCAATCAACATCAATAGTAACAACAACGAAAACAAAAAGAAGAATTCGAGGAATAAGAACAAAAAGTACCACTTCAATAAATCCACAACAAATCAATAATCAAATTATAAAATTAAATGATTTATCATTCAATAAAAAATTTGATAAATATAATATACCAAGACAATGTATATCACAATATTATAAACAATATTCAATGGATAATGATAGTCAATTAGAATCTATTTCAACAGAAAGTGATACATCATTAATGAATGTACAACAACAACAACAGCATCAACACCAATCGTCATCATCATCATCATCCAAAATTATTTTAGCTAAACCAATACAAACTACTTATTTTTCTACTCATTTAATGAATACTATCACTACAACAACAACAACAACAACAATAACAACACTGACAACGACATGTTTAATGAATCAAACTAATCAATCTTTAATAAATTCTAATTATTCTTTATCACCATTCCTGTCTAATAGAAATGATGATTTATATTGTCAATCAATATTAAATCATTTTAATGAAACACAATTGATTAATCGTAATCCATTTATTTATTCTATTGGAAATAGGACACAATCAATGATTGTAACGGATAGTTTAAGAAATCAATTACCAAGGAATGTATTGTATAGTACTACTAGTAGTAGTAGTTGTAGTACTACTGCTATTGGATCATCAATGATGATAACTGATACAAATACCTATGTGCCTAATTCTTCTTATATAATGTCTATGACTACTAGTAACACTACTACTACTACTAATAATAATAATAATAATCGATTATCCATTATTAATCGATGGAATCCACAATCAGATATATTGAATACACGTATATTTATTCCAGAATTATCATCTATAATGACTACTGTTATAACAACAACTACAACGACAACCACAACCACCATCACCACCACCACCACAATAACAACAACATCAATACCTTATCCACTTCCAACAACATCACAACATATTCATTCATCATTTAATCAAAGATCTCATATTATTCATACTAATCAATTGAATAAATCTAGGGATTTCAATGTAACTAAACAATAGAAATCAAGATATGTCTACTTTATTTTATATCCATATTGTTTTCTTCTTTATTTTATTTTTCTTTTTTGTTTTTTCCCCTCCTTTGTTTTTATTCTTTTTTCAATTTTTATTTTAATCCATAAATTAATTCATTATTTTATCCCCTTATTAACTAATTAAAAAAACCCCATGGAACTGATACAAATTGGACATGAATATATTTTTGTTTCAAAATCAAACTATGAATTATCATTGAATTTAGGTGTACAAAGTACATGTAGACATATACGAACATACATACATACACACACACACACCAACAACATACATACATACATACGCACGCACAACAACACCACCACCAACGATAATAATCTGATACCATGGTGAAATGAAACAGTGAAGTTTTTTTTTTCGTTGTTTTTGTTTAGGTTTATCCTTAAATAACTAAGTAACTAATTGTTTGTTACTAAGAGAAAAGGTAAAAAAAATACACATTTGAGTTGTATATATTATCTAATGAAAGTTTATTTTACATTTTAAAGAAGAAAAAAAAACAGAATCACAACTGAGAATAATTTTCTTTCTTATTTATTTATTTATTTGTTTATAGGGTTATTTTTTAATTTATCAATTAAATGGTTATCCATTTGGAAACATCTTAGTCAATTAGTTAGTTACAACGTAGGATCCGGCACAGATATATGGCATCGATTCAAGTTGCCATAATTCATTAGCCCAACAACATGAACACTGAATTTATAGTAGTTAATTCAATGGTGGTAATACATAAAAGAAAGATTGCATATAAGCATATAGTACAGGAAGAAAGAATTAGTTTGTAGAAAGAAAGATATAAAACAATTTTAATCTCATAGTTTAAGGGAGGACGCCATTGTGATCGATTCTGAGTCATGTCACACACAGTCCCCAACCACTGATTATGACAGTCATACGGACCCCAATAGGGCTCACACTAAAAGTTAGTGACTTCCTTAAATGATGACATATTTTGATTGAGCCACTCCTAACTTTCTTACAACCATCCTCAATATCAGTTAGCATTGTGCGTCGTGGTAATCGGAGTTCACGTATATATGACACATGGCCCAAACATCTCAGTCGATGAAGATTTAAAATCTCATCAACTGAATTACTATCATTCCCTAATACCCTGCGTCTAACCTCACTATTACTTACGCGGTGATTCCATAAGATGCGAGCAATACTTCTAAGGCATATGTGATCAAATAATAGTAAGTTACGAGTATCCTCTATTCTTAATGCTCATGTTATGCAACCGTAAACTAGAACAGAATGAACTGCTGTGCATTATTCTCATCCTTTAATTGATAGACGGATGTTTTGCCTTCACCATATGTGACGTAAATTGGCAAAAGCCAAGTCTATTCAGGTAACATCACATGAACACACTTCAAACAGAATTTAACTATGAGAATTTCTCTACTAATGACTAGTAGCTTGTTTTGCCAACGTTGAAGTGTACTGCTTATTATTGACACTTGTCGTGTTATTATCTACGTATTTACTATAAATCTCTTCTCATTTGATTCGTTTGTTGACTTTATAGTTGTATTGAAATGTAAAGACTAATATTTTTATTGGATTAATTCCAGTAAATTAAGTCAAGAATCAATTAATTTATGAAACAGTGAAGCACATCTATTATGAAATGATGATTAAAAAATAGTCGCTACCGAATGTTGACTAAAGTAAAGAGTTGGTAAAATTGATAGTTGCTTGATCACTAGTTGGTGATCAATGTCATATGTGTTAGGTCCTTTTTAATGTAGATCGAATCCTATAGACCAAGTTGCAATGTGTCCACTAGTCTAGGTGACTCGACATTGCATGCACTATAGTAAGATAAAATGGTGGTTGGAAGTAGTCAACAGGTAAGATAGATTTCAGTTTAACTATTAGCGATTTGACTTTGAATGAAAAATCTGAACGACCGAGCTACTGTTTTGCAAGTGAATCAAACATAATGTTTTAAGTCATATATTATAGATTCTTACTTAATTACTTACGCCTGTTACTCCCAATCGAACATAGGCTGCCGATCAGATCTGACTTTTTTATCTTGATGAGGTATCCTTCCTTACGATCCTTCTTTACAGTCTGTCTGTTGCATTTGTTCTTCCTCCCAAATCTTCCTGAATAGAACGCAGAGCACCTTTTCAGTTGCCTCTATGTATGACTTCGGCTGGTTTATTGCCAGGTGCTACTGCTTACCCACTCTTGATATGTCTGATGACCATCCTGATTTTTTTATCATTGATGGAGTGAGATCTATAGTATGGTCTGTGTGTATTGCTTCGATTTCCGGTGGATTCAATGAAGCATTCATATTCAGTAGTTCCTCAAATTGTTCTACCCATCTTTTCCTGTGTTCTTGAATCTCATTAATCGGCTTCCCTTCTTTGTTCTTGGCCGGTCTCTCTGGTTTACTCTACCAGTTTCTTCATTACATCATATAGTTGTCTGATATTTCACCATGTTGAAGCTTTTTCCACTGTCGTTGCTAGCTGTTTCACGTATTTCTACTTGTCAACTCTAATGCTCTTCGTCACTTGAATGTTCGCTTCTATGTATTCACCTTGTGTCTCGAGTTTCTCTGTTCTTGTTCGGTTGTTGTTAACTGCTATCTTCTTGTTCTTTCTTTCTTGAATCTTATCCAGGGTTCCCAAAGAGATTCGTTACTTCTGTTGATGCTTTTTGAGTTCAAGAACCTCCTGACATGTTGAAGTTAATGCTTCTTCGATCCCTTTCCAGTTGTCCTTCGTAGTGGTTTCATCTTCTTCCAATAGATCCTGTAAGGCTTGGAACCTGTTGTTGAGAGCTATCTTTAATTCGTTGAGTTTGTCAATATCTCGAAGGAAGGCTTTATTGAGCCTTCGTAATGCCGTTTCCCAGTTGTTCAGTGCTTCTTTAGCTTCAACTTCATCTTGGCAACCACCAGGTGGTGATTCGAAGCGATGTCAGCTCTCTCTCTCTCTGAAGTTTTTATTGATGCAAATATGATCTATCTGGTTCGCCATACTGTGGTCCGATGAGACCCATGTAGATTTATGTATGCGTTCGTGTGGAGATATTATGCGACCTATAATCATTTTGTTGAATGCACATAGATTTGCAAATCTGTCAATATTCTCGTTCCTTTCTCCCAGTCAGTCCATCTCTTCCCATGATGTCTTCATACCCGGTGTTGTGAATTCCGACTTTGGCGTTTAGGTCTCCCATCAGGATGGTCAAGTCCTTTCCTGAACACTTCGCTCTGATCGACTGAAACCTCTCACAAAATTGATCTTTACCGTCGTCGTTGCATTCACTGGTGGGTGCATAACATTGGATGATATTCATTGTGATTCCCTCCTTCTTTTTTTAAATGATCATCGGTCCACGAGATTCCTATCCAATAACTGCTTTACGTGGCTCTTTGGACAGCATCAGAGCAACTCCCTGAGTGCGCAGGACACTTTCTTCTCAGTGACCTGAGTACAGCAGCATTTCTCCCCAATCTATCTTCTGTCCAGATTGAGTTCAATGGATTTCACTTATTCCGAGCACCACCAAGTTGTCTCTCCTCATTTCCGTAGCTATTTGGTTGTTCCTCCCAGTCTACAACATGGTCCGGAAATTCCATGAAGTTATATTAACTGTTGCTCTAGTTGTCAAAAGCAGTATCAGTCTCATGACTTCCGGAGAATCTCGGCTTTCAACAAGAGGCGTGATAAATTTTCCTTCTACTCTGAGGGCAGGGTTTAAGTGGTTCAATTTGTTTATTCTGATTGGTGTTGCCTTTAGAAAGATTGTTTTCTATGAGATGGGTTTGCCGACCCGATGCCCAACCCTTCCCTTATATGTAGGCTTGAAACGGGAAGTAGCCCCAGGAGAGCTTTAGGCGGAGTACGTGTTGAGTTGAATTAATACATATAAGTGGATAGTCTATGATAAAAAGTGTAAGATATGGGGATAATGTGTATCGTCATCAGTTATTATCAGTCTTTATCAATACAGTAAGAAAGAATCTTGACAGGGTGAAAATTGAAATAGGGTAACTAATAATGATATTAACTAAAATTAAAGACTAAACACAGAGAGGAATGAGATTTACGAATGAAAAAGGAAGAAACCAGGAAGATAAAGAATAAGTGTAGATGCAATCAGCCTCCAGTCGTTTTTTTTCTAATTTTTTACCAACCATGTTGTCCTACAGTTCCGATCATGTACTTTGAATTGTCTGAAACAGTTTAGTTCAGCAGTTAGTGTATTTCTATGGACTATTGATTTACCTAAATTTAGAAATCAATTAGCTTCTCGTCAACCTACTACAGTATCCAGTAGTAACTAAATTCTCAGTTATTTGTATGAAATGTTTTCAAAATTTTAGATCACTATCTAATCAGTGGGATAGATACTTTTCCGTATTTGATCTTGATTCTTATTATTAAGTGGTCGGAAGAATCTAATTCGACAACTGATTCTGTTGTAGGACCAATCAATAAAAACTATTCAGTCAGTAAAGTATAACGCCCTAATCGTAGCAGAGCATATATTTTGTCGATCAGTGAAAATATGTTTTGGTAATCTTATTAAAATTTACTTGGTCATATAATTCATTTGTTTTCATTTCAATACCTGAGAATGGTGGTTAGCAGTGGAATCCAGGATGCACGTTCCGTTTCATTTGGAACTCTTCAGTTGGATATACGTGCATCTCTGAGTTGATGTTCACTCCGAGACTTGAACCCAGTAATGTTCGCTTCAAACGCCATCGAGTTATCCACTTAGCTACTGACTCCACATAACCACTAGCTTGTGAAATGAGATCAAATTTAATTCATTGTGTATTGTTTGTTTGAATCTCCCCATTAGTGTTTAGGACTGCAATTGATTAGTCTCTTATTGGCATATGTGCATCCTGTGAGGATTGCCTCGATATTGCCTTGTCAGCGACGATGGATACAATGGAAATTTCTAGCTTTTTTTCAAGTTAGATGTATTGACTACAGCAAGAATTGGAACTACTAAAAGAAAAACCAGGATAATTAGATGGTATTATAATTGATGGTCAGTGTGAAATTACATTATTATCTGTTGCTTATAATCCATTCTACTTTTGTAGTCGTGAACACAGAAAACTGAGTAATCAGAATATTAGTAGTACGACTGATAAAGTGGACGCTCTCTCTCTCTCTCTCTACCTATGCATACCTTGAACATAGATTACCAGTGATGCAGTATTATACGTCATCAATAATATCAAGACATGTATAAAACCACGAACATGAATGAATTCGGATGGGAAAACGTCGAAATTCTAAAAATGTTAGAGAACTTCCACATGTATAGCATTCAGATCAATTGGCCATCAACAGACATCGACATCAATCCAATGTATCAATCCACGTGAAAGACATAGACTAACTACATGATCTGAAGTCATCCAAAAAAAACACATTCAATAGAAATGCGAGAATAAATGAGGACTAAATTACCCATAAAGATAATCAATCATAAACCACACCATTTAAAGCTTGTGGAATAACTGAAAAATTCACAACCACATAATACAGGAGCAGATAATATTGTCCAAAAGGACAACTGATAAATCTTCACCATTAAACCAAATAGATTAGAGAACATATCAATAAAAGCAACCAGCTAAATCGCAGATTTCTGATATCAGTCATGATAAATCTGTTTGTTAATTAACTTCTATATTTATTCTAAGTATATTGAATTCATATATTCATATAATTATCAACATTAGTGAATACTAAACACATAAGTAGTGGCAGTTTTAAATCAGATCCAATCACTGCAATCAGAATTATTATTATTATTAATAATAATAATAACCAAAAACATAATCATCAAGATCTTTTGGAAAAAATCAATAATTATTCACTGTTACAGAGAGAAAGAGAGTGAAAAGTAGATATTAGCGTTGAAAATCGAGATAGACAAAAATATACTACTGAAATGTATATAAGTAGATAAACATAAAACTATTGCTTTTACAAAATTATATAATATAGAATGATCTCACACAAGAGATATGTATAGTATGCATGTAATCACATGCCTGCCTTTCTCCATGTATGTTCACAGGAGGATAATTAACAAGTGCAATAACATATACATAACGAACTATTCAAAAAAAAAAGAGAAACTAAAACGTTGATCATCAGGTCAAGATAATAATATTTATGTACGTGAACAGTTGAGTGTTATGTAAATCAAATGAACACAGAAAGGAAAATTGAACGACAACAACAAAATCACTAATGAAAATGAAATATTTAAGGAAAATAAGAAATGATTTTGTTTATATAATTGGAATTGTTGCGAATACTTTTTTGTGGGTGTGTATAAAAAAACAGAGACAGGGGGAGCATAGAGATAGATATATAAATCGATTAATGTAATTATTCCAAAAAGCGTATACTCATCTTTTGTTCAATATCCACATTATCAAATGCCTATTTCAGAGCATTAATAAAATAAGAATAAAAAAGAAGTGTATAACTTTTCAGAAATTAGAATTATATTACTGAAATCTCCAAGGAGAATTACCAATGATTATGGTTCAGTATGTTAAAAACTATGTCAAATAATTCATTACAAGATACTCAAACTCCTTGATCGTATTCTTTTGTACAATCGTACAAATAGTGTAATATATTTCCTTATGTTGTACAGGTTTTAACTGGCTTAATATGGATGGTTAATTTCATATCGTTCGGCTTATAGTCCATGACAGTAGTAATTAATCAGGAAATTCGAATGGAACATCATTACAAAAGTTTGTATGCTATACTCCTGTTTTTACGCCCTCAAATGCCCTGGTAAGGCCGACAGTGAGGATAGTCAGCTCTCTCTCTCTCGAAATGCTCTTACATGGCCACGTGCATACAACCACTGACAGGGAAGTACTAATCACTGTCTTCTTGCGGGGGGTGCGTTTTCCTACGAAATTGAGAGGACAAAAAGCGAATGTCCGGTGCTTTAACTAGGTTGGTGGACATGGAGAGATCATCTAGGGGAGTTGAAAAACCATGCTTTCGAAACAATTATTCACATGGGCTCCAGGATCCTGAAGGAACAAATGGCGTATGAACCAATAGTTGGTGACCGGTTGCCATGGGACTGAGTATCCTGACGTTACTCCACTGCCTTATGGATCAGACCTTTAGGTCGAAGGCTTCGGGTGTGGCCCCCTAAGAAAACCACCTGTTTCAGTTTGAGCAGCCAGGCAGTATCCCAGTCCTCACACAAATCGAATGATTTATGTGGCGCATATGTATTTGATGCCTCCTTGTACCAATGTTTATGTGTTCAAATAAATAATAAACTCCCGTTTTTTTAGTTGAAAAAACGACAGTCGATAATGATGGTATGGATGTATTAAATACAACATATGATTTTGATCGAGTTTTGTTTTCTGAGCTGCATGGTTTGTTCATGGAGGTTGCATCGACATTCTGAACGACACCATCAGCACAAACTTAAGATAGAAGTGAAGTGTTCGAATTTCTCCACATGTGGTTCTTGTTGACCTTAAAACTGTCATGACAAATTGTGAACCATAAATGGAGAAATTCGAACACTTCATTTCTACAAGAAGTTTGTGCTGATGATATCGTTCAGAAGAACGATGAAAGCTCTACGACTAAACCATCCAGCTCAGAGAACAAAATTCCATCAAAATCATTCAACTGATCTACAAATCTTCACCATCTCACAACATAAGATTAAAGAAGAAGCGAATGTAATCAAAAATATTCACTGATGAAAATGAATAACAGCTAATGATTGTCGAAAAACTTTTGAAGTTAAAAATACAGATCAACTTAATGGTTTAAATGTTAAACACTTACAACGAAACCTAAAGGTCTTGGATTCAACTTCTAGTCAAAGTTGTGGATAAGCACTTCTGAGGAGTTCTATACTAAGATGAAACAGTTGTAAGTGCTTCCTCAGTTTTCGATGATTGCTTAAAGTCAGTTCATAATGTTAAACTGAAATTGGTAATGAGTAGGTGGAACATAAAATCCAATGCTTGAAGAATGCCATATATTTATACCATAGAGTCGATACCTTACATACATACTATATTTATATTACACTAATTTGAGTTTGAGTCATATTTTAAGTATGAAGACAGTACGGCAGTATGAAGACAGTACCTGATTACCCAAACTGGTGCCCCCAAATACCCTGGTACGGTCGGGAGTGGGGTGGGTTCGCCCTCCCTCCCGAAATGGTCTCACACGGCCACGCGTATATAGTCTCTGCCAGGGAAGTCCTACTCACTGCCTTCTCGCGGCGGGGGTGTTGTTTACGAAAATGAGAGGACGAAAAGCGAATGTCTGGCGCTTTAACGGGATCCCAAACCAATGGTGCACATGGGCTCCAGTATCCTGTGGGAACAAATGGCGTATGAACCAATTGTTGGTCACCGACTACCATGGGACTGCATCTCCTCACGATGCTCCACTGCCTTGTGGATCAGACCTTTAGCTCAAAGGCTCGGGGTGTGGCCCCCTAAGAAAACCACCTGCTTCGGTTTGGGCACCCGGGCAGTATCACAGCTCACACACACAAATATGGTGTGGCGCATATATATTTGGTGCCCTCTTGCACCGATATTTATGTGTTGAAATAAATAAAATAAATACCCAAACTGGTGTCGGTGGAGTGGGGCTCGGATCTCAATCAGTCGATCACAACGGTGCACCTGGTATGTATTAAGATCAGTTTAAGTTGCCATACCCTATTAGCACAAAGAGATGGGGATTGTCAACCCAAATACTAGAACAGAAGATGTAGTAGGAACTCGAATCTGGGACTTGGAGGTTAAAAGTTGAACGTCTTAACCGCTACATCACCTCTTTACATATTCATTACATCAGATGAAATCCTAATTACCACCCAGAAATCAGTGAGTAATATATATGTCTAGATTAATGAATATCAGAAACATTTCCTCAAATTCGAAAACCAGACACAGGCCTTATATAGTTAGGGCTTTGTGATATACTCATAATTACGTGAGTACTGGTGACGGTACTATTGACCGGTTACGCAAACCGAATTTTTAGAATAAGGATTTGGATATAAAAATAATGGATGAGAATATAATTTATGGACAAACTTTGAGCAACGTTAAAGTGACCTCGAGAGTGTCTACCTAATTAGTAAGGTTAAATGAGGGTTAGAAATCAGTGTCAGTCAGTCAGTAACAGTGAGGAATTCGAATTATGATTTACAGTTGATGGTTAAGGTTAGGAATTAGATTTAGGGCTTTCATCACAAACTGACATCAGCTATAATGCCAAGACTCTATTTAGCCAAATAGATGAATGAACTTTGCGCCAAAATCCGAGATTTGTTATCTTATACCTGATAGGTTCGTTCCTAAATTATAGTCGCCAAATAATGATAAAAATTCGAATGATATATTCATTGATAAAACTACATCCACAGGAGCATATATATAAGAAATAAAACATACTTGTACAAATTCTGCATACGATATATAGCAATCACCATCAAGATCCGCTTCAGCCATTGTTCGTTCACCGATATTATTGATCTGTAATTGATTGATTTCTCATGAAGTTAACATATATGGTTATACATCTTAAATTATATAAATAACCGATACTATCTTAACTAATTATAGGAGTTACATAATTGTTATTTTTGTCAACAGATTCATCATTATATTCACTTGATGATGTTTACTTGTATCTTCCCAGTGTTATTTAGGACGGCACTTGATCAGTTTCTTGTTGGCAATATGCGGACTGCCTCAATATTGCCTGAAGTCACAAGCTTTATAAGCAAAGATGGATAACGGCTAGCAGTGGAATCCAGGACGCGTGTTTCGTCCCATTTGAGATTCGTCAGCTAGATATGCCTGCATCTGAGAGTTGATGTTCACTGTAGGACTCGAACCCAGATGGATAGTGGCTAGCACTATCAATCTTTGCTTATAGAGCTTGTGACTTCAGGTTATATCGAGGCAATCCGTACAGGATGCACATATGCCAACATGAGACTGATCAATTGCAGTCCTAAATGACAATGGGAAGATTCAAGTAAAACAACACCAAATAAATTTAAAAACTTCACCCCATTGCACAGGCAGGTGGTTATCAGGATTCAGTAGCTAAGTGGATAACGCGATGATATTTGAAGCAAATAGTAATGAATTCGAGTCTCAGAGTGAACATCAACTCTGAGATACAAGTACATCCAACTGACAAGTCCCAAATTGGACAAAACGTATATCCTGGATACCACTGATAGCCACTATCGATCTTTGTTTATCAATCCAACATTATTTTACAAGTGTAAATAACAAAACTTTATCTATATGAAGTTTTTACCTGAACAGATCACATTATCATATTGTATGATAATACAATATACCCCTTTTATTTCAAATGTGATATTTATTTTTGATAGAACATTCTTTATATGAAATTTAATATGAATTTTATGGTTAGGGTAATACACAGCATGTGTTTTATATTAGTTATAATGTAAAAATCTGGGGGTTTTGTTTCTGTATGTGTGTGTGTGTATTTTCTGTGAATAATCATGAAATACAAGTAAAATCTACACATAAATATGAGCGTGTTTTTTTCGGGGGGTTCAAGTGTTTGTTATACATTTTTTTTCCTTTTGAGAAGGTGAAGTAGATTTTTATTTATCTGTCATTAGTTTTATTTACTTGAACATATAAATATTGGTTGGGGTCCGCGTGACTTTCGTAACCAATGGTTGGAGACTCTTGGTGACATGGCTCACAATCGATCACAATGGTGTTGGTGTATACACTCCCAGTCTTCCCTTAAACTAAGAGATTAAAATCACTTCATATCTTTCTTTCTACTAACTAATTTTTTCTTCCTGTACTGTATCCTTATATGCAATCTTTCGCCCATATATTACCACCTTTGACCTAACCACTCCTATGAATCCGGTGTTCATCTTGCTGTGCTAATGCGGTATGGCAACCTGGACCGATGCATATATGTACCTGGTCCTACGTTGTAGCTGACTGACTGGTACAAAGAGAGCAACGAATACATATGCACTATGCAAGTCAATTGATTTGTGTATTGGATGTGATACTGCCCGGTTGCTTAAACCGAAAAAAGTGATTTTCTTAGGGAACATATCCAGAGCCTTCGAACTAAAGGTCTGATCCACAAGATATTGGAGCAATGTCAGGAGATGCAGTCTCATGGTAGCCAGTACTCTAATGTGTTTAATAACAACAAACTACTAATGTTTTTGCAGAGGTTTGTATTTTCCCATTGTTAATATTCCGAACTAATATTCGACTAGTCTCTATTGGTATATATGTACCTAAGTAGGATCTCAAGATGTTGCATGTATTTATAGGTTTTATTGCAATTTTCGTATTTCAGCTACCATAGGAATCCAGATCGTGTGTTTCGCTTTGTTTGAATGTTATTATATGGACGTATCTGAACTTCACTGTTGATTTTCGCACTAATACTCACACTGTTGTGATTGCTAGATCCTCAGAAATCACTTGACAAACGTCAGTTTGTCTTTCAGTTTGTATTTCCCACGCGGGAGGGCCTTAAATGCGATAGATTTATTTTCTGTTTCAGTACGCTATTTTGTGACGTTTTTCAAGGACATTACGCATGAGTTGTATAACTGTTTGTCCGCGCTTCCCCCCGCTTGTAAAATATTTATTTCCCCCGACTGAATCTGGTCTTCTCCATCTAGTTAGCGGGGATGGGGCGTAATAGAATAGCTTAGATTGTCCTGTTGTTGTGTTGTTGATTTTCGTTCCGTTCGTCAGTTCCAGGTGATATCGTAATCTCTTCAAACGTAGCATGAACCACGTACTCCTTGCTTCAAATGGCAACGTGTTGTCTACTCATTAAGCTACGAAATTCAGGAAACCATTCGTTCACTCAACAGGACCATAATCTAACAGAGACTGGTAACATTAAGTCCTGGATATAAAGAACAATAAAATGTAAACCCCTACAAGTAATAATAATAGTAAGTATCACACTCTCTAACTAATTTTTAAATACAGTGACCTTGAGTGCTGTTAGAGGTATGAGGGCAGTTATCACTTCCCGGTTACTCACACCATGGAAGGGATTTTTTGGACGTACCTAAAAAGGAAATTGGGCTAAAGGTAGAGTGACCACAGTGCCCAAAGGACAGCTGCTTGAAGTCGATCACATACGACCTTTTTATGAGTAATTTTTGTGTTAGCTTCGTACTTGTTGAGACCTTACCACCGGAGACGGATATCCATGGGATAAGGCGAGGTGTGCATTTTTAGGATCCTTTTCTAACCCCACCCCTCCTTGTGGGGAGACAGCATCGCTATTATGCCAGTTGTCTGAAGGAAACACCTTACTCTCGTCACACTTCTGTACAGTCAGCAGTACAACTTCGCCTTCGGACCTTGGGTTTGTTGCTTTTAGTCTTACCGCTCTTCAACCGACCTGTCTGACATGGTAGGACCTTGAGGAACGGTTGTTCCAGCCAGTATAGCTCGGTTGCTTCATCAGGATGGGCAAGCCCAACCACCACCACGTCAAGGTAGCAACAACGGTAGCAACAACAAAAATAAACTTAACATAAAATTACACAAACCTGTTCAACAGTAATATTAGCACCGACCATCATTTGTAACATTCCCAATAATTCATTTCTTGATATTTTACCATCCATATCCAAATCATACATACCGAATAGAAAGCGTAATTTTGCATCACGATTATTAAATTGAGTAGATTGTTGTGGTCGAACTTTACGAAATCTTGCTAGTTTACGTACAAATTGACGAAAATTCAATTCACCTTGACTGTACATGTATAGATTTTTTATTTTAACAAAGTAAACAAACAAACAAACAACAAAAAAAGTTTAATTTTTTACAACAACAACAACAAAAACAAAAACAAGCACAAAATAGAGAAAAATTAATAACAAAACATAAATATGTTCAATATTCAATTTGTCATTATACAAGTTCATTATTGTTCATTGTTCATACTGTACATATTTAATCATGAATGATAATGGTATTTAAAAATTTAAATCAGATATCCATGTATATCAATATACGTTATGGTTTCACCGGAATGAAACACATATACAATTGTTCTATGTGTCAATCGTGTACAGAAGCCTCATTTGCATAGAAACTTTAATTATTAAAGTTGAAAGAAATCAGAACTACTGATCGAAAAATAAACCCCTGTAAAATAATATCGAGAAATGAAATAATGAAGTTTCTTATTTCTTTATTTAAATAGTTATGACTTTGATTATGTGTCATGGTACAGTCGAAGGTGAAGAGAGTCAGTTCTCTCTCTCTCTCTCTCGAAATGCTCTAATATGGCCACGTGTATACAATCACTAACAGGGAAATCCTACTCAATGCCTTTTCATGGCATTACTGTTCTTTAGGAAATTGAGAGGAAGAAAAGCGAATGTTTGGTGTTTTAACCGGGTTGGTGGACACTGAGAGTCCATGTAGGGGAGTTGGAAAACTCTGATTCCAAACCAATGGTACACATGGTTGGTCACTGGCTATCATAGGACTGCATCTCCTTATGTTGCTCCTCTGCCTTATGGATCAAAACTTTAGGTCGAAGGCTTGGATTGTGGCCTCCTAAGAAAACCACCTGCTTCGGTTTGGGCACCAGAGCAGTACTATAGTCCACATACAAATCAATTGACTTGTGTGGTGCATATGTATTCGGTGCTCCCTTTGCACCAATATTTTTGTTCATATAAATAAATAGTGATTCTAATCATGCCAATTTATTGTGGGAAGTGAAATCAAGTTGATCAGTTATATCATTAGGACCATAAATCGACTTTGATAACGATAATCATGTTGACAGTCGCAGGAACTAACCCAGACCATTCATTAAAGTAGTTGATACAAGTCAACGAAAGAACCAAATTCACTTAACTACAGTATAAACACCGAGTTATTTTAGGTACTTAGATATGAACCAAACTCTAGGTAAGGAGGTCAATGATACTACCACATTGCCAAAACCGAAGTGAGTGGACAGGAGTTCGAATCTGGGGACTGAGTGACTGAAAGTCGAACGCCTCATTTATTAAGCCACCGCTCCTCAATGAGAGAATACGATGAACCAGAAAACTACTATACACAAGGAGGAACTGAGAATCCGATTAGACTTAACAAAGAACTCTTCAACAGGATGCATAAATGATCTCCCTAAGAAGCTCCATATATCATGGTGTTAGGATAAAGCAAAACACGAGATCATGCTTTCATTCATCATAATATTCATTCAGCACAACATGGGTCAGTCAATCAGTCAGTAACAACGTGGAACTTCGTATGTACGTACATCAGTTCGAGTTGCCACACCACATTTGCACAGAGATGCAGTGGTCGATTCAAATCCCGTAGTGGTGGAGGTAGTAAGAGTATAAACAGTAATCGGAAATATTAGGGCTTGAAGATGTTATTCAAGGAGTATAATACAGTGAAATAAATTTGGAAAGAGAAAAAAGAGACAAGGAAGATTCAGAAGATTAGCACTTGGGAGAACACAAATAGTGGATGCACCTGCGCCATTGCAAACGATTTTGAGCCTTGTCATTCAGGGTTTCTAACCATCGGTTACTATCATCTCGTGGTCCCCAACCAGGTAGTCTACACTTACCAACATGACTCCGTCCACTTGTCAGTGACTTCATGGACTTGTGCCATGCTTTGGTCTGACCGCCCCCAGCTTTCTTACAGCCTACTCCTACATCATAAAACATCGCACGTCGGAGCAATCGGTGGTCGGGCATACGTAACACATGTTCCAGCCATCTCAACTGATGAAGTTTCACCACTTCATCAATTGATTTACCATCCTTACATAGTACCCCTTTCCTAACAATTGCATTACTTACTCGATGATTCCAGGATTTACGAGCAATGTTTCGAAGACACCTATGATCAAATACTAGTAACCTACGAATATCCTCTACTCTTACCGACCATGTTTCACTGCCATAAAGTAGGACGGGACGAACTGCTGCGCAGTAAACAGGTCGTTTTGTTCATCGACGGATATCTCGCCTACGCCATAAATGACGCAAGTTGGCAAAAGCTAGTCGAGCCTTCTGTATCCGTGCTGAGATTTCGTCACACACCAGACCACAAGGGCTGATGAGACTTCCAAGATAAGTGAAGCGGTCGACACACTCAACTACTTCACTCCCTATCACTAGTTCGGGTGTCGATGTAACCCAATCCTGAAGCAACATTTTGCATTTCGAGGGAGAGAATCGCATCCCGAACATGCTTGCATTGTTGCTTAGAGTGGTCAGAAGACTCTGCATTTTGTCAGCATCTTCACCAAATAGAACTATGTCATCTGCATATTCTAAGTCAACAAGTGAATCTCCCGGTAGAAGTTCAACCCCTGGAAATTTAGATGAGGAGAGTGTTATCTCTAAAAGTACGTCGACCACAAAGTTGAACAAGAATGGAGAGAGTGGACAGCCCTGACGAACACCACTTGAGGTAATCAATTCTCACTCGACCAGCTGTGTTCGAGTCAAGAGCCTGTATAAGGTTGGTGTACTTCTTTGGTACTCCTTTCAGTGACAAACACTGCCATAGAACCATACGATCGACAGAGTCTGTTCTTCACGAGCTTTAGTTAGGCGTCGAAGTATTATTGAAGCTAATATTTTAGACACTATATTAGTCAAACTGATTCCTCTGACTGTCACAAGAGGACTTTTGTCCTTTCTTATAGACTGGCACAATCAGTGATTGAGATCAGTCAGATGGGAGTACGTCCAGTTCCCAAATTCTACCTAAGACCTCAGTTAATCTCACTGCTAACACTGGGCCGCCATTCTTAAAAATCTCAGGAGTAAACCTGTCGAGGCCTGCTGCTCTCCCTCGTTTCAGATTTCCTATAGCATTTTCAACTTCGTAAAGAGACGGAGGACCTACATTAACTTGCCATTCAGGTTGACTGGAGATCATGGGAAAACGAAGTGTGGCTAAACGCCAATTGAACTGATCCCTGAAGTGTTCTGCCCATCGATCCAATCTCCTCGATTGAGAATGTATAATATGTCCATCTTTCTCTGAGAGTGTTTCGCTAACAGTCAGTTTCCTAATACCGGTTACCTTAACATGTCTGAACAATTGTCTGCTATTACCTATTACCGCTGCCTTTTCCATCTCTCTTGCTTTCGCTACCCATCACTGTTCACGATCATTGCGTAGACTTTTTGTCAGCTCGCGCTTAAGCTGACTCCGCTCTTCATTCTGTTTAGAGCCAGGTGGAATGAGTTTCCGAGCATCTATCAGTGCGACAGATGCTGTCGAGAGAGTGTTTCTCCCTAACCTTGTGGTTTACTGTACTAGCAGATATCACTGCTGTTTCCACAGCTTTTCGGATATCATTTCATGCTGCCTCGGGGTGGGCATCACATACATGGCTGCCTAACTGTTTGCCTAGTTGTTCCTGAAACATACTCTTAGCTTGACTATCATTAAGTAGGCCCCTAAGGTTTCCTTGGAGCGTCTTTCCTATGTTCAGTAAGACGCAGACAAATACGCGCTCGCACTAGAGAATGATCTGAATCTAAGCATGTGCTCCAGAATGAGCGACAGTCTTCTATCGAGCCCCTCCATCGGTGGCTGGTAGCGATGTGATCTACTTGCGCCCAACGTTGGGACGAATTAGGGGGTCGCCATGCTAAAAGATGTTTTTTCTTATGCTTAAAGTTAGTATTTGCAAGGAACAGACGGTTATCTGAGCATAGCTACAAAAGACGGTCGCCATTATCTGTTCTTTGAGCCACGATGCTATAAGATCCACCCAGGTGTCTTTCCCTATCGCTTAGTTTACCTACTTGAGCATTAAAGTCACCGGCCACTTTTGCTACATCAGAGCGCCTAGCTTTTCGGAGGTCGGAAAACTTTCTGTAAAATCTGTCTTTTACATCATCTGAGCTTCAGTCAGTGGGAGAGTAAGCAGAGACAACGAAGAGGCATGGGAGGTTCACTTTTTATTAATTCAGTGAAAAATCCATCCTGTATCCCGACTATATAGGTTACGTATGGTATTTCTTGACGATTGTTCATATGCCAGTGAAATATGTACATAAAAAAATGTATTTAGTTAATAAATCGTAGTCATGTATTGAGAGAGTGAATGAAATATCTATCTGCCAGTAATTCTGCCTTCTTTTTAAGTTTTGCAAGTCTCAGCTTACTCACTTGTTTCAGTTTTTCATTTGCACTTAAACCACTGAGTTGGAGAAACATAATGGTCTCCAACTTCCTCCAATCAGCTCATGATATAAAGGTTTTACTCTCCGTATGATTGAACTTAACTGTACAAGGCTGACCATTATAATTTCGAGTAAGGAGATTTCCCACATTAGTATTCAACATCATACCCAAGGAGTTAACTCTTATGATCGTACTATTCCATTCAGTATTTACATTTCATCAGCTGGATGCATCCACTTATCTCCACGTTGTGGTTTAAGTTGAGAATAAAACTCAGTAGTTATTTGTTAAAACACATGCTAACTTAGTGGTCTAGGAAATCCATAAGTTAATATAAATTAATCAAATCCACTTCTGGTTTATCAGCAATAGGGAAACTAAAACCTTAACACATAATGACTTATCGTTTCACACTTATTTTCAAAAATAACTTATGTTCTACTAAGTTTATTTGCTATTGTTATCAATTTCATTCTTTTGGTTACTTTATGTTTACAAACAGTGCAAGTATAAATTCGAAGACTTGAGTAACACATATTTAAACTACGTTAAAGTCAATCAATATGTTCAGGCCTCTTGATTGACTAACCATTCTTACTTACTATCTTATGAATAACCTCATCATTAGTCACAATGTGATTACATCAACATGTGCGGATGATGTATTGAGAAAAATCCTACGGATTAAGTGTTTGCAACCCGATTCAAGTCTTTCAATGGGTAAAAGTGGGTATATTAAATACACCATAGTTGGTACAAACATGTCAAAAATTGAAAATTACCAACCCATCAAAAATTCAAGTGGTTAGTTGATGCATTCGATAAATTCACCCCATACACAATGAGAGACCTGGAAATGACACAGATTCATAGTGATAGAAATACAACTATTAATTCTTATAAATATGTTTATAGATAATAAGCATTAACAGATGTGTTAGTTTACCTATCTTTAAAAAATTCATTCACGATTCGATCGCCAAGTGGATTAATGGCTAATTCTGGAATTAATAGAAAATCATGACGCCTGAAATATCATAAAAAACAGGGTAAGTGAATGAAATAAATGCAGAGAAGTGCGTTCAAAGCAACTTTTTTCACGTACATTAAAATATTTAATGCCCAACTTAAATGTAAGTAACTAACCAACCAACCAACCGTAGCCGTAACCATTACGTGGTACTCACAAATGCATAACATGATAGCCCAATCGAGGCACATTGGCTGAGACTTGTAAGATCCTACCAAGTCAGGTATGTCGACTGTAGAGAAGCAAAATCAATGTCCAAAAGCTAAGTTCCACAGCCAACTGTACTAGATTGTGACGGCAGTACGGGATTTCCAGCAAACAAACAGACTTTCAAGCAGCGCTTTTTTACCACAGCAGACAAAAGGTCACTAACTTCTAGCCTGAACCATGTTGGTAGATGCAGACTACTTGGTTGAGGTCCGTGTGACTATCGTAAACAATGATTGGAGACTCCGAGTGACACCATGGGACTAACATAAATAATACTCGAAAAAAGGTCGTATATAACAGGACTTAGGCAGTTATCTGTCGAAATTTGCGGCTGCGCTCCCAGGCGGCCAAAAACATGACTACCCCAGTATCCTTTTCAGATCCATCAAGAAGTATCCTTTTACGTTGTAGGAATCATAAGCTGAGAGCTCCCTTTATACCTTTAACAGCACTTAAGATCATCTCTTCATCACATGTTAACTTAAAAACCAATAAACATGTATTCATATCAACCGGGGTTGCTTTGAGTTAAGAAGAATGGCAATACGGTCAATGGATGAGAACTTATAAGGATGCTTTTTGGTCCCTAAAACCAAGCATTTTTAAAACCTTGAACAATCTGTTAATCGCCTATAGATTTTACATACATTTTGTCTTATTTGTTCACGATTAAATGTTCTATTAAAAACCAACAATTTTCACAACCCGCTTTTTCAGTGGCTAAAAACTAGCTTTACATTCCATCATTTTACGAGTCATTTGAAACTGTCTATGGGCTTAAGTTTCACCCATTTGCCATAAAGCAACCGCCTAGAAGCCGTATGTTTTTACCTGAGTTGCTGCAACATCAATGTGACAAATTCTCGGTAGTCGCCATACACTTCGTAATAATATACTGTTAACTCCAAACGACAAGTATTAATAGTATAGCATGAACTTCTGAATTAACCAAACACACTTATTTCAAACAAACAACTCTGTGTAATTAACGGCAAGCCTTCATAACAGTTTAGTGCCAATTTAGATGAAATGTAAACGCATAGCTCCACCTCAGGTCTAATCAAAGGGTTTACTTTACCCGAAACTGTTCCTTTCGTGAAGAAATGCGAACTGAATTTTTTTGAGACTCTATCTTACGTCTGCACTTTCATGAAGGCGCTTACCTTTTGACTAAACAAATATATACTAGCAAGCTCACTTATATTCGCCTAAATATTTAGGTGTAAAGTTGGTTATTATGTTGAAATCTGAACGAAATCCTCGTTAGGCAGGGACATTATCTTAAGAAACAGAGACTTTTTCCAAGCTAAGTGAAATATAAGTTAACTGGGAGCATTTTAGTCACATTTTATTGCTAAAAACAACTTCAAACTAATGGTAAGTCAAACTAACCTCAAGTACCCGGCGTTCGTCTTGTCCAAAGCCAAATATCTATTGTACAATCGATAAATTTGTTTTGGAGAAACTTATGGAAATGGTTGAGAGATGTATATCAAACCTACATCCAGTTTCTTGTGCAATTTCCTCAACCTCGGACTGATCAAGTGTATTCGAAGTATTCGCCCCCATTGACCTTCCGCCAAGGTCGCTCAAAGGACGTCATTTAAAAGAACCAGTCTTCTGTGATGAGGATAGTAAGTCGCCAGACCTGTGTTAATCTTTGCAGCCTGTTTTCCGGAGAATTTCCATTTTCTTCTGGAAATTATCCACTGACGGGACCAATAACAGTTATTCACGTAAGATGTTCTAGTCGTTAAATTATATTACCAGTGAGATGTCACTGGGCCCTATCCAAGTCATCCAGCAGTTGGGTCACTGAATATCAAACAGTTCACAGATTCTCATCGAGATTTAGGAAAACCAGCGCGCATCAGTTAGTTGTACTCAATGATTAGCCCATGCCACGGTGGTCGTACTCTGTTCCTCGTACCTAATCTTACTAGCATATCTTCGTGATAAAGTTGTTTCTGTTGTGCAGTCACCAAGGTTACCATGGCACCCGCGTGTAACGAAACGCCAACCCCCGTTACGTGACGACCGTGAGGTGTAACTTCGATGTTAGCTGGTTGATCGCGCCATTATTGTTTAGCTCGTGTTGTGACTTACTTTGATTACGAGAACACGATTGATTTAATGAAAACAACTATTATTATTATGACCAATTGTACCTGTGTTTGTTTTAATGTACTTTTGCTTAACTGTGCTAATGACAGTCATATTGCTACTCCATTACTTTTTCCGTGGAATGTAACCTCGTACGTTCGTACTCTTGCCTGCTCATTCCAATTGTACTTCTTTTGGCACGATCTCGGTATTCGTTTGATAATACGAGATTGCCAACGAAATAAATCTGGTTACGTTCAATCTTTGCCTTCTGATTTGTTTGGTACGCGTCTCCTTGTAGTGATGTTCATAGTCAATCTCGACTCCACGCTACACTCGATTACAAACCCAACCTTTTGACACAGATCATTTACGAAAGATGGGTGTAAGACTTCGTGGAACTCTTGAGTAGACCAGCACCATTGCATTCATCAAACATCGAAGCAGAACACATACAATCTCTTATAGATGTCACTTTTGTTGTGTATGCTACTGAGGTCGATAGACGTTAGTAGTATGTATCATCAATAGAGTGTGAAACACCTTGCTGCAGAAGGTTAAGAATATCAAAGAAAAGAGAATGAGAAGAGAAAATGATTTTTGTCAAAGTAAAGGAACAGTCAAGCTTGAGACAATCGATTGGCATTTTGCAAAGGATGTATTTATTGTATGGTTCTCTGAATTTACTAAGACGTTCTGTAATTTTATGTTCAAATATATTCGATTATCCTCTCATATGCTATCTTTCACTACAACTACACAAACGATTTAATAGATCAGAATGGTCATCATACAAATCTGCAGTGGGGAGGCAATAGGACATGGTGCAAAACCAACTGGAGCAACGAAGTCAAACATGGAAGTATCTACAAACATACATCACATTCTATTCAGGAAGATTTTTTCACTGATGAAAAGTCAGTTGAATGGAACTCATCACTATACATCAACTTCCTTGATTATAAGAAAGCATTTAAATGTATGTATAATAAGACATTATGTAAACTTTTTCGACACTGTGGAGTACCTGTGAAGATCAACATTATCCGGAACTCATATGAGGGAATGCACTGTAAAGTCATATATGGAAGACAGCTGACAGATGTATTCAAATTGAGGACAGAAGTCAAGTAAAGCTGCCTACTCCACCCCTGTCTTTTTATTCCGGTGGACGACTGGACAATGAAGACCTCCACGCCTGAGGAGAAGTACGGAATACAATGTGCAGCTTTCATGCAACTAGACGATTTGGGCTTCACAACTGACCTGGCTATTCTATCCTATACACACGAACAAAGGCAGATGAAAACAAAAAATTTAGTAGAAGCCTCTGTATCATTAACACTCAACATACACAAGGGAAAAAGCAACATCATTAAATACAACACAAAATACTAATTTAATCACACTTAATGGAGAAACTCTGGAAGGAGTGGAATCTCTCATGTGCCTGTCTTGGCAGCACCATTGATGAACAAAGAGAATCAGATGCAGACGTAAATATGAGGATCGGTAAAACAAGTAAAGCATTTATACAGTCGAACAACATATGGAACTAAAAACAACTGTCAGTTAATCAATATCAAAGCCACAATCATCAATACGAACGTCGAAGCAGTTCTACTGTACGGAGCTGAAACTTCATGAACTACCACAATCATCATCAAAATGGTACAAGTATTTTTAAACAATTGTCTACTCAAGAAATCCAATTTCCATTGGTCTGATACCATCAACATCAGTATACTGTGGGAGAGAACGAACCAGCTTTCAGTAGGAAAAGAAATTAGAATAAGGCGTTGGAAGTGGATAGGACATACATTGCGGAAATACTCAAACTGCATCACTAGGCAAGCGCTAACTTGGAATCCCGTAGGAAAACGTAAAAACAGAAGACCAAAGTGTGCACTATGTCGGGAATTGGAAGCAGATATAAAAAGGTTGAACAGCAACTTGAAACAACTCGAAGGGATTTTCTAGGACAGGGTTGGATGGTGAATAGTGATGGACGGCATATTCTCCTCCACGAGGGGTAACACGCGTAAGTAATGAAATGTAAGTAAGTGTGACCAGACATTGTGATCTGTCGTTAAGGGTTTGATATTCATTGCTAATATTCATCAACAACGAATACTAGACCAATTTAAAAATTGAGTTTACCAATCCAATTTACATAAAACTTTAAAATACTATTAACAATAACAAAAAGCGATGACACTGTCCTCGCTGTCTTTCTTTCTAAGCACTAAGAATATATATGGATTACATTCACTTAAATCTTAGCATCGAGAAATTTATATGAGTAGTTGCGATTCATCAGTTTCATCGACAGATGAACGTTTTTATTTATAAAGCTATTTAAGAGCTTATTATTCCCAACCATCGACATCATTAAACGAGTTTGATGAGTCATTGATATCTGCAGTCAGTTAGTAAAGGCTGTCTTGGGAAATAAATTAGGGACGTCTGTAAAAAATTCATTTCGAGAGCCCCTCTAATAGCCAGAAAAAATGAACAATTCCGAGCAACGGGGTCTCCAAAATCCTACAAAGTTATCAAACCAGGCATTTCACAATACTGGGTTCTGGTATCATGTTCTTATGTACAAGTTTTAGTAAATTCTAAGGGGTAAAGACACATAAAGCTCAACTTTATTACCTGCAGTGTCAGGGCGGCCATTAAAGGCATTTTGTTAGTCAAGGTTTACGAAAATCTATTATACTTGATGGATTATCATATATTAGCACTCTGATTTTAGGGATTTTCGACTGTAAGGCTCTTTTACTACTATGTATACAGTGAATAAGAGACGGAAAAATTTCGATTACTGTATGATTAGTGTGGCTTTTATTGATAAAGGTGTCACTTAAAAGTGAGCCGGTTGTTGTATCCGAAGATTATGTTATGACTAACTTTCGGGAACTATTTGTAGACTGTCATTATATATGTATTCTTATTGCATAACTGTTAAGTAACTGGATCATACACATTTATAAGCTTCCAATTGACTATTGGCTATTATTATACGATTTACTACCTTTAATTTATTCCCAAGGTGTCAGTTACAGTCTCTTACACTTGTAGCGTGGCGTCGAGTTGAGGTTAACTATGAACACCGCTACCAAGAAACACGTGCCAAGTAGATCAGAAGGCGTAAGAAGCTCGTTCCAAATGACTCCATAAAATCCCCGAGAAGCCAAATATCAGAAGGCAGTTAATGGACCAAGTCGAGGTTTATTAGCTGGCGATCTCGTGGCATAGAAAGGATACCGAGATCGTGCCAGGATACAAGCTTGGTTACAGAACGTAACCGAATTCGCGCAAAGTTACAATCGAAGTGTAAGTAAAAGAATGGAAGCACAAAATAGCTGTCATTAGCACAGTCAAACAAAAGCACATTAAAACAAACACTGGTACAGTTGGTTATAATAATAATTGTTTTTATTAAACCAGTCGTGTTCTCGTGATAAATGGTGAGTCACTACACACTCATAGTCACTTTTTATGGTATGATGCGGCCTGGTTTGCTTGTCTATAAACTACGTATGTCTGAAATATATTATTCGTACAGTAGAGAGTGTTCGTATTACAGACTCAACTGATAGAGCTAGGCGAGAAGGACCAATAAGGATTCAGAATTGACGCAACACTGTTAGTACTGGTTGAAGCGTCATTGGCTTAGCACAAAAACATGGTCATATAAGTCGGTATTATGATTCACGGTTTTGTCACATGATAACTGACAGGGTCAAAATACATAACACCAGTTTTTATTAAATTGGCTTCCCTTAGTTTTCGAATTGATTAATTTTGGTTGCTATGTTTAAGTTGCCTCACTATTCCTTAGTTATGAAATTTTATAGCCGGATAAGTTATCAGACACGGTAGGGTAGAAATCAAAGTCGTTTAGACCACATCCATTCCATACTTTCACGGCGATTACAGTGCCATACCGTACATATTATTCTATGCCATATGCTGTGTTTCTTATCATTGTGATTCTGAAGAAACGAAACATGTCTTGTCATTTAGTGTTTCACACGTATTTCAGGTGGTTTTTCATATGCTATCCAAAAACCTTTTCAGAACTAAATTACAACCATACTTAGTGAAAGCAAATCTTACCCTAACTGGTCTGTTCTCTAAAAATTATGCTAAAGGGACATTTCAGTTTATAGATCACCAGCGTAGATGATCTATGTCGAATGATTGGAGGCTTATTAGAGTTAGACGGGAATGGTGTGACGATCTAGCTAACGTCGAAGTTACACCTCGCGGTCAGCACCTTATGTGGATTGCCCCATCCACGTATCAAGGTATTGTAGATGCTTTGAAGACTGTACAGCACAAAGGACGTTATTACAGAAATATATAGTTAAAGTAGATACAAGTGAAGGTAAGACCACCGCCACATGGGCCAGTTGATTGCGAACGATTAACTAATGCGCGTTGGTGGCCTTTAAGCTTGACAAAGATCGATGATCGGTTTAATATTCGGCGACCCAGCTGCCGGATGATTCGACTAAGGCTTAGTGACATTTCACTGACCTTACAAGTTTTTTGAACATTCAGCTATAGACGGAGTTTGAATTATAAATAAGAACTTTCGTCTAAATTTGAACGAATAGTTTCACAATATTTGGGCGCCGAGTTAATTTGAGACATTAAAAAAAAAGAATAGATTTGTAAAATCTCAGCGAATGAATTATAAGTAAATCCAACGTTTCGCCTGGCAATCTGGTCCAAGCTTTTTCAAGGAAAATATAATCAAACAACAAAATTATCGAATATAAATAGGTACATGGTTCTTCGGTTTACTGTATACTGAATAAGTCATCCAATCGACGTGAAGGATTTCTTTATAGATAGGTATTTGTATTAATGTGTAAGAGACATGTTTATATGAAAAATAATAAAGGTCAAACCAATAAAATAAAATAAAAGTTCATTTGAATTAGTTATAAACTTCATCACTGTAACATTGAGAAAACTTTTTTGGATTTCTGCCTAAATGTAAATCTAAAATTTCCATATTCACTAATTGATGAAGTAGAATTACCTAGATCAGCTCAAGACATACTCTATTAGTCGATGATGGCCTAAGAAAAAAGGAACCAAAATCTCCATAAACTTTGGAGGTGATTTGGTTTCCGAATTACGGTAATCTAAATTGTTGACTGAATAATAAGATTTTTCTGAAAATTATCCATTCAATCTAAATGTTGAGGCTATGGGTTTAATGTGTGAGAACAATGTTTCAACTTGTTAAAATACTACTCATAATATATAGATAGCTAATAAAAGTTTACTAAAATCATTGATAACTCTTACTTCATTTTCAATAGTCAATTGAACATAGGACCTTCGGTCTCACGTGCGAACCCCCAAACTTAATGGTGATCTAACATTAATCAATTCATGATCTCAATTAAAAACTCAACAATCTCTACAATCCTACATTGATCATTCAGAAAAATTAAGGTAGAATCAGTAAGAAAGGTTTCTACAAATGATTAATCACTGACTGTTGAGCTGTGTTATACTTTTCTGGTCCTATAATATTGAAGAGTTGGCGTTGACCAAGTTAACTGAAGAGTGACGATTGATACGGAAATCGAGTCCAGAGTCTCTGATCTACTAATTTCGTTTATCCGTCATCAAAACATCATGGATAACATATAGCGTTGTGGTGTGCGCTACTGATGTTGACAGATATAAGAAGTATGTGTCATCAACCGAAAGTGAAATGCCTGGCAACAGAAGGTTAAGAAGATTGAAGAAAATAGAAAGAGAACAGAGAGTGATTGCGGAGAAAATGAAAGAACAGTCAAGTTTGAGACAATTGATTGATATTTTACAAATTAATTATTTACTATACGGTTGACAAATGTTACTAATATATTCTGTAACTGTGCATACAAATACATTCGATTGTCCCCACTTATGTCATCATTCAATATTTTATCCCTTTTTCTTTTTTTATATGAACCCAAACAAAATAATGATGATAGAAAAATAGATCTCCAAGAATTACTATGCACACATTTATTAAAGTATAACAACAGAGAAAATGACAAGAAACAAAACAAGAACATCAACGAATGAGAAAACGATTTGTTCTGATAAGGATACCAAAAAAAAAGTTAATATCAAATAAACACAACAAAAACTGTAGTCCAAATGCCTATACACATAAGTGTTTACCAGAGCTAAACAGAAGAATATAGAGACTTGAATACAAATATACAAATGAAGTAAGAAATAAGAGTGAAATGCATTTAAAATGCTTCTAATGAATAAAACAATATTGTTTTTATTTTATAAAAAAAAAGAAGATAAAGGGTATTTAAAAAAAAAGGGATTCATGATCAGTTTGGGCCTAGTTACTAACTTTTTTTGATATAAAAAATCCATACAAATACACGCACACACACGCGCGCACACATACACACACACACAAACAAACACATTTAAGTAAATGATTCTCATTTACTGTTAGTTAGTAACATGTATAAACAGAGGGGTTCTACACTTTCTTATTTCCTATGATGTTGATCATCTTTAATTCGTTTCTTTTTTTTTTCATTCATTATGTAAGAAATGCGATAATGTTACAAAACAAAACAACAAAAATGTCAAATGTAGACAAAAATATTTGAGCAATAAGAGGTTGTTATTTTTTTTCTTTTATAAAAAAAAAAGAAGATTATTCAATACAGGTAAACATAAACCCTCTTCAAGTATGAAAACATCAATCAAGAGATATGAACTCAATAGAAAAGCAATATGGATAATGATCATAATAATAAAGGTGTAAGAAAGCACTCAATTATATGCATATGCATATGTATATGGATACAGGAGAAATGTAAAACAGTGTTAGAATAGCTTTATTGTTAATATTATTAAATGCAAACAAATTATTGTTTGTTTGTTTGTTTGTTTGTTTGTTTGTTTTTTATCCATTAATATCTCTGATTTGGATAAGATGAGCAAATGTGAACATGGAATGAATGAATGAATGAGAGAAAGAAAGAAAGAAGAAAGTATTATCTCTATATGGAATAGAAAATGACTTCAATGAAATAAGATATATCATAGGTACCTTAGTTATGCAATCTATCTAACCATTATATTTGGTTACTAACTTATAATCATTCACTTATATGATTTTTTTCATTTTATAGATATAGAAAACAATTGAATAAAATCAAACAGATGAAATTAGATATTACTACATACATTCTAAAAAAAAAAAAAGAAAGTTATCAAAAGAAGCGAGAGAAGAAGAGACAGAGAGGGAGGGAAGAGCTAAAAAATATTAATTATTTATTTATTTATTTATTTATTAAAAGCATTAACAATTAAGAAAGACTGTTAATCTGAAAAACAAAAAATACCCATCTCCACCTTCATCCTCTATCCTCCATCCTCACCCTCACCTCTTCAACAAATTGAGTTAATTTTTAAATGTACTAATTCTTTCCAGTTGTTGTTTTTTTTTCGTCATAGTTACAATAGTTTCCTATATATATATATTAAGTTGTATACAATATTTCTATGAACAGGCAAATGCATTCAACGGTAATAACTGCTTTTCTCGGTAAATAAAAACAATGATGAAACTTACGTTAAATACTACTTACGGTGTTTTAAATAAATAAGAATAGCAAAAAGAAAATAAAAGGTAGACGAGAGTGGTCAATAAAAGTGAAGATAGAAATGAAGTAATAGAAAGAGAGTAAATAGATAAACACATATGCATGCATATGTGTATGCACGAACACACACTCACATACACATACACAAACACAAACAGTATTACAAAATATAAAATGAAGATAGTGGAATTTTCTAGTTAACAAGGATTGTTTTGGTATGTTTTCTTTTCTGCTTCAAATGCCTTCATTTTATGTTTTGTGCCGTATGTTTAATTATTTTTTTGACAGCCTATCTCTTGCTCTCACTCTCTCTCAATTGCGTGCTAACGCGCGCGATTTGTCATAAATGTCTTGATAATTCTCGGTTGAGAAGACTGAGAATTCGATAAATGCGTCGACTTTTTGTCTGAAAAACAAGTATACAATGGTATATAACTGAAATAATTGTTAAGAAAATAATGAAACAATAGTGATTTGTAAAGGATTTTCCCGACATAACTATGTTGAATTGATAAGAAAATGGATAATGAACTATACATCATGCAATAACAATGAAACAATATGCAAATGATTTTGATAGAGTTTTGTTCTCTCAACTAGATGGTTTGATCGTGGAGCTTTCATCGTTCTTCTGAACGACATCATTAGCAGAAATTTCAGGTGGAAATGGTATTCAATTTTCTCCATATATGGCTCATAGTTTGTCCTGTAAACCTCGATGTTGATTGGTTCTTGTTGACTTTAAACCTGTCATGACAAGTTGTGAGCCATGTATGGAGAAATTTGAACATTTCACTTCTACCTGAAGTTTGTGCTGATGATGATACTGTCCAGAAGAACGATGAAAGCTCTACGACTAAACCATCCATTTCAGAGAACAAAACTCCATAAAAATCATCTGCTTAAGCTATAAATCTTCTCTATCATCTCGAATTGTGTAGAGGAAATTATACAAAATGCTTATTCCTATTCATTCATGTCATCAGCTAAAACATAGTTTTTATGGGTAATCCTTTATTTTCCTACCATATCAGATAAACTGTTACTTAGTTCATTCCGCAATTGCCTTACTGTTATTGTTGAAACTATAAAGGTTAATAACTTCACTGTCATTCCTCTCAGATGATAATTTCATAAACCATCAGGATTTCGTATACAAAAAGAGATTGTGGGGACTATAAGAGATCATTTATGAAATTATTTATGATTTAATAAAGAATTCAGGTGTTTGTGATTCTTCACTGGAATGTGAATGATTCCCTGTAAGATAATAAGAACTGACTATAAAGCTTCAATAATCTATAACCTACCCAAATAATCTATATTCATTAGGCTTTTGAGGGACAGACTATAGCAACAAATATAACTACTACCATTATGTCACCTTGACTTCCTATAATGCTAATTTCTTTTCTTTTACTCTGTTGATGTAATGTATGCCATGTTCTTTATTATTTATAATTGACCAATCGACTATAAAAGTGAGCATCATGTATATACTAAAGATTACAATAGGTTACCCAGAAAATGATATATTTTACAAGTAGACTAACTCAATTTTGTTGGATGAGTTTTGCTGAGATAATGATAATATTTAATGATATTTATCAAGCACTGACCTCAGTCAATGGAGAGCCTTTTTCATTCAAGTATGAAACTTTTTCATAATATATACCTATCAACATGTAAGAGATTAAACTTCGAAACTTTGATGAACCCATAAACATTCAAATCATTTAGTCAGTAACCATTTGTACAATTTCAGTCACAGTCAGTTTGTGAAATAACGGGAAAATCATTGATTATCATCAATGATAACTCGTTAGCCCCTGACATAATTGATTTTAATTATAGAACAAAGGTCTAATTGTAACGAATACGACCTGGCATAATAATTCTGTTCCAATTATTAATGACATGGAAACAATTATTATAAACATATGATATTAAATATAGTTACATTGGAAACTTACTTTAATCACATACTCCTGTTCATCACATGAACCATTATCGATTTCTATTGTAAATAACCAATAATTCATATTAGTCATAGCAATAAATAAACATGTTGTATATGATTATCTAAATGTACATACTTTACAATTCATTTGTACATTGAAATAATGAGTGTATATTATGAATTAGCTTAAGTCTATAATGTGAGGTTAACAGCTAAAGCTTAGATTCCTCAATAGTTACTCTCATAGATGTTGTCTTAAACGTGTAGTGATTATGAATATTAACATGACAAACTGGTTGAAAATGGATTCAAAACACGTATTAGTGTATGTAGTGTAACAGAAATTTTTTTAAAGAAAATATATAGGTTAGATAGAATTTATAATTGATTGATCACTAGATAATGATCAATTTCATGGATGTAATGTTCATTTTACTGCAAATAGAATTCTATCGATTAGGTTATAATGTAATCACTAGCCTGACCGTTGCTGCTACTTTAATGTGATAATCGGTCCTCCCTATCGTGATGAACCAATCGAGTTATAGTGGTTGGAACAATGGTTCCTCAAAGTCCTAACATGCCAAACAAGTTGGTTGAAGAGCAGTAAGACTAAAAGCAACAAACCCAAAGTCCGAAGGCGAAGTCGTACTGCTGACTGTACAAAAGTGTGACGAGAGTAAGGTGTTTCCTTCAGACAACTAACATAATAGCGATGCTGTCTTCCCACAAAGGTAGAGTGAGGTTAGAAAAGTCGACTGTAACAACGCACACCTTGCCTTATCACACGGATTTCCGTCTCCGGTGTTAAGGTCTCAACAAGTACGGAGCTAACAAGAGACTTACTCACAAAACGGTCGTGTGTGACCGACCTCACTAAGTTGTTCCTTGGGCATATCGGTCACGCTCACAAGTCACTTAGAACACTCCTTAACCTCATTTCCTTTTCAGGTACCTGGGAAGTGATAACCACCCTCATACCTCTGACAACACTCATGATCACTGTATTCATAATTGATCTCTTCCAAGTTTAAGTGACTCGACGATGCATGTACTATTTTGATGTGTAAAGTGGTAGTTGGAGATAGTCGATAGAAACCCATGAACCTAGGTTTCATGCTATTTGGCAATTATCAACAATGTTAATAAGGAAATTGATGCTTCCTGATGGATTCGATCGTATGTTACCCAGCTTGACGGTCAGAGACGTTATTGCTGAGCTATCCAGTCCGAGAACCAAATCCAGCAGAGAGTGTTAGTTATCTCAACATTACAGATACACCTTGCAGATGAGTGCTTAGTGAAACAGAATGTTATTAACTGAATGTCACATTCAGTATGATTTACAGAATATTAACTGATACCATCGAACAATTCCTCGAAGTCTTTCATGGTGACTACCAATAAACATTTAAATTTCAGTAGTTTATAATTGACTGAATGGTGTGAATCATAGATATGTAACAAATTCAACCATGACACTGGTTAGTATGAGTTCGAAACCCAAATGAAACATTATTTGTTTTAAAATACCAGACACACCTTATTGATGAGTACCAAGAAGTGTGGAACCTAGGTCCGCAGCTTTTGTTCGGTCGCACCAACCATGACAATCGTCTATCATAATAGGCCATAAACTCAACAGTATTGACGTACTAAATGTTGCTTTCAAACTTTAATTCTATATTAGTTTCAAATATTTTTTTATTAATTCTTAGATACTTTACTCTTACGTTTAGCGCTGCTTACCTTTAACTTGTCGTTTCATTGCATATTTTGAACTTATTATCTTAGAGCTCATTTGTTCAGTCGAGTGTTTGAACAGGTTTCGTGGATTTCGTTCAATGGTACGTGAATTAGTCGAATTATTAATCAAACGTTTTTGTTTCAATTTCTCCAAACGATCCCAACTAGACAAGTCAATTAGTTCATCATTAGACGTCGATGATGATAAAATATCGGACTTTTGATTATCCACATCACTTATACTACTATTATTATTGTTAGTAGTCCCAATGGCAATAGAATCTGTAGTTACAGATGGAGATATATGTTGCGATGGAGTGGATGCCTCATTTCGAGCCAAGTAAAGTTGTAATTCGTTGAAATGATCTTCTTCAGATGTGATCGATGGTAGTGGAGAATAAAGACTACCAAAACCAGACGAATTGGGGCTGATATCAGAAATGCTGAGTTTTGATGTGGATTGTGAAACCGATTGACTTGTCTGATGATCCCATTCAAATAAACTATCAGCACTAACAGCAGTTTTGTGCAAATTCTTCTCTGCGAATTCCAGTTCTGCAATACGTTGACGTTGTTGATAACGACGCGCATCACGTATAGGACTGGCACAACTGACAACTTCGAATTCAGTGCTACTTAGTTCTTTACTGGAAAAAATAGTATAGGAAATGACTAGTAAATTATCCCACCGGTCCGCAAAGTGAAGTGCTAAATTTAACATCAAAACAACTGTACAAAGAATCTTGATAAACGAATGAATACTTGTAAATGTAAACAAGTTATGGAAAACCTAATGTTTATATTGATGAATAACTGAATAATAACCAATGTGATATCTGTCCAGTCTTTTAGTTATGATTTAATACTGTTGATCAAGTTGCAGTCAGACGGCTAGTCTAACTGATCCATCACTGAATGTATTATATTGGTTTGTTAGTTCGTTGAAGGTATTCAACAGCAAACTGTGCTTGGTCTGAGTTTTGGACTACCAGTGTAGTTGCACTTGTTATATTCGTACCTTTATCATTCAACTTCACAGTTCAAAACGTTACTGCTGAGTTATTCCAGCTCCCTAAATTTAGCTAGAAAATCAAAAATTCTACAAATTTATTGATCCAATTGAGCAATTTTTATAAAATAATTGGAAACCGACATGAACTGATGAGACATAAAACGAAAACAAGAAGGTCGTTATCTCCAAAAGTTGATATGTCACGAAAACATGAAATAACAGAAAACAAATCTTGATCTATGATCTATACATTTACATTAGGATAAATGAGACTTTATGGTGATTACGTTTCTATAATATAAAGATTATAATCAGAATAAAGATTAAGCGTTCGCGCGAGTGACCGAAGATCTTCGGTCCAAGTCCCGTGTATGGGATGAAAACTGTTGACAAGTCCCATACTAGAACAAAACATCCATCCACTGCCTTTAGGTTTTCAATGATGGTCTAGCAAGATCAATACAGAAGTTCAATTGTTAAAATATTAGGATTGGTAACTTGTTCATTTGTGTTGAAAAACAATAGGTCTCAACATACACAAAGGGGAAAGCAAGATTTTCCGATACAACACAACATGCAACAATCAAATCACACTTGACGGAGAAGATTTGGAAGATGTAAAAACCTTTACATATTTGGGCAGCATCATTGATGAACAGGGTGGATCAGATGCAGATGTGAAAGCGCGGATCGGCAAAGCCAGAGCAGCATATTTACAACTGAGGAACATCTGGAACTCAAAGCAACTGTCAACCAACACCAAGGTCAGAATTTTCAATACAAATGTCAAAACAGTTCTACTGTATGGATTGGAAACTTGGACAACTACGTAAGCCATCATCTAGAAGATACAAGTGTTTATTAACAGTTGTCTACACAAAATACTTCAGACACATTGACCAGACACTATCAGCAACAACCTACCATGGAAGAGAATAAACCAGATTCCAGTTGAGGAAGAAATCAGGAAGAAGTACTGGAAGTGGATAGGACACACATTGAGGAAAGTACCGAACTACTTCACAAGGCAATCCCTGACATGGAATCCTCAAGGCTAAATAAAGGAGACGAGGAAGACGGAAGAACACATTTTGCCGAGAAATATTAGGAGACATGAGAATAATGAACAACATTTGTATAGAACTAGAAAGTAAGGCCTGGGATAGAGTGTGTTGGAGAATGCTGATTGGCGGCCTATGCTCCATTAGGAGTAACAGGCGTAGGTAATTAAGTAAGTAAGTTGAAAAGCAAATAAGCTCCCTAAAACGATTATATTCTAATAGGCTTTATCACTAGTTGATGTAAAATATTATCAATTTATAAAAACGATTATTTTATTGACTGTTAAGTGGTTTTAAACTGATAAGGTCATTTGAATATTGCTATTATATTATTCTTATGATATGAACACTCCAAAAACACAAATACATTTACTTAACAACCGATAATAAAACAGTTTTTATTAAAATAGAATTACATAATTATTAAACTATCCAGGAATGATTGAGATTATGAATCGATTTGTTAGACCACTATTCGAAACGTGAAGGCACTGAAACGTCGTTTCGTCCTATTTAGAAATTCCTCAGCAGCGCCCATACACGATCCCGCTCTCAGGATTCGAACCCAGGGTCTTCGGTCTCGCGCGCCAACGCTTAACCTCTAAACCACTGAGCCGGCCGGCATTCAATTGCGTTAATGTCTAATCTCAACCAATCCACAAAATTGTACGACTATCTTCCATTGTATTGAGATAAATAACTGTCTCTACGCGACACGGTTTAGCTCTACTGGTCACAGTTTCTCACAAGAACTCTGAGAATTCCTTCAAATAGCTAGTCACTAGTGAGCACATGATAATTATCAGTATAGGGTCGTGGAAATTGCTATGTTTTTGATTGAGATCATGAACCTATTGATGCTAGACAACCATTGCACACTGTTGAAAAGTCTCACAATAGGACAAAACGATCATCCAGTGCTTCCAAGTTTTCAATGGTTGTCTAACATCAATTTCAATCAAAAACTTAATAATCTCCACAATCTCATACTGATATATATGTATATGGATAATAAAGATTCATTAATAACTTACTCATTTTCATCAATTAATGTAACTGTAATATGTACATCTTTTTTCCATGTACTTGGACATTTAGAATTGAGAAAAGGAAATACTAAATGATAAATATCACAGAAATTATTAAAATCTATATCCATTACTAAATAACCATCATTCATTAGTTTATATGTAACATTATTATCATTTTGTACAGCTTGTATAAAACATAATTGTTCTTGTTTTGATAATATATTTGGAATTTGCATTGGATCATTATAACTACAATAAACAAATTGGAGAAAGGGGAAAAGAATATAATAAAATGAATAACAAATATTGAAATAAATAAGTAAACAAAGTTATCTTTGTTACCAAATTCACTTGGTTTTGTTTTATTTGTATCTTTCCATTGTTATTTAAGACTGCAATTGATCAGTCTCATGTTGGCATATGTGCATCCTGGGAGGGTGGCCTCGATATAGTCTTAAGTCACAAGCTTCTTAAGCAAAGATGGATAGTGGCTAGCAGTGGAATCCTATTTCGGACTCATCAGCTGGATGTACCTACATCCCGGAGTATAAGCAGTACTCGGAAACATTACGGTTTGAAGATGTTATCGATAACTGCATCTCTGTGCTAATGTGGTGTGGCAACTCGAACTAATGTACGTACGTACAAAGTTCTACGTTGTTACTGATTGACTGACTGACTGATACATTGTTATTATTTGAGGGATTATCACTGAACTGTTGAGGCTATTAATTATCTTCACTAAAAATAATTTTGTTTAAAATATTGATTGATCACTTATTTGTCAGTAATGTCATTTTTCTCAAACTTTCAATGTTGATAGAACTCAATCGATCACAAATCAAAGTGTCTCAACTTCTTACACATTATCTTTGTGCTAGGTAGTTTAACATGATCAAACTGTTCGTTAGACATCAATCAACAAAATAATTCATAATAAATCCACTTAGTATTGTTTGCTTATATTTTCTCATTGATGTTTAGGACTATAACTGTTCAGTCTCTTATTGCAATATACGCATCCTATGCGAACTACCTCGATATTGCTTACAGTCACAAACTTTGTAAGTAAAGATGGCTAACAATGAAATCTATGACTCACGTTTCGTCCTGTTAGAGACTCGTTAGATGAATTGATAACATGATATTGTTTGAATCAAATAGTACTGTGTTTGAATCTTGGAATGAACATCAACTCTCAAATACAGATACATTCAGCTGTTCTGCATCAAATAGAATGAAAAATGGATCATAGATTCCACTGCTAATCACCATTCATCTTTGTTTAATAATCTCTTCAAATCATTAAAATTTCGCGTTGAAATCATTGAAACACTTTAAATTCATGTTTAATATTGAAACCCGACTGTTGTTGCTACTTTAATGTGATAATCGGTCCTCCCTATCGTGATGAACCAATCGAGCTATACTGGATGGAACAATGGTTCCTCAAAGTCCTAACATGCCAAACAAGTTGGTTGAAGAGCAGTAAGACTAAAAGCAACAAACCCAAAGTCCGAAGGCGAAGTTGCACTGCTGACTGTACAGAAGTGTGACGACAGTAAGGTGTTTTCTTCAGACAACTAGCATAATAGCGATGCTGTCTTCCCACAAAGGTAGGGTGAGGTTAGAAAAGGACCCCAAATATGCACACCTCACCTTATCCCACGGACTCCCGTCTCCGGTGTTAAGGTCACAACAAGTACGGAGCTAACAAGAGACTTACTCACAAAACGGTCGTGTGTGACCGACCTCACTAAGCTGTTCCTTGGGCATATCGGTCACGCTCACAAGTCAGTAAGAACACCGTCTAACCTCATTTCTTTTTCAGGTACCTGAAGAAGAACCTTTCCACGGTGTGGGAAACCGGGAAACGATAACCACCCTCATTCCTTTCACAGCATTCTAGACTTAATACTGAAATCAATGTAGAATATTTATGATCAAAAGTATAAAAACAAAAAGAGTTGTGCCTGTAATTTTTCAATCAATCAATTAATCAATATATGTATATATAGAAATATAAAATAATTTACCCAATAGCCGGTGTACATATTCCACCAAATATTGTAAATGGTTTAAATCTTAATTTAAATTTATGATTTTTCATTAAATCAATATCTTCTTCATTATAATGATTATCATTATCACCATGGTAATTAATTATTGTTGTTGATATATTATTTTTCAATGTATAATAATGAAATTGTATTCGTGTATCAATGACACGTCCACGAATAACAAATAATTTTTGTATACCAGTTTTAGTGATGATTGTCTAAATAAGGAAAGAAAAATTAGATTATGTTCCTTTTTTTAGTTTTGTGTTTTGGTTTAGAACACATAAATTTGAAAAAAAAATTTTTTTTTGAAAGAAAAGCAACGACGACAACAACAGCAACAACAACAACGACGATGACGACAACAACAACCATGACAACAACAACAACAAGAAAGATATTTGAAAGAGAGAGGGAGAGAGAAAGCGATACATTTTTTAAAACGATAGATGGCAACAATTTGAGAAAAAGGATCAATATGATATTTAATAAATTTTAAATTTACATGAGTGATTTATTGATTTTTATGGTAAAAATTAAAAAAAAAAATTTATGAGTTTAATTAAATAATATATATATATATATATGGAATATATCGAGTCTTGTGAGGCGGGATCGTGGATATCAACTGTCGAGAAGTCCTACAGTAGGACGAAATGGCCATTTAGTGCTTCCAAATTTTTCATAATGGTTCACATTCAATTGACTCATGATTTTAACTATTAAAATTACTATAATATTCGTAAAAAACTTCTTCTCATATTAATCAACATATGTTCAGTAGTGACTGGCTTCAAGAGACACTCCTGGATAAGCAATGACCGGTGGAGTTCAATCGAGTCTATTGTAAGAAAGTAACTCAATGAAAACATTGGTGGATGTGTCTCTCAATTTCGTGGATTGGTTAAAGTTAGACATTAACACTATTGAATGCCAGCTCAGTGGTCTAGTGGTTAAGTGTTCGAGAGCGAGACCTGAGCTCGAATCTCGCGAGTCAGGGTCGTGAGTGCTAACTGTTGAGGAGTTCCATAATAGGACGAAATGCTCATCTAGTGATTTCAAGTTTTCTATTATGATTTAGCTTTAACTGGCTTATGATCTCATTTATTGAAATTAATGTATCAACTGTGTTTTTTCGTTTTTAAAAGTAATATTAATAAATGATAATGATAGATCTCTCAAAGAAAATAATGAATTGTGTTAACTGTTGGAATCTATTTATGGACTGATATTATACATATTATTTTTTTATTGTATAATTGTTATTGTAACTAAACTATGTGCATATTCATGTTCCTCTTATTATAAGCTTCCATTTGATGTATAGACTATTATGATACGATTTACCATTCTTGAGTTATACCCTGTTTATCAATTACTATCTCCCTTATTCACAGACACATTTGGCTAGATCTTGTGCAAATGTTGTTTCCTATTTTATGGTACAATTTGGTCTGCTTGGTTTGTATATAAACTCAGTATGTTTGAAATACATGATTTTATATCGTGGAGGCTGAAATTGGTGTTCTGGTCTCAACAGGCACGGCTAAGCAGGAAGAAGGATTAATAAAGACTTTAGAATGTTCACACGCCTTATTGCTCCAGTCGATAATTCCGTGTTCTTTAATTGTTGGTATCATTACGTTATAAATTAATAGGGACACAAGGCCCACAAGTTATAATAGAAAATATGTTTAACTATATCATTTAACAGCATTATTGAATCTATCCTTTGAATTAGATCATTTCAATTCAGTTTTTTTCTGTTTCTATTTCTATATCTTAAGACAAGTTTAACAATGTAGAATCTGAGTACATTTTTATATCCTGTATATTTGATTCACTGAATAGATTGTAGTCTGTTAACTTGGTTAACAGGAGAAATTGAAATAGCATTACTTGTGATTATTCACCGTAGTTGCTTACAATTGAACTTGAATAACGTGATGACCTAATCAGGGTATATTAGTTGGAATTTTCATTTGTTTAGGTTTGAAATGGATTTATTATTTTGGTAGAACATTATTACTATTTGCTATTGATTGCTTTGATTATCATACCAATGTACATTTTGTGTGCTTTTTTTTCTAGCTTACTTTACTCACTCTGATCCGAACACTCCCTTAACAAGTAAAGTACTTTCAGGCTAGACATGAACTACTACATATTAGATGGATCTACCATAGACTGAAATTAAAAGGTACTACCATATAAAGTAGTTTGACCGGAGGACAGTAAAGCTAAATAAAGTAAAGTTAAGATCTGAGTTATAAGTCACAGTGTCGGTTGTACTGCGGTGTGATGGAAGTAATGTATTAGTCTCAGATAGGCAACACTCATAGCTGTAGTACTTTATCACAGCGGAAGGACGGGGGCTAGAAGCGGTTGACTCACCTCACCTTACATCGTGGATTTTCAGTCATTTATAATGTGGCCTTACAAGTTCAGAGATAACCTAATGAAAACAATTTATAGAAAGACCGTGTGTAACCTGCTTCCTCATAAATATGTGTAAACAACTTGATTCAAGTCAAAAGTATTGATTATTGAATACTGACTTAGTAATTCTGTAGTTACTCATGTTATTTTGGTTCGGCATAGTGTAGGTAGGAATTAAGAGTTTAAATATAAAGTTTAAATAGATATTCAATAGTTTAGGCGCGGTTGTTTTAACCAATATCAGTTTTAGTTGACTTAATACTTAAAATAATAAATCCACCATTTGAATACCTGACAATCACTAGAATTCATTTCTTAGTTTCACAGAAGGTTTCTATATTTTAGCCTCAAACAGAAGGCAAAATGTGGGAAATATGAAAAGAATCATTAGTTTCAAGGTTATTCTAGGTACAGAGAATAGAAATATTTTCAGCTTTATTAATGACCTTGATATCTTCATAGCATCTGGAAACGTGTCAACATTAGTGACAGCTTTGGTGGTTACCTAATCATAATATGACACATAACCAGTCGTTTTGTATTATCAACTCCTAATCTCTGTAAGGGCTAACGCTTTCTTGTTGTTAGTGTTAAAGACTGTAAATGATCAGTCTCTATCGGTCTATGGACATTCCACGCTGAGTTCTTTGATCTTTCTATTTAGTCACAAGTTTTTATAAAATTCGGATAGTGGTTAGCACGAATTTTATTCTATTTGGAACCCATCAGTTTGACGTACATGCTTATCAAATAAAATCTATTCCGTTTGTTCAAGCTAGTAGCTGTTAAGATCATTTAGCTCAGTAGTTAACGAATTTTAGTTTAAGGTGAAAATTACTTCATCAACATAGAGATTCAGGAATATATAGCTTTTAAATTACAAGTAAAATGAATAGAATACCCTAGATTCAACGCCTGATACTATTTAAGTTTATTGGTTAAAGTTAGACATTAACACTGTTGGATGAAGGAGAAGATTTGTAGCTCAGGTGGATGATTTTGATGGAGTTTTGTTCTCTAAACTGGATGAGCTAGAAAGCTTCACAACCAGACTATCCAGCTCAGAGAATAAAACTCCATCAAAAACTGCCGGATGCCAGCTGGATCAGTGGTTTAGAGGTTAAGCGTACATGCACAAGGGTGATATGTCCTGGATTTGAATCTCACGAAGCGTGATCGTGGATACGCATTGCTGGAAAGTTCCACATTAGGATCAAACAGCTTTCCAGTGCTTCCAAGATTTCCATGGTGGTCTAGCTTCAATTGACTCAGGAATTCAACTGTTAAATTATTAAAAAAACGATTGTTAATATAAAGATTAATCATAAACTGTGTTATTTAAGTGATTTGCTTACACAACTTACTTTAGCTACTTTACCATATTTTGAAATATCTTGATTGGTATTATCTTGATTAAGTACAAATTTTAATTCCAACTTTCTAAAGTGAAAAGAAAAGAAAAAAAGAAAAACGCCCATAGAGAATGAAGAAAAGAAAATCCTGATTAATTGAGCCCAAAAATAAATAATTTACGTAAAGATTTGAACCGACTAACAGGGTTTACATTTTTTTTAGTGAATTCTATATGTATAGAATGTTTTATTGAAGGCGTGGATCTGCAAAGTAAGAACAGCATATTTATAAATGGAGAACATCTGGAACTAAAAACAACTGTCTGTCAACCAATACCAAATTCAGAATTTTCAATACCAATGTCAAAACATTTCTCCTGGTGATCGACTGGATCATGAAGACGTCAACATCTGAAGGGAAGCGCGGGATACAATGGACATCGAAGATGCAGTTGGATGATCTAGACTTCGCAGATGATCTGGCCCTTCTATCCCAAACGCAACAACAGATACAGGAGGAGACAAACAGTGTGGCAGCAGCCTCAGCAGCAGTAGGTCTCAATATACACAAAAGGAAAAGCAGGATTCTCCGATACAACACAGAATGCACCAATCCAATCACAATTGACGGAGAAGATTTGGAAGATGTAAAAACCTTTACATATTTGGGCAGCATCATTGATGAACAGGGTGGATCAGATGCAGATGTGAAAGCGCGGATCGGCAAAGCAAGAGCAGCATATTTACAACTGAGGAACATCTGGAACTCAAAGCAACTGTCAACCGACACCAAGGTCAGGATTTTCAATACGAATGTCAACACAGTTCTACTGTATGGGGCAGAAACCTGGAGAACTACGAAATCCATCATCCAGAAAATACAGGTGTTTATTAACAGTTGTCTACGCAAAATACTTCAGATCCATTGGCCGGACACTATTAGCAACAACGTACTGTGGGAGAGAACAAACCAGATCCCAGTGGAGGAAGAAATCAGAAAGAAGCGCTGGAAGTGGATAGGACACACATTGAGGAAAGCACCCAACTGCGTCACAAGACAAGCCCTCACATGGAATCCTCAAGGCCAAAGAACACATTACGCCGAGAAATGCAAATAGACATGAGAAAAATGTACAAGAATTGGACGGGACTAGAAAAGAAGGCCCAGGACAGAGTGGGTTGGAGAAAGCTGGTCGGCGGCCTATGCTCCATTGGGAGTAACAGGCGTAAGTAAGTAAGTAAGTGTATGGGGTGGAAACTTGGAGAACCATGAAAGCCATCATCTAGAAGATACAAGTGTTTATTAACAGTTGTATACACAAAATACTTCAGACACATTGACCAGACACTATCAACAACAACCTACTATGGAAGAGAACAAACCAGATTCCAGTGGAGGAAGAAATCAGGAAGAAGTACTGGAAGTGAATAGGACACACATTGAGGAAAGTACCGAACTACTTCACAAGGCAATCCCTCACATAGAATCCTCAAGGCTAAACAAAGGAGACGAGGAAGACGGAAGAACACATTTTGCCGAGAAATGTCAGCAGATATGTGAATAATGAACAACAGTTGTATAGAACTAGAAAGTAAGGACAAGGACAGAGTGTGTTTTTATAATGCTGGTTGGTGGTCTATGCTGCACTGGGAGTAACAGTCTTAAGTAAGTAAGTTACTATAAATAGAGTAAGTTGAATCGAAGGTTCGTAGATTTAGGTTTTATAGGCAATTTAAATAGAAAGAATCAAAAATCTAAAACGTTTAATATTTTTCTTTACCACTCCATAATGGTGAAATGAAAATTCACTCTATAATTTAAAACATTTGAATAACTATCCAATGGTATTTTACAGCTTTTCATTTTGCTGGGTATAAGATGAACGTCACTAATTTTTTAAAAATTCTTTCTGAAAACCGTCAAGTCAATTTTTCTATTGTGATAGGCTCACTGAAGATAATGATGAACGGTGGCACAATTTCGTGGATTGATTGAGTTTAGACATTAACGCATTTGGATCGCGGATTGCTCAGTGGTCTAGAGGTTAAGCGTTCGTGCACAAAACCGAAGGCCTTGGGTTCGAATCCCACTACCAGGATCGTGGATGTACACTGCTGAGGAGTCTCATAGTAAGACGAAACGGCAGTCCAGCACTTCCAAGTTTTCAATGGCGGTCTAGCTTTAATTAATTCATGGACTCAACTATTAAATTACTAATAATAACTTCAAAAATCCCCTTCTGATAACAATTTTATATTGTAGTTATAGTATAGAACGTTTCGATGGTACTTTGCTTTGTGAAAGAAAGATCGAAAAATAGTAGGAATGGATTGACATAATTAGAACGCGTTTATTGTTTACATCAAAACCATCGATCATAAGAAAGGTAATTGAAGTCGTTCAACATTAGAATGTGCTTATGTTTTAAATAACTAGTCAAATATACAAGACCGTTAATAGTTGGTTGATAATCACATTAATAAATTGGTTACACACAGAATGATCTAATGATTATACAATGATGAGTTCAGCTTATATATATTTTGTTCAAAATTTAATTATATAATCAGTGTTTAATCAATCTATTAAATATTCAGTAGTTGCATATAATAAATAGGTAGGCCCAAACCTATAATTCCTATTATTTTACACTCGTTAACAACTTCAGTTATATAATATACCCTTGTGGGTCAGGGTAATTTTACATTGGTTTTCAGGAGAACCAGACACCATCCGGACTTTCACGTGACAACCTAAATAGTACAGCTCAACCCCGTTTAACAGGAGAGGCAGACACCATCCAGGCTTAAATTTTATAAACCGAGCAGTACAGCTCAATCCCACTTCGCAGGAGAATCAGACACCGTATAGGCTACAATCTGAATAGTACAGTTCAATCATGTGGCGCAACCATACAGGTACCAAGCACACTGGTGGACCACGTTAACAACTTAGATTTGAAGTTTTACTTGGAACTGATCTTTCATGTGAGATTTTAAATCAAAGTCACATAGTGTAATATGGTTAATGTTGTAATAATCAAGTTATTCAGTTTATTACTATTCTTTCTAAAACAAAACAAAAAAGTATCCATTGTTCTCTAAATTTCAAAACCACTTGAAACTAATCTCTTACACCTTTATACTTATATTATATCGATCAGTTTAATCCGTATTCAGTATGTGTTAAAGTTTGATATTGGCAATGTTACTAACATCATAGTGAACAGTAACACGTTTTAGGGTCATTTATACGCTTGACCTTGAATAACTTACAGTTTTAATCAGATAACATATTTCTTTTTTAATCAATGATAACCATTTTTACATTCTTATCTCTCAATTAATGTGATAATGATCATTGATAAGTGATAATGATAATGCTTATAATGTTTGTGAATTAAGGCTATACAGAGTATGTATGTATGCTAATAAGAGACTGATCAATTGTAGTCCTTAACATCAATGGGAATATTCAAGTAAACAATACCAAGTGAATTTAAACTTCACCCTGATGCACAAGCAAGTGACTATCAGGATTCAGTCCTTACGCCTGTTGCTTCTCGTGAAGGAGCATAGGCCGCTCATCATCATTCTCAATCCAACCCTGTCATGGACAATCCTTTCATGTTCTTTCCACTTGTTATTCATCCTTTTCATATCTGATTCTATTTCCCAACGTAATGTGTTATTTGGCCTTTCACTTTTCCGCTTCCCTTCAGGATTCCAAGTTAGTGCTTGCCTCATGATGCAGTTTGATGTTTTGTGTAATGTATATCCTATTCATTTCCAACGTCTTTTCATGATTTCCACCTCAGCTGGAGGTTGACTTGTTTGATTAAGGAAGATGAAATTTAAAATATAACTATAATTCCATTGAATTAATCATATGAAGTCGATAGAATGTATACATTAATTAGATAAATTCTATCAGATAAATATGAAGCAAGCTACTGTGTGAGAAGTTATCAATATTTAAGTGGCTACTAGTAATTAATAATATTCAGGTTAGTATCAGAAGGGGTTTTGTGGAGATTGTAGCAATTTAAACAGTTGAGATCATGAGTCAATTGAAGCTAGACCACCATGGAAAACCTGGAAGCACTAGATGGCCGTTTCGTGCCATTGTAGGACTCCTCCGAAGTGCGCATCCACGATCCCGCCACACGAGATTCGAACTCAGGACATATCAGTATCGCGCAAGAGCGACTAACCATTAAACCACTAAGCCGGTCAGTATCCAACAGTGTTAATGTTTAAATTCAACTAGTCCACGAAATTGAGTTATACATATACCATTTGTCTTCAATGAGTTACTATCACACAACAGACCCGGCTGAACTTCACTGTTCACTGCTTCTCACTAGAACTCCAGTGCTTCCAGTTTTTCCATGTTGGTCTAGATTCAATTGACTTATGATCTCAACCATTGAAATTACTATGATATCTACAAAAGCCCTTCTGATATTGATCAACATATTCTCACTACTGAATCGCTTCAAGACGTATTTCATGGACCATACAATAGAGAAATGATATGAATTAAGGATAGAAGCTTTACCTAAAGGTTTATTTATGTAAATAATCATTCAATCAGAGTTTAACACATAATCTGTTAATTTTCTAGAAAGTTTCGTAAGAAATTCTATTCGAATGATATGGTTACAGCTTTCTTCTGACTTTTGAATAACTTATTGAAGAATTCCTCTGAAATTTAACACATATTGAACTACGAATTGATGTTCTCATACTGTGGCGCGTGCTACTTATATCGATGTAAGTAGTATATGACGCGAGTTAAAAACGCAATGTCTCGCAGTAGAAGATGGGGGAAGATCAAGAAAGGAAGAGTGACAACACAATGCAATTTATAAGAAAACAGATGAACAATGAAATGTGAGACAATGGATTGATATTTGCAACAGGAACAGTCCAGGTTGATATGATGGAATGATATTTTGCAAATTAACGACTTACTATATGATTTTTCTATTTTACACATCGGTTGTCCTCAATTGTGTTCTCCTTCACTACAATACTTTCATAGTCAGAAAAACTTCAACAGTTCTCCACATGATCTAATACAATAGATATCATTATGTTATCACTGATCTACATGTATGGATTCACAGAACTTAGCAATGAAGTTAAACGATAGAAATATTCATGATTTACAATTTGAGACTAAACTGAAAACCCTCCGCCCCCTACCTACTTTTTATAATTTACAGTTATGAGTCACATCGTATTGGGAAAATTAAATCAAATTCGCAACCATAAAGAAACTTTCAATAAAAATTTGACGTATAAGATGGTGGAGAAGATTTGTTGCTCAGCTGATCAACATCAAAGTCTATAAAACAAGCTATGAACCATATAGAGAGAAGTTCGAACACTTCAATTCTACCTGAAGTTTATACTGATGATATCGTTCAGAAGAACAATCAAAATCCTACAACTAAATCATCCAGCTCACAGAACAAAACTTTATCAAGATCTGAATAGATCACTATAACTCAAACACACAAAGATGAAGATAAAGAAATCAAGACAGAGTGAGTGAGTGAGTGAATGAGAGAGACATAAAGAGGATAAGATTAACAGTTTTCTTTATAGTTGAATATTAAAGTATTATACAATTTGTAATAAACTGAAATTAAACTTAATCTACCATTTATTACCCCCTCCCTCAACCTCACCCCCCCCTGTTTAAATACAATATTTTTAATGATCTATTTATTCACAAATAGAATGATCAATACGCATAATCTAGATATTTTGGTTAACATTTTAATGATCATTAAAATGCTATTTGGATCAATAAAATCATTACTAATAATAGTAATAACAATAATAATACTTATTATTATTGATTATTATTGATTATTATTATTGATTATTATAACAATACTGATAATAAGTATATGAATCATGTTATATGTAAACAACTTTGAATTATTTACGCTTACTGATTATGTATATATGAATAAAGTCAATTACCCATACCTAAACTATGCACATACAATAAACACTTAAATATATACAACTTTTAATGACTTAATAATGATATATTATGAAAATAGATATACAATATCCCCTTGTGGGTCAGGGTAATTGTATATTTGGTTTCCAGGAGAACCAAATACTATCCAGGCCTAGATTTTATAACCCGAGCAGTATAGCTCGATCCCATTTCATAGGAGAACCAGATATCATATTAGGTAGGCTTTAACGTTATCATCTGAATAATACAGCTCAATCCTGTGGCACAACCACACAGATATCAAACACCCTGGTGAACTATTCGCATATACATTCATATACAAATTCATGTTACGTGTATAGTTATTCGGATCAATGATCGAGTGAATCAATTACATACACCATGAACAGACCAAAGCTGAGTTATTCCGTTTGCCGAACCATCGAAAATATCTATAATAACTCACATGCAATTGAGTTTGTTCACATTTAATTCGGTTAAACCGTTTTGTTAACTTATTTAACAGATAGAGTCATTCGTACAATAGCAACTTATCTATACCATTGTGTCTTTATTACTGTTGCGAATGTATGAACATGTGTGCTTGAGCATTTGCTTACTGCCTAAGCATTTATTCACGCTGCTAGCCTTACTACTAACCGCTAAATTGATTCGACGATTCATTCATTCACTCATTTCACTATATATATTATATGTCCATGTTATTCATCTTCGCTGACTCATTCACTCTCTCGCTTGCCTGCTTGCCTTTCGGCACAACTCTTTCATGCTTGTTTAACGCAGCTGTAAATGTGGATATCTGTGTGTGATCCCATAATAAACGTAATCAACACTTCATATTCGCCTTCTGATTAATATACCGTTGGGGTATTATCTAGTGACGATTATCAAGATGAACTGTATACGAAGTTTAAGGATTATATGGAATACCAAGCACTACATATCAATGGTGAACCTCCAATCTCATATAAGATTATTAGTTCTACAATAGCAATATTATGAAAATGTTACATACCCTTTTGATAAACTTGAATTGATTTGTTTACTTTCTTGTATTTTGTTTACATTATTATTATTATTATTATTGATTTGAACATTCATTTGAAGTGTAGAACATTCAGAAGGAGTATTTTCATAGGGACAATTTGTTTTACAATTATTAATTTGACAATTATGTTGTAACACTGAATTCTCTATAGAATTAGGTAATTCTTCATATCTTCTTAATAATGAATTCATTCGATGTATATCATTGAAATGATTATATGAAATAGATTGATTTGAATCTATTCTATTATGATTGTGATTTAATGTGGATGATAAAAATGAAGAGGAGTTTGAATAGTGTGATACAGTTGAAATAGTATTATCTTTATTTTTATTCATAGAAGATACATCATTTTCCCCATGATAAATATCGAATAATAATTCTTTAATATCATGAAATGTTTGTCGTTTACCTAAATTAGAAGTTGAATTGACTGGGGTCTAAAAATAAAGTATAAATGAAGAAATAATATTTGGTCATATGTGACCAGTTTAAATGATTAATTAAAGTAGTATGTAAATAAGAAATAGGGAGAGATATGTTTCTTGATGATGATTGAAAAGCGATGTTATTGTAGGTGAATAAACCTCCCTAATATACACCATTAACATATCATAATTGATTGATCACTGGGTGGTGATCAATCTCATGCTTGTCTAGTCCTTATTAGTGCAGATCGAATGCTATCGATCATGTTGCAATGTGGCCACCAGTCTAGGTGACTCGACACTGCGGGCACTAGCATTCGATCTGCACTAATAAGGACTAGACAAGCATGACATTGATCACCACCCAGTGATCAATCAATTGTGATTACATCTCAGTCCTACAGGAGGTTAGTCACGGCTCGGATAGCTCAGTGGTAACGTCTCTGACTGTGAAGCTGGGTGACACGAGATCGAATCCGCCAGGGAGCATCAGTTCCCTCAAGATTACAGGTACACCTTGCTGACGAGTGCCAAGTAGCACGAAACCCGGGTCCAGGGTTTCCTGTTGACTACCTCCAACCACCATCTAAACCATTAACATATACAGCTTTGGATTTAAGCCATTAGACCATGTAGTTAGCATACATAGGTCATTGTAGAGAACATTGAAACTTGGTCGATAGCATTCGATCTACACTAAGAAGGTCTTAACATATATGACATTAGACACCGCCTCAGTGATTAATCAATTGTGAATACATTTCAGTCATACAGGAGATCGGTCTTACCCCGGATAGCCCATTGGTAACGTCTCTGACTGTGAAGCTAGGTAACATGGGATCAGATCCGTCAGGGAGCAGCAGTTCCCTCAATATTACAGGTACACCTTGCTGACGAATGCCGAGTAGCACGAAACCCGGGTCAAGGGTTTCCTGTGGACTACCTCTAAATACCATCTAACAGTATGATATTCTCCAAAATATTTAGCTTATTATGTCGAAGGAATAGCTCATCTTATTATATTTATCACGGCACTATTGAATTCTATTAGATAAGTTTCTTATAATTATCATTCGTATGCTAACAAACTACAAGAAAACATTTCAGTGCACATAACCTAATGAAGGCATTCTATCGGCCTAATTAACAGGCATTACATAACTCATACAATACAATGACTTGATATAAGATGGTGGTTGAATGTAGTTAATAGCAAACGCTGGACCCGGGTTTCGTGCTACTTGACACTTGTCAGCAAGATGTACCTGTACCTATTAAACTGTTTGTTTGTTTTTTCATCTAAAATGTTTAGGTTTATTCATACAAAGGAGTTGAAGATCGATTTTCTTGGCTAATGATAATTTATTATATGACCTGTCCTCATTTTTACTATCTTCTGGAATAAAGGATTCAAGAGGACACTCCAACAAAGTTTATAAGCTCACAACCAATCACCTGTTTATCGAATACTTATTTTCCCATCAAATCAGCAACTAGTGGGACTCTTTATACATAGTTTAGGCTCTATCTGTCAATACATTTAACAACAAAAACAAACGTCGAATCAACTGAAAGACCATCATATCCAGGAATACCACAGATTATCCAGCTTCCTATTCTTCTCAAACTAAAACTGAAATTAACATTATTTATTGAATGTTTCCAATCAAAATCATGCTTTGATTGAATTCTGTCCACAATAAATTAGTTGAAAGATGCAAGTACTCAATAGTATAAAAAGAAAGTATTTTAATATAAATTGTAACTAACTAATTATAATAATTTAATAGTTGAATTCATTAGTCAAATAAAGCTAGACCACCATGATAAACCTGGAAGCACTGGATGGCCGTTTTGTCCTACTGTAGGTCTCCTCATCAGTGCGAACCTACGATCCCGCTTCGCGATATTCGAACCCAGGACCTGTCGGTCTCGCGCGCGAACGCTTAACCTCTAGACAACCGAGTCGACCGGCATTTAACGGTGTTAGTGTGTAACATTAACCAATCCACGGAAGTGAACCACCGTCTACAATTGTTATCAGTAAGTTACTATGTCACAACAGACCCGGTTGAACTTCACTGGTCACGGCTTCTCACTAGAACTCCAGGAGTGTCTCTTGAAGTCAGTCACTAGTGAGCAGATGATTATTATCAGAAAGGGTTTTTTGGAAATTTTAGTAATTTCAACAGTTCAAATCATGAGTTAATTGAAGCTAGATCACCTGGAAGCACTGGACGGCCATTTCGTCCTTTTGTATGACTCCTCAGCAGTGCGCATCCACGATCCCACCTCCCGTGAAATTCGAACCCGAGACCTATCAGTGGTTAACCTTTTGTCATTTGAAATAATATTCATTAAGATAAAAGATGAAAAATACATATCAGATTATATCATTAGTCAATATTTTAATCTAATAATCAACTTACTTGTAATTCAGACGAAAAATACTGATCATTACCATTTTTTTTCATTATTGACATTGTTACATCATTATTATTTGTATTGATTGTTGAATTTATACAACTATTTCCATGTAAATGTTGATTCTGTTGATAATTAGATAGATGAGAATTGAAATAATGAATATCACTGTATTGTTGTTGTTGTTGTTGTTGATGCTGATGATGTATAGTATGATTTGACTGGTATTGTTGTTGTGGTTGTTGTTGGGGGTGGTGCTGTTGTCGAGATTGACATTGTTCTCCCCCTTCTAACAAATTATTATTCTGATGACGATGATTATGATGATTATGTAATTCACTTGGAGACAAATCATAATCTAAAAAGTTAAAAATGCATGGTGTTTGTAATTCGAATTCTGTTTGTAAATGATTTTGTGCCATAAATGAATTTGTTTTATTCATAATTTCTAAATAATTTGTGCGGATAATTTGACAAATAGATCGATCAATAAAAATAAACAAGAAAGTAAGTACTTGCAAAATGAATAGTTTCTCTTCTCTTTTTTTTGTTTTCCCGCCCTCACACCCAGTAAATGCAAATGTATATTTATATGTTGTTACGTATCTTCTATATGAATAAAATCTGTTTCAATGTAGTACTACTAGTAGTAGTAGTAATAATAATGATAATGATAATATTCTAATAGAAAGACACTAAGAAAATGCAGTTGGCTTTTATACATTAAAAAATTAATTGAATCACAATTGGGAATTGCTTCTTGAACTAAAGAGATTCATCTAAAGTACAAATAGAAGAAGAAAACAACAACAAAGTAAATAGGTAAATGATAAAACTACTTTCTTTCAGACTAATAACAACAGCAATGTTATTTATTTTATGAGATAATCCATCTTTTCTTTCAGATTCCATTACAGATTGATATGAGATATGTGATTACTCTATTTACTTACTTACTTACTTACTTACTTACTTACTTACTTACTTACTTACTTACTTACTTACTTACTTACTTACTTACTTACTTACTTACTTACTTACTTACTTACTTACTTACTTACTTACTTACTTACTTACTTACTTACTTACTTACGCTTGTTATTCTCAGTGGAGCATAAGCTGCTGACCGGCATTCTCCAACCCATTCTGTCCTAGGCCTTACTTTCTAGTTCTATTCAATCGTCATTCATTCTTCTTAGGTTTGTCTCCATTTCTTGAAGTAATGTGTTCTTTGGTCTTCCTCATCTCCTTTACTTAGCCTTGAGAATTCCATGTGAGGGATTGCCTTGTGAATTAGTTGTGTACTTTCCTCAACGTGTGTCCTATCCACTTCCAGTAATTCTTCCTGATTTCTTCCTCCACTGGAATCTGGTTTATTCTCTCCCAAAGTAGGTTGTTGCTGATAGTGTCTGGTCAACGGATCCGAAGTATTTTTCGTAGACAACTAAATGGCTAAAAAACGCCAATGTGATTACTAGTGTTTACGAAACAGTACTTAATAGATTATTGTTTTAGTATGGTTTATTACTACTCAGTGATATCCACACCATGATTTGACACGAAATTGAACAATAAAGTGTTTATTCAAACAGTCAGTGTACTGGTGTAGATAAAAAAATATTTACAATTGATTGATCACTCGGTGTCGTTCAATGTCTTATGTGTCAGATCCTTCTTAGTGTAAATCGAATGCTATCGACCAAGTTGCAATATGGCCACTAGTCTAAGTGATTCGACATTGCGTGTACTATGTTGAGATAAGATGGTGTTTGGAGTTAATTAACAGGAAACCCTGTTGATTATTAGAATTATACCATAAGGATATATAGATAATACTAGTCTATTAATAGATCTCAGACGTTACTCGTAATTTAATCTTCACTAAGATATAACAATATCAAATTATCAATGTCTCAAAAATACAATCCCAACATTTAAATGCAGAGTCATATACACAAATGTAGATTATACATTCTATGTGTAAGATTCTAACTAACCAAATCTTTTAACGAATGATGTTCAACATGGATTTTTTTCTATAGTAAGACAATACAAATAAACTCCGCCTGGAGTCCCTCCGAGGCTATTGCCGGTCTCAAACCTGGATAAAGGAGGAGGTTTAGCCATGCGGTTAGCAACCCCATCCCGTAGAAAACTAACTCGCTAAAAAAACGCTAACCAGAAAAAATTGTTCACACCTTTTAAACTCTGCCCTGGGAGTCAGAAGGTCTTCATTTAGAAGAACTATGACGCCTTATGATGAATGCCGAGTTCCTTCGGAAGTCATGAGGCCTATGCCCCTTCTGACAACCAGAGCAACCATTTATTTAGGTACATGGAATGCCCAGGACAGAGTGGGTTAGAGAATGCTGGTCGGCGGCCTATGCTTCATTAGACGTAAGTACAATACAAATAAGTTGTAATCAGATTTATAAGTGATCATTATGATTCTTATTTCAGTCAATAATAATTATCGACTATTAATGCATTATGTGACATAATGAAATATTATGATTTCATAATCATGTTTTTAAAAATTAGTTTCCATGTAAACGTTCTTATTTATCAAAACTAGACAATAATTAATTAATCTATATAATTTAATAGTTGAACTCATGAGTTAATTAAAACTAGACTATCATGGAAAATCTGGAAGCACTAGATAGTCATTTCATCTTAGTATGAGACTGTTCAGCAGTGCACATACATGATCCCTCTCTCGAGATCGTGACCTAGGACCTCTAGGCCACTATATTATCCATAAAATTCCTTTCTGATAATAATCTATATAAATTATTTTTTACTCAAATCATGAATTAATCTAAATTTGACAAATATTGAACACCTAGAGCAACTAACCGGCTCAGCTAATCAACAGTGAACATTCGACATGTTGCATTCCGGATTTCAATGAAATTCGACTATCTACATAAATCTCATACTTACAAACCATTATTTGCAGATTTATCTTCTAGAGTTCAAGACAGGTTTGTGTAAGTGAAACCACAATGTCCGTACGATATTAGCGTTTTTTTTAAGCCAGTTAGTTTTCTACGGGATGGAGTTGCTAACCCTATACCCAACCTTCCTTCTTTATCTGGACTTGGGATCGGTAGTAGCCCTAGAGGGGCACCAGGCGGATTCTTCTTCTAGTTCGCACGATATTATCATACTTTTATTCAAAAGTAAAAATTAAATAGGAAACGATAAACTTATTTGTATTGATCAATTCAACTTGTCTATTATCAAATCAGAACAAATAGTACCATCTTCATCACTATTATTCTCTATCTCTCAATTATTCATTGTAAACTAACTCAATTAATATAATCTCAAATGGTTGTTATCAAGTTAATGATTGTCAATAAATATACTTAATCACTATTGATTTGAGAAGAGATATATACCTGAAAAATCTCATGAAGAGCCAATACGTTGTTGTCAATGTAATAAGAGAGAACTATCAAATAAGTTGAATGGTTTTAAAAAGATTACCTATCACTTTGATTGGTATCATTTTGGGAACTACTCAGTTACATATAGCCACGAATAATATGACTAACGCGTTTCAAAATTCAACGTGAATACGGTAACATTCAACCATTAAGATGAAATTCCATAGTTCACGACTACAATGTAGATAGATATTAATTGAATCTATGTGCGACTAACTCATTTACAATATGATTGACTTTATATTTTCTATCTGAGGAAGTTCGAGACAGATGATTACTGATGAGTACACATGATTATTACTCATGTAAATTTATGAAAATTGGAAGTGTTCAGACTGTTTGATTTCCACTTAGTGGTCTAAATATATCGATGTTCCATGAATCAAGGTCAAAGGAAAAGAGGAAGATTAAAGAACACATTACGCTGAGAAATGGAGACAGATATGAGAGAAATGAACAGAAATTGGATAGAACTGGAAAGTAAGGCCCAGGATAGAGTGGGTTGTAGAATGCTGGTCAGCGGTCTATGCTCTATTGGGAGTAACAGGCATAAGTAATTAAGTCCACGAATCCTAGTCTCTGAATCGCAGCCTAACATTGACCTATGAACACGTATTATTTAATAGCTTCAAGCTGGATTAAAAGAGTCAAGTGGTACTTCATGGTTTCTAAAAAATTCTCTAATTGATTTCAGTCAATCACTAAGACTATCTTTAAGATACATTTGAGTTCTATCTTCACTATATCCAGTCGTTTCATTTCGTTGTTGGATAATGTAATAGGCATTTTTTTCTTAATGCAAATTTCAAACTCACTTACTACTCATGCACTCATATAATCTCTAATTCTATGCTTCAAATCAATTTCCCACCTTTAGTTTCTCAATTCAACCGGACTCGAGATTGGTCCATTCGACAGTCATCACTTATTAATCACACTGAGTAGTCAAAATAATGCGATGAAACAGTTCAATGTGAAGAGATCTTGCACAGAGTAGTTTAATTTATGGGTTTTACTCGTTACAAATTGATTTTATCTAAAGCATTTTAGCTCTTCTAGAGTCACCATCGGTCTCAAGCCCCGGTAAAGGAGGAGGGTTAAACATGGAGTTGGCTTAAATCGCATATGTAGATGCAGATGTCCCTATTAGAGCTTCTATGATTAACATAATCAATGAATCGATACTTTCTGAGTAAAATGACTTACAATCTATTACGATTTCTCGAGTATATTGACCTATCGGTCTTGATATTAAATACGACATTGAAATGCATAAATTAACACTAACTACCTCTAATGATATAGAATCGAACAAAATGGTTTAGTAGTATTAATGGGTCAGTAAGCACTATCAGTATAAACTGGACTCTAATCAATATATTTAGTTCAACATATAAGACTAGCATTCATTTAATAACTTAGTCATTTATACATTCAGTCAACATCATATTTACTAACATATACTGTAGTTATAGTGTATATATCCTGAAACAATGATCTTGAATAAGATCTTATTTATAAATATCATCCAGTACTTAATCAATAAGTTCATTATTGGATTTATTTGCTAAAACCTCCACTTTTACCAGGGATTGGGACTAGCAGTAACTCTAGAAGAGCTACAGGCTTCAACTAATGTCAAAGTCACAATCTTCAATACGAACGTCAATATAGTTCTACTGTACAGAGCTGAAACTTGGAGGACTACTACAACCATCATCAAGAAGGTACAAGTACTTATAAATGGCTGTCTACACAAGATACTCAACATCCATTAGCCGGATACCATCAGCAACAGCCTTCTGTGGGAGAGGATAAACCAGCTTCTAGCTGACGATGAAATCAAGAAAAGACGATAGAAGTGGATAGGACATACATGTGGAAAATCATTTAACTGCATCACTAGGCAATCGCTTAATTGGAATCCTGAAGGGAATCGGAAAAAAGAAATGCCGAAGAATATATTACGCTGTTAAATAGAAACAGGTATGAAAAGGGTGAATAGAAACTGGAAAGAATTGGAAAAGATCTCCCAGAACAGTGTTAGTGGGCGGCCTATGCTCCTCCATGAGTGGTAACAGGCGTAAGTAAGTAAATAAGTGAGTAAGTCTTTCTTGATAATTGTTGTACTCGTCGTAACAAAAGAGAAGTTAGGTATTAGACGTTGATTTAAATTGCTCACTTTCATACTAGATTAGACATCCTTACCATAAGGGATTTATGTAGGGTTTTTTTATTTCATAGTTAACAATATGAACTTATCTTAGTTAATCAACCAGAGAAAATAAGAAAGTATTACAAACTTAAAATATCACCACAGAACCTCAATGGTAATTAATCATGTGCTCACTAGTAACTATCTTCAAGAAGTAATTCTAGGGATTTAGTGAGAAGCGATGACCACTAGAGTTCAACATTGTCGAGTGTAAGGCAGTTACACATCAATTATATTGGAAGATAGTTATGGGATACTACGAACTGACTGAAGTTAAACATATATATTCTTAGAAATTTTCACAGATTGAAACCATGAGTCAGTTGAAGCTAGACCACCATTGAAAACCTGGAAGCACTGGACGGCCGTTTCGTCCTAGTATGGGACTCCTCAGCAGTGCGTATCCACGATCCCGCACCACGCGGGGCTCGAACCCAGGACCTACTGGCTTCGCGCGCGAGCACTTAACCATTAGACCACTGAGCCGGCATCCAACGGTGTTAATGTCTAACTTCAACCAATCCACGAAGTTGCGCCACCATATATCATTATCTTCAGTGAGCTGATATCTCACAACAGACCTGGTTGTACTCCACTGGTAACGGCTTCCCACTAGAACTCCAGGAGTATCTCTTGAAGTCAGTCACTAGTGAGCAGATGATTATTATCAGAAGGGGTTTGTGGAGATTTTTAGAAATTTTCACAGATTGAAATCATGAGTCAGTTGAAGCTAGACCACCATACTAGGACGAAACGGCCGTCCAGTGCTTCCAGGTTTTCAATGGTGGTCTAGCTTCAACTGACTCATGATTTCAATCTGTGAAAATTTCTAAAAATCTCCACAAACCCCTTCTGATATATATTCTTAGTTGAGATTATTGAAGATCGTGAAAATCAGATATAAAATGATTTGAATTTCAATCTTAACAGTGGTATGATTCTAGCAAACTACTACCATAGTGAAACAAGTAAAAGGTGGTCTTGTTCAGTTACTATATTAACCAAATTCAGGGCGTTTTGAGTACTATGAGTAACGGTGCCAGAACACATCGGATACGTTTCTCTCCACTGAGATAAAAAAGTGTCATTTCTTCACTGGTCTGTGTTAAGATCTTATTTGAGTGCGTTGATCACGTCAAAAACCCTGGCTGATGAAATCGTAGCACGGATAGAAATAGCTCATTGAAATTTTTAGTAGTTCCTCCATGTGTGACGTAGGTGGCATATAAGTCACTCTGCAAAATGGTCAGTATACTGTGTACAAAATGACGCTGTATTGCTTTTTGGCTGTTAAAGTGAATGACACGATATGTTGAAAATATTCACTCATAGATGTCATCTGAGCACTGCATATAAGTGATCGATTCACGGTGTTTGTATCTCTACGGTTTGGTATAGGGTTCCAGGAAGAGTTGTGAAATAGGCTGGTGAGCCCGTGAATTTTCATTACGTAAGATGTCTGAGATATATATTCTATCAAACCGAATCCTCCTGTGATGCGTACTATCGGTTAGCACAAAGGTACTTTGAAAAAGAAAAAAACAACAATTGTTGTTTTAGCATTATTCAAAATCGATAATTCCAGGAAGAAACAACTCGTTTTAGTTTGACCATGTGCATTCTTATTCAAACTTGTTCCTAAACCAGTAAACAAAGCTGATGCAGGTAGTTTCTTACTTAATTTCTTACTTACTCCTGTTACCCCTCATGGAGTATCATAGGTCGCTTACCAGTATATGTGGTTGTTAGCCTTACATAATATATGTCGCAATCACCTTGGTCAATGAAGATTCACCATCTTATCAATCGATTTGTTACCTCTACTCAGTATTCTGTGTCTAACTTCAGGATTTCTCTCTTATCGGTCCGAACATACTATAGTATATAAGAATGTACAATAATGAAGGGATCTGTACCAAGACAAAATAACTGTTCAGTACACCTTAACAACTAATGACTCGTCAATCAATGTCAGTCTATGGTAGAAAGTTATCTTCATTTTGAACTAATCTTAACAATATATACAAATGAATAATTCAGTTATCAATAAAAGAACTTCTGTTCTGATGCAATCTTCTCGAAAAACAAAGTTTTCTGACTTGCAATTCATAGGTCAATGTATCTACTCTCTAATTATAACTTTTTCTCTTCTTCATGTTACACATATTACTCGTATGATATCAAACCTTGATAAAAACTATGAACGGAGTTTCAATGAACAAATTCACGGTTCAAAAAGTGTTTTAACACAATTAGGATATATTATTATGATTAATGGCTCTGAGAGCGACGGTCCCAGATCTGTACCTATGTAACTTCTTCACGCCCCCGGTAGCTTGGGTGCTTTTGCGTGCAGCCTCAGTGGCCAGCTGCTGTCGAGGTGCTTTACCTCTGGTTGAGTTACTAGCAGTCTTCTTGCTTCATGCCATTCCGAAATATCGAGAGACAATCTTTATTATCATAATATTACTTACTCCTAAAGAATTCTATACTATAGTGAAGCTTTTCTCTTATTTTTAATGATACTATAAGTAATGTGAATCAGTGCAGAAAAAACTGGACTCTATTTATTTATTTGAACACATAGATATTGGTACAAGGGGGCACAAGATACATATGCGCCACACAAATCTCATTTGATATGTGTGAGGGCTGTGATACTGCACGGGTGCCTAAACCGAAGCAGGTGGTTTTTTAAGGGGCCACACCCGGAGCCTTCGACCTGAAGGTCTGATCCACAAGGCAGTGGAGCATCGTAAGGAGATGCAGTTCCATGGTAGCCGGTGACCAACGATTGGTTCATACGCCATTTGTTCACTCAGGATACTGGAGCCCATGTGCACAATTGGTTTGGAATCAGAGTTTTCCAACTCATCTAGGTGTACTCTCCTTGTCCACAAACCCGGTTGCAGCGCCAGACGTTTGCTTTTCGTCCTCTAAATTTCATAGACAACAGTGATGCCACGAGAATGCAGAGAGTAAGACTTCCGTGGCAGAGGCTATTCACACGTGTCTATATGAGAACATTTCAAGAGGGAGAGTGAACTCTCCCCAATCCCGACAGTACCAGAGCATTTGGAGACTCTATTCAAACCATCTGATCATAGCAACAAAAACCACACTTACATAACTCTTAAATAAATACACAGATAGAAAAAAGAGATACTTACCTTCTCTTTTTTTTTTGAAATTTCTTCCCCGTAATTAGAACAATTTCCAGTTGACTTTATCACGACTCTTGTTATTGGTTATGTAGATAAAGAGAGGAATTTATTGAGAGAATGATAAAATATTGACTACACTCTTTATAGAGTTGAGTTTAGTTTTGTTTATTTTTGGTTGGTAACAATGTTGTTTTAGTCACTTGAATTTTCTCTCTCTCTCTCTCTCTGTCTCTGAATATCGTAATACTCTATAATGATTGAATGATTATAGTGAGTAATGAATAAAGTAAATAACAATAAGAGAACATTTTATTTATTCGTTGATTATTTAGTTCATTTCAATTTGTGCTCGTGTAATTTCTTAGTTGGTGTTGTTGTTGTGATTGTTGTTACTGTGGTTGTGGTTGTTCTATTAATTATTTTTCTCAAGAAAAATAATAATATTCACTATTGTTTTATCGATTGAGTAATTTCAATAAAATGTTTATAGTATTATTATTAGTAGTAGTAGTATTAATATTGCTGAGAGAATACATCCCTTTATTTGTGTGTATATCCAAATCTATATAATTGCACAATATCTAGTGTGTGTATGTATGTGTGTGTTTGTATGCACATGGTGTTCACGTGTGATTGCTAAAGGTAAGATTTTAACACCAACTTGTGTATTTGTGTGTTGGGGGTGGGTGGGTGGTTGTGTGCAGGTACATAGGAACCTACTAGTCACCAACCAACATTTACTCCGTCTGTCTATCTATCTATCTATTCAATTTTTAAAATTAAATATTAGACATGTAATACTATACATATATATATATATATATATATATATATATATATATATATATATATATATATATATATATATATATATATATATATATATATATATATATATATATGATCCTGGTTAATCATTAATATAATGATGGTTTCTCTGTGCAAATTATTTATACCGTTTTAGTTAATGTCTCTCAATAAATTTATTACTATGATTAGTTTATACAACAATATTGACAATCAGTAGAGTAAAGTTTATTATGTTTATTGTGTAAATGATAAAATAAATACTGATACACCCCTGTGTTTAAGTGTATATGTAATATTTTGTATGTGTACAATGTAATACAAGCATATTGATAGGTCATTATCATTAAAATGGTTATTTTGTGTTATGTGCTTTTAAAATGAGGATAAACTTTACGTTGTCAAGTTATCTAAGTATATAGTAGTCAGAAATTATAGTTATTAATATCAGAAGGGTTTGTGTAAATATCATAGTAATTTCAATAGTTGAAATCATAAGTCAATTGTAACTAAAGCATCATGGGAAATATAGAAGCATTGGATGGGTGTATCGTCCTAATATGGGACTCATCAATAGTATGCATCCACGATCCCGTCACACGAGATTCGAACTCAGGACATATCAGTATCGCGCAAGAACGATTAACCACTAAACCACTAAGCCGGTCGGTATCCAACAGTGTTAATGTTTAAATTCAACTAATCCACGAAATTGAGTGATACATATACCATTTGTCTTCAATGAGTTACTATCTCACAACAGACCCGGTTGAACTTCACTGGTCATCGCTTCTCACTAGAACTCCAGGAAATACCTCTTGAAGCCAGTCACTAGTGAGATAAGTTTTCAAGAAGATTTCCAATGCTGTTGAAAATCGACACTTTCTGATTGATTGAGATCATGAACGGATTGGTGTCAGACCACCTTTGGAAACCTGGAAGCACTGGACAACCGTTTCGTCCTATTGTGGAACTCATCAACAGTGTGCATTTTTTATATTTTTGTTTATTTAATCACTCAATTACAGATATTTTGGAACGATTTCTATTACACAATTAACTGTAGGCAATATTGTATTTTTTTCTCATCATGACTAAATGTGCTATAATTGAATCGTTCGTATCATGATAGAGTGGTATTTTTGTCGTCATAAACTTTGCATTTTTTGATATAAGCCAATATAAATAACAGAACGAAACATTCTCTCTTTCATGGTTTGCGATAATGTAAGTTAATAATTTCCGATAAATTTTGGTTGGTTACCATATGTATTGCCAAAATTATGAACAAGAGTTTATCTCCATCCTAATTATACTGATAATAATGCCGATATCCATGTCATATGTTATTTGCAACCTCATTACATTTTAATCAATGTTGAGGTTTATATTCTCATCTAAAGTAAGGTTTACTACACATAGCTTGTCAAATATAGTCAACAAAACGGAAACTAAGGCTAAGTAGAAGTTTATGTGATGACTGATTCACCAATTGACAGTAAATACAATGACATAACAAGAATCGCGCGTTCTCACGCGAGACCGAAGGCCCTGGGTTCGAATCCCGCGAGCGGAATCGTGGATGCGCACTGCTGAGGTTTCCCACAATAGGACGAGACGGCCGTCCAGTGCTTCCAGGTTTCCAAAGGTGGTCTGACATCAATCGGTTCATGATCTCAATCAATCAGAATGTGTCGATCTTCAACAGCATTGAAAATCTTGAAAACTTATCATCATTGAGTATTAAAATCGTCAAATTATAGAATTTATGACAGAATAGTGATAAAATCATATCTTAGAATTGGTTTTTCATTATTAAAGCACATTATTTTCTTTAAAATCACTTATCCATTCAAGAGATCAGGATAAATATTTCGATGCTTGATTCATTCACAAATACCCCCCCTTACAGTTTCAACATTATTCATGTAGAGATGAACTAAAACGGTAATACTAAGACAACGATTTGATAATCTATGACAACATGATTTCATTATGTGTTCACTGTGAACACAATGAATAAGAAAAAATGTACTAATTGGTGATTATCTGTCTTAGAAGGAAAAGCGGTTTCATGTAATTTTTTCGTCGTACCAGTCAATTTTCTTTAATTGACCATTCATCCGACAAATGTTAGTCGAATTTCGTTTTCAGTCGGTCAGTCATCCAGTACGAAGGACCAGGAACATATATGCATCGGTTCAAGTTGCCATACCTCATTAGCACAACAAGACAAACACTGAATTCATAGAAGTAGTTAATTCAATGGTGGTAATATCTAAAAGAAAGATTGGATATAAAGATATAGTACAGGAAGAAAGAATTAGTTCGTAAAAGGAAATATATGAAGCGATTTTAATCTCATAGTTTAAGAAAAGACAGAGAGTGTATACACTGACGATATTGGGATCGATTTTGAGCCATGTCACCAAGAGTCTCCAATCATTTGTTAAGATATTCGCACGGACCCCAACCGTGTAGTCTGCACCTACCAACATGGCTAAGACTAGAAGTTAGTGACTTCAATGACTGATGTCACATTTTGATTTAACCGCCAGTAACTTTCTTTCAGGCGTCTCCAACACCGGTTAGCATTGCATGTCGTGGTAACCGGTGTTCAGGCATACGTAACACGTGGCCCAAACATCTCAGTCGATGAAGATTCACAACCTTATCAACTGATTCACCATCATTTCCTAACACCTTGAGTCTAGCTTCACTATTACCTACCCGATGATCCCATCAGATGCGAGGAATATTTCTAAGATATCTGTGATCAAATATTAGTAACTTACGAATATCTTCTATTCTTAATGGACACGTTTCGCAGCCGTAAAGTAGAACAGAACGAACTGTTGCACATTATATTCGTTTTTCAATAATACACTGAAAAATTCTTCATTAAAGTATAGCTTTAATAAATAAATATGTTTGCTTAAACAGGTATATTATTCTATTTCTTACTAATTTAATATAATGATGATCAATACTCATGTATTTTGAAATTAATACTCACAAACAAGTTTTTTTCTGTCACTCGTTTACCTCTAATATCATCATCATTATTACGTAATAGTATCCATGTGACATTTTTGCTCATATGCATGATCTTTATAACTTTGATTGTATAAACCACTAAGATCAAAGGTAAAACGTACATTTAAGTTCATTATTTACACTCTGTAATACATGATCACTATAGATTGCATCATTAATGATAACAACAATCAAGAATTTGTTCAATTAGTATCTAATCAGCTACCTTAAGTTTTATTGCAGTGAAACTTATGTAATAAACCAATTAGATGATTGGTAGTGATTTGGAAGATGTAAAAACCTTTACGTATCTGAGCAGCGTCATTGATGAACAGGGTGGATCAGATGCAGATGTGAAAGCGTGGATCGGCAAAGCAAGAGCAGCATATTTACAACTGAGGAACATCTGGAACTCAAAGCAACTGTCAACCAACACCAAGGTCAGAATTTTCAATACATATGTCAAGACAGTTCTACTATATGGGGCAGAAACCTGGAGAACTACGAAATCCATCATCCAGAAAATACAGGTGTTTATTAACAATTGTCTACGCAAAATACTTCAGATCCACTGGCCGGACACTATTAGCAACAACGTACTGTGGGAGAGAACAAACCAGATCCCAGTGGAGGAAGAAATCAGGAAGAAGCGCTGGAAGTCGATAGGACGCACATTGAGGAAAGCACCCAAATGGGTCACAAGACAAGCCCTCACATGGAATCCTGAAGGTCAAAGGAAAAGAGGAAGACCAAAGAACACATTACGCCGGGAAATGGAGATAGACATGAGAAAAATGAACAAGAATTGGATGGAACTAGAAAAGAAGGCCCATGACAGAGTGGGTTGGAGAATGCTGGTCAACGGCCTATGCTCCATTGGGAGTAACAGGCGTAAGTAAGTAAGTAAGTGATTAGTAAGAAACCCTAAACCTAGTTTTTGTACTATTTGAAACTCCTCAACTAAGCACACCTCTATTCTTTGAGTTTCAATGATTACTCAGTTGCTAGTATTTCGGTCTTACAGGAGGTTATTTTCAGGGTGAATGACTCCGTTGTAGGATCCCAGACTGTCATGCTGTGAGTGGATTGGGTTCGTATCCCAAAGGAAATATCAGTTTCCTCAGGATTGCAGATACACCTTGCTGACGAATGTTAAATGGTATGAAGCCTGTGTGAAGCAAAATACAATTACCTGTGGTATCTTCAACCTTTTTTTTACAACTGAAATATTGTAGTTTTGTAATTGATCTGAAAGTGTGTTTTTTTCAGGGGTGGGGGAGGAGAGAGTGGAAAGATTGTTAGAGAACTATTATAAATTATTTTTCTATTAAAATAACTTAGGAATTAAATGTTTTCACGAACAATAATCAGTTAGTCACTTAGTGACTGAATCAGTGTAAGTGGGTTGATAGGTGTCGGCTGATAAGAAAGTATAACAACTTAGAATAAAACAACAGTCTAATTCATTTTTCATTTTCAGTAATTCATCAGCTGATGCCTATTAATTTTAAAAAGTTACCTTTAGGAAATTGATTACTTATAATAGGCTTCTCGATTGGATGTCAATTATGAATAAATTGCAATCCTCTGCATGTATTATTATAAGAGGATCAATGACATTGTTTGTTGTCCTTCTCTCAGTTGTAGAAGAAGGTAGGATTGAGG